CATCGAAGGCCAGCAGGCACTCCCTCCTGAGAATCCGGAGAGTCAGGAGATGGGGCCTGATGAGGTGGGGAATACTGCTGATAGGATACCTGCTATGGCAGATGCCCCAAGCACAAGCGAACACCCAGGCAATGGAGGGACAACAAGAGATGGAGGGGAGAGTGACTTCCCCGCCATTGAAGAAAGTGACACCCTGCCATTGAGGAAGGTGACTTCCCTACGATTGACTTCTCTGCCCTATTATGGTCCCCAACAACTGAAGAGCTGTGGATTTGCTCTGACACTAAGAGCAGTTAACCTAGGAAAGATGGTAGTGAGTCTGCCCACAACTATACAGTATTCTAGAGCTAGCCTTACTGAGCCAGGAAGAGTATCTGTTGTGAACAGAGACCAAATATTGTACACAGGCTGGCCTAGACTAGGTAGATGTCAGATAGAAGGATATGCACTGTTTACAATAAAATGCCTAAATAATCATTGTGTGGAAGTTAAGCCAAAAATAAATAAAAATGGACAACTTGTAGGGAATAGATATGTAAAAGTAATGGATATAAAACAAGCCAAACATCTTATGATCTCACCAGTACTTAAGGAATTGGCCCCTGAAGCTAGAATAAAAAATAGAATAAAAAAGCAGGTACCATTGGAAACAGCTCAAACTAGTATTTTTATTCCAGCCCAAGAAATGACAGCTACAGAAACTCAAAGATCCTTTTCAATACGGAGGATCAAACCTCTGCCAGAACTATCACTTTGTGGGTGGGCTAATCATCAAACAATGGGAGAAGCAATCTGGGATGAATATGGCTGTAAAATAGAAATTGACAAGGGAAACATTCCTTGGGAAATTACCTTAGAGGAGTTGACACAAGAGAATGATGCAAAATATGTTTTGGAAATAGTCAGCACTAAATGGTCAGAAGGGAACAATATAACAACGATTGATATTACTCCTAATTCCACACGTCAGCCTAGACAGGAAATAAAAATAGGGACAGATAATGCAACCATGGCAATCACCCAAGGACCGTCAATTATTGTAACAACTAAACCAATAAAGACAGAATTAGAAACAACAGAATCAACTGGGTTCTTTCTAAATGTATGGGAATCTTTGACTAATTGGGGAAACCAGGAAAATAAACAATCTAGCTCAGCCCCAGCAGTAATACCGGAAATAATGAAAGCACCAACAAAACTAAGGAGACTATGGGAGGGAGCATTACAAAATGATTGGTACAGATGGGCACAGTTTTCAGCTAAAGTAATTAATAAGAAAATGGATTGTCTAGTATCCTCCCCCTCCCCATTAAAGGAACTGATGGTAATACCAAGTCCACATAGCCACAGGGACTGTGCTGACTTTAAACGAAACTTCTGTCTTCTCAAAAGATCAGAAAGACCCTATTGCCCTGCAGAATGCTTATCCTTCTTAGGAAGTCCTGACCATCACAAATACTATAATCAAACAGGATGGGGGGAGTGGTGTAAAAAATTTGATGTCAGAATAGAACCAAGAAAAATGGAAACACCAGAGAAATATCGAATAGATTATGAGCAGAAGTATGAATGCTACAACAAAACAACGGGGAACATGATTTGGGAAAATGTATGGGAAAGTGTGAGACCACATGGCACCTAAATAACGATATGCCTTGGAATGCAGACACTCCTTGAAGACTTTAAAGAAAGTATCACTGCCTCCTTCTCACAAATGATCCAAAAAATATAAAAATTAAAGAAAGTTGGTTCAACACAGTGGCGGGTCATTTTGACCCTAGGACAACGGGAGGGTTAAGATACTCTTCAAAGTAGGGTTTCAGATGTTTTCGTTTTATAGTCATACTCTGCTGTCCTGACTATAGGGCGAAGCTTGTTCCACCATTGGGGTTCCAGGACAGAGAAGAGCTTTGACTGGGTTGAGCGGGAACTGCCCTCCGGTAGGGGTGGGAGGGCAGAGACCAGAGGTGGCGGAACAGAGTGCTTGGCAGCAGCTAATGGGGATCCATAATAACTACAAATACAAATAGGGCTGTGGCGGTCATGAAATGTCATGCAAATTATTTAATATAAACATGTTATGCATCTCTGGGCTTCCACGCATACAAGCTGCTGATGCGTGCCTTTGGAACATCTACATTTTAAAAAGTGGACCAAGGCGCAGCGTGGAATGCGTACATCTTTTTATTTAGTACACCACACAAACAAAACAATAAACGATACGTGAAGTCCAAGGTTAAACACCAAAAACAAACCTTACACGGAACAAGATCCCACCATCACACATGCCCAAACGGCTGCCTAAGTATGGTTCCCAATCAGAGACAACAAGCAACAGCTGATACTCGTTGCCTCTGATTGAGAACCACCCCGGCCAACATAGATACACATTGAACTAGATCCTGAACAAAGAACACAAACACATAGAATCTACACACCCTGGCTCAACATATAAGAGTCCCAGAGCCAGGGCGTGACAATAAATCCATTTAATATAGCCTACACCATCCCAATAAAATGATTTAGTGGTGATAGGCCTGTAAACCTGGGAATGTCTTAGAAATCTAAATTCATGCGCTCAGATCCTTTCCTTGCGCTTGCGGCAGAGAAAGAGACAATTGCATTGCTGCTCTTCTTGTGTGGCAAGCAAGTTAGGGGATATCTAATCAATGGAAGATGGAATTAAAATTAAATAATTAAAATGAAAATGAAAATGAAAATGAAAAAAAAAGGCTCCAATGACCAAAAGCCAACAGGTAGGCTGCTATTTAGGCTATAATCTGAATGGAGTTTTTGTTATGTGTAGGACGGTGAGAAGTGCAGTAACGTTATGGCTAACCTCAATTAGCCTAGTTAGGTAGCTTCTCTCGGTTTGATGCTGTCAAGACAGGTGCTATTTAATCGGATGGGATGATAAATAACTATCAAGAAGTTAGTCTAGCACGAGATAACAGTGTTTGTTGTCTCTCCCTCTGTGCCTGCTCCTGTGCTCTGAGCCTCCCGTGTCTTATTCACACACACACACTGCACGGCCTTCCGCTTCCTAATAGGCTACAGCTGCTCGCACTGTGCCTCTCTATCTCTCCCTTTCTCCATGGCTCCTGTTTAATAACGTCGCAAAACATTTGGCTTTTCTGCTGCTTCCCTCATTCGGATCGGACTGGTTGTCCATTAGGTCCTTTCGGAACGGGTTTTTACAGTTAATTTATGCATATTAGGTCTGGGGATTTCCCGTGTCAATTTGGGAATGGCAGCTCTAACTACCATCACCATTTGTCCTCATAACAGGTCCCTTGTGGCTCAGTTGGTAGAGCATGTCGCTTGCAACGCCAGGGTTGTGGATTCGATGCCCATGGGAGACCAGTACGAAAATGTATGCACTCACTACTGTAAATCGCTCTGGATAAGAGTGTCTGCTAAATGACTGAAATGTAAAATCATTCAGATTATTAAATCATGAAGTGTTTAGAGATTGATTAGAGTGACAGTAGCTAAGTACTGGGCCGTTTGGTAGGCTACCATTCATTTGCACAGTTTTGGATGGGATTACTGTGACCAAAGGTTCGTGACTGCCCGTGTGGCTATAATACATTCAATGCAACAGCCCTACTTGTAGAGCATGAACCTGCAGGAGCAAGTCACTGCTTTGATGTTTGCAGAGAATGATGGTGTTGTCCAGGGTCACGCCAAGGAGTTGTCAACCGTGATGGAGAGGTTTTGGAGCGGGCAGGCCTTCCCCGGGAGGAAGAGCAGCTCCGTTTTGTTGAGGTTGAATTTAAGGTGGTGGGCCAACATCCAAGCTGAGATGTCTGCCAGGCACGCAGAGATGTGTGTAGCTACCTGAGTGTCAGAAGGGGGAGGAGAAGAGTAGTTAAGTGTCATCCACATAGCAATGATAGGAGAGAACATGTGAGGATATGAAGGAGCCGAGTGACTTGAAGTATAGAGAAAAGAGGAGAGTGCCTAAAACCGAGCCCTGGGGGAAACAAGTAGTGTGAGCATGTGGTGCAGACACAGATCCTCTCCACGCCACCTGGTAGGAGCAGCCTGCCAGGTCCAGGTAGGATGCAATCCAGGAGTGTGCAGAGCCTGAGACGTCCAGCCCTGAGAGGGTGGAGAGGAGGATCTGATGGTTAAAGGTGTCGAAGGCAGCGGATAGATCTAGGAGGATGAGAACAGAGGAGAGAGAGTCAGCTTTGGCAGAGCGGAGAGCCTCTGTGACACAGAGAAGAGCAGTCCCAGTTGAGTGAGCCGTCTTGAAGCCTGACTGGTTAGGGTCAAGAAGATAGTTCTGAGCGAGTTGGTCAGAAACCGCACGCTAAAGGGTTTTGGTAAAAAAAGAAAGAAGGGATACCTGTCTGTCGTTTTTGACTTCATAGGGGTTGAGTGTTGGTTTCTTGAGGAGGGGAGCGACTCTGTCAATCTTGAAGTCAGAGGGGACGAATCCAGTGGTCAGGGATGTGTTGATGAGGTGAGGAATGGGAGAAGGTCTCCAGAGATGGTCTGGAGAAGGGATGAGGGGATGGGGTCAAGTGGGCAGAACATTACTAGTCGCATGATTTCATCTGGAGAGAGAGGAGAGAAAGAGGTCAAGGCGTATGGTTGTTCTCTGTGAGTAGGACCAGTGGACTTAGTAGGCTTTTCTTAAATGTTGTTTTGTAATTGACTAAAACAAGCAGACAACATGAAAATTGCGTTTGAAAAAGGTCATGTTTTTGCTGTGAGCAAATAGGGTAACCAAGGGAACCACGGGTTGTTTTCCCCACAGGCAGGCACGGACGCAACGTTCCATTTAATACGACTGGGACTATAGGAAAACCCTTTTTGGTTCCAGGTAGAACCCTTTTGGGTTCCATGTAGGATCCTTTCCACAGAGGGTTCTACATGGAACCCAAAATAGTTATATGTGGAACCAAAAAGGGTACTAGCAATTTTTACTGAGTGTATTTACGGTTACTAAGCTATGTGTGTGTGTGTGTGTGCTTGTTTGTTTTTTCTCAGGCCACAGTGTCGCAGCCCATCTGATCTGACAATGTGAGGCGTCTGAGGTCGACACCGATGGCCTCCAGGTCACCATGGAGATGACTGATGACATCACTTGGCAATGATCGTGTGCGGGCAACAATCCAAGTCGACGGAACAGACCAAATAATAATAATAACCAATACTTTATTGAGAATCAATGGATTCAACTACAGCAGTCAATTACAAAAGCATACTCCGTTACAAATTGGTAAGGAAGTCCCAGCCTTACCAAAGTAATCTGTGCAGGAGTAGACCAGATAGAAACTACTGTAGTCTGTAGACAGAACCCAGAATGGATCACCTGGTAAACCTAAACACACACAGAGAGACAGGTGAGGTAGGGGCTAGGGGTTAGGGGCTAAGGCTAGAAGCTAGGGTTGGGGGACTAAGGGGCAGGGGCTTCAGGTTTAGTTTGGGGCTAGGGGCTAGGTGTGGTTGGGACTGGGACCACATCTCACCTTTGAAGAAGATCTGGTTATGAGTGTTCAAGTTTATGGTTTGACTGACTTCATATAGTCTGTGATGTGTGTGTGTGTGTCTGTGTTCTATCGCTGAGTAGTGAGTATGTGGCCTGTTGGCACTTCCCTCTCTCAAATACAGCAGGTAGCTTCTCTACCTCATACCACCTGCCCAGGTATTGATAAACACATCTAGAAGTTACTTCGAGTTACTATGACTTTTTTACTTTGTGTGTGTGTGTGATAAACTCCATCTGAATTACCACTGACAGTGTGTGTGTGTGTGTGTGTGTGTTTGTTCATGTGTGATAAAGTCCATCTGAATTACCACTGACAGTGTGTGTGTGTGGGTGTTTGTTAATGTGTGATAAATTCCATCTCAATTACCACTGACAGTGTGTGTGTGTGTGTGTGTGTTTGTTAATGTGTGATAAATTCCAGCTCAATTACCACTGACAGTGTGTGTGTGTGTGTGTGTGTGTGTGTGTGTGTGTGTTTGTTAATGTGTGATAAATTCCATCTCAATTACCACTGACTGTGTGTGTGTGTGTGTGTGTGTGTGTGTGTGTGTGTTTGTTTGTTAATGTGTGATAAATTCCAGCTCAATTACCACTGACAGTGTGTGTGTGTGTGTGTTTGTTAATGTGTGATAAATTCCATCTGAATTACCACTGACAGTGTGTGTGTGTGTGTGTGTGTGTGTGTGTGTGTGTGTGTTTGTGTGTTTGTTAATGTGTGATAAATTCCTGCTCAATTACCACTGACAGATTGTGTGTGTGTGTGTGTGTTTATTAATGTGTGATAAATTCCATCTAAATTACCACCGACAGTGTGTGTGTGTGTGTGTGTTTGTTAATGTGTAATAAATCCCATCTAAATTACCACTGACAGTGTGTTTGTTAATGTGTGACAAATTCCATCTGAATTACCACTGTGTGTGTGTGTGTGTGTGTGTGTGTGTGTGTGTGTGTGTTTGTTAATGTGTGATAAATTCCATCTGAATTACCACTGACAGTGTGTGTGTGTGTTTGTTAATGTGTGATAAATTCCATCTGAATTACCACTGACAGTGTGTGTGTGTGTGTGTGTGTTTGTTAATGTGTGATAAATTCCATCTCAATTACCACTGACAGTGTGTGTGTATGTGTGTTTGTTCATGTGTGATAAATTCCATCTGAATTACCACTGACAGTGTGTGTGTGTGTGTGTTTGTTAATGTGTGATAAATTCCATCTGAATTACATTTACATTTACATTTCCTTTTTTTTTTACATTTACGTCATTTAGCAGACGCTCTTATCCAGAGCGACTTACAGTTAGTGAATACATATATATTTTTTTATACTGGCCCCCCGTGGGAATCGAACCCACAACCCTGGCGTTGCAAACGCCATGCTCTATCAACTGAGCTACATCCCTGCCGGCCATTCCCTCCCCTACCCTGGACGACGCTGGGTTGTGGGTTCGATTCCCACGGGGGGCCAGTATAAAAAAATATATATGTATTCACTAACTGTAAGTCGCTCTGGATAAGAGCGTCTGCTAAATTACCACCGACAGTGTGTGTGTGTGTGTGTGTTTGTGCGCCGCCCATGAGTCTCCCGGTCGCGGCCGGCTGCGACAGAGCCTGGATTCGAACCAGGATCTCTAGTGGCACAGTTAGCACTGCGATGCAGTGCCTTAGACCACTGCGCCACTCAGGAGACACTGACAGTGTGTGTGTGTGTGCATGTGTCTGCAGTTACCATGGTGATGTTGAAGTCCTGTTGAACTGGGGGCGTGGGGCGTGGGGCATCTTCCCAGGTGAACGGTCTGAGCATGTGCAATCGCTGCGGTCACCTGGACAACGCACAGTACCTAGCCACATAAACACATGCTCAGATACAAAACACGCAGCAATCTCACACATAATGTCAGTGGTAATTTAGATGGAATTGAGACCACTGTGTAATTAATATATTATATACACTCTCACATACACAGACATAAAGACACACAGTATCTGCAAAGGCTGCATATTTTCTCAGTCAGCAGCCACTCAGCTTTCTGGGAGAAAATAGATGAAACATGATCACACAGTGCTCTGCCAAATGTCCATGATGAACCTTTCTTTCTACCTCCAATATCTCTCATCTGACACATCAGCCTGGTGTAGTGGACAATTGTATTATATTAATTTATGTGACAATAAAACATAGATTACATTTTTTTTATATATATATATATATGAATATTTACAAATATAAACAAGAATACAAAATATATATATATTGTTTAACATAATGTACTGTACAGGCATATCACATTTCCAGAGTGGGATCTCTGGTAGGTTTAAAGTTATGGCCCATTTTATACGGAGAAATTGGCATAGTAGACAATGTAACCACTTACAGCCCTCCTTTTACTTCATTGCACATCCTTCAAATCACCAGCAGAGGGCGACCATTTTTAACCAATTTTCACATTCACTCTGTTGGTAATGCTTACAAATTGGTCATAACTCTAAAAGTAGCAGAGATCCCACTCTGGAACTTTGATATGCCTATTGAGTAGGCTATATTATGATCAAGAAAAGTGGTACTGAAATCAATATACTATTCATATTACAGAGCAAACGGTAACGCTTCACATGACATCAACTTCTGCTTTGTAGCACCTACAGATTAAACATTATGGAGTCTTAAAGGAGGCCTGGGTAAGGCCAAAATGTCACAAATATTCTAACTTCAACTAATTATTTCTCAATAATGCTTTAAAATACACATGCCAAATATATATCAACAATCCATCCTCCAAAGGACCCATCTATGGAATACATTTCGTCTTCTTATGTTCTAGTTTCGTGAGGAATCACCCTTATGCATGACATTTGAATCTGGTTCAAGGCAATGGCCACATAAAGGCCTACATGGTTTAAAACCTGTTTATCTTCTGAATGAATAAGATTAAAATGATGCTCTCCTATTCACACTCCCTCTGTAGTTCAGGACCTGTGAGCTGTTCAGTAAGAGGTGTGTGTGTGTGTATATGTTTGGGCCTTTTTTTCGATGGACCTTTGGAATTAAGGACTGCTTTATTGACAAACTACATCAAACACTTGTTTAAACGAGTCTGTGTGTGTGTGCGCGTGAAGCTGTGTGTGCGTGCGTGAAGCTGTGTGTGTCTTAACAGGGGTAGCCTGCGGGCCTACAGGACATTTCTTTGAGGCATGACTGAGGCACAGATAGAACAATGAGCCAGATATTTAACTGGATGTATAAATGTGAAGCAATGGGTTGGCGTTTCCATTCACTACCAAATACGGTGATGAGAGGAAACCCCAGCGGCCAGCAGTGGGAGAAGATGGAGCTAGATGGATTTTCTCATCGATGAAACATTTGATCTCCATACAGTTTTCTGTTTCAAAAACTAGAATGCGTAATAAACAGAGTGGACTGCGTTATGTAGACTTTACCCTTTAGCAAAATTTCCAAAAAAATGCGTTGTTTAGAAGGAGTGCACGGGCGAATTTAGTTATTGCACATGCGCAATTCACAGACAAGGCGTTCCCTAACAAAAATATCCAAATATATGCTAGAACGCGCCGATAGTATCTCACTAGCTCTGCCACCTTCATGCGTATTCTGCTCGATATGATTCATTTGCTCCCATTGGATACGACAGGCTCTGGTCTATCTTAGGTTAGTTATACAAATCTTTGACTGAGGTCTGAATAGCCATGATCCACAGGAGGCCTATGTGTTTTTAATATGTTAACACAACAATCCGACATGGGTTGCACCAGATCATGTCAAAAATATAGGGCAGTGTTGAGAACTTCAACAATACTGCACACTGTCCAACTCAGGCAGTCCATTACATTGTGGTCGACCAAGCCTAGAGGCTAGTCCATGAAAACCTTAGAAATCTGTTTTATAACTTCTAAGTCATAAAAGGGTGTAAAGTGCTTGGCCAAAATATATTGCTACTGGACTGGTGACTACTGAGGTGTGTGATCATTCAAGTGAGTCGACAATAATGAAACTGAGCACTGATTGGTTAGATGTTGAGTTGCTTGTGCCCAAGGGCAGTGGCCCATGGTCGTTTGGTGAGAGAGAGGCGGGAGTAGAGTTGGGTAGGTATATTTAAATTTTTACATTTGAGTCATTTAGCAGATGCTCTTATCCAGAGCGACGTACAGTTAGTGAGCATACATTTTCTTTCTTTTTTTCTATGTGCAGGAACAGAGTGAATACCCTCCAACGACTCTTTAATCGCTAGCTAAAAATATATCCAGTCAAAGATTATGAAGCTACTTGGAATCACTTAGCTAACTAGCAGCTAACTCAAAAGGAAAACACACAGACATGAAACTGGAATAATTAGCTAGCTAGATAGATAGTTCAAATACTTTTATTTAATTAACAAAGACTTGAATCGGCCAATAATATGTTACATCACTGTTAGCTAATTGATGGAAACATATTCATTAGATTGCTAGGTTAGTGAGCTAGCAGTGTTAGGTAACCAGTTTGCGATCCTGAGCTAACATTGACTAAAGTTAGCTTAGCTAACTAAGAGAGAAAAGCAACAACATTGTTATGGTAGCTGAAAACTGAAAATGAACACATTTTCCTAGCTAAAACACATCAGTTGTTCGCTTTCAGTCTGTTGAAAAGGACAGCTAGCCAGCTACTTAGTTTAGCCTTTGGAGGCTTGGCCTTTGTTAGCTAGTGTGATGACATCAAGGCGAAGTTTCTACTGTGACGTCATAAACGCCTGCTGACCCTATTTGGCCATTATTTTTCAAGCTCAGAAATTATGTAGTTTTCCAAGTAGATAGCTACTGACTTGCCTTTACATCCAGACTTGATTTTATTGCAAATTATACCACTATACTTTATCAGTAGAGCTGACTAAAGACACTGTCTGAATCCTAGAAATATTCTGAAATGGTCTGAATCTCTCTCAAGGGGGACAGAGATTTCCAGTGGCATTGAGGCTTTGAGGGATTATGCTGCGCAGGACCGTCTCCTTCCCCATTGAGGTAATATCTAGAAGTCTGTAGCTAGAATTTGTTCATGCCCCCCCAAAAAATATTGTTGCTTTGGCAATATTGGGTTATTTCAGTTTCATGTCAATAAAGCTCACTTGAATACTGTACTAGTAGCCTGCTATTGTTTTGCTTTATAGTCATTTGTTAGCTCTTTGAGAGTTGTTTATGTAGACCTAAAGCCTTTCCTAATGAAGTTGTTGTGGTTGTTCTAATGTAGGCGGGACAGCTGCAGCAGCTGGGTCTATTGGGCTGTGCCTCCCACGGTGTGACATCGTGCTCGGTGCTCGACCTCCCGGCTCTCCTCAACGCTCACCGGGGGCAACGCCAATGGGAGGATGAGCGGCGGGGCTGGTACCAGGGGCATGCCGAGGCTGGCCAATGGGAGGATGACGGAGGGCTAGTGATCATGCCCTCTTCTACTGGTGAGAGTCGACTCGTCTGACAATCTACCATTCTTTCCAATTCTGATTCTTCCTTTCTATGGCTCTTGAGGTTACAAACATGCAGCTAATAGTCAGATTTGTTGACACATCAGTGACGTATTGGTAACACTTGGTCCTTTCTCTCCTCTTTCCTGTCCCCTGTGTAGGTAGCACCAGGGGACCCAGGTGTAGGGATATGTATGCCAGCTCAGACCAGCTAAGGTGAACACACACACACACACACACACACACACACACACAGTTATGGCTGTAGTCTACATCTATCTGCTCATATCTGTGTGTGTCCACACTTACATTTAGCTTGCTCTGTGTCTGTGTGTGTTTAGGTCAGTGGAAGATGATGGCAATGATTATGAAGGTGAGTCTCTATCTGTTATGGATGATCTTTACATCCAATTCAAATGACAAGGTGTATGTATTGGGGGAGTTTTGCGTTTGTGTATGTAATGATGTCTTGTGTGTGTGTGTGTGTGTGTGTGTGTGTGTGTGTGTGTATTTCAGAGGAGAAGCAAAATGATGGGTCTGTCAGGCTGTATGTGTCAGAGGAGGAGAGGATCCTCAACTCTGCAGACCTGTGAGTGCCCCAGACAACTCCCATCGCCTGCCGTAGTGCTGTTGTGATAGCAGAGTTGGTGTATTTACCACTTTCTAACATGTGTTGTAGGAGTGCAGAGGAGAGGCGTGATGTTCTAGCAGAGTTGGTGTATTCCCGAAGCAGCCTAAAGCAATTGAACTCAGAGCTGCAGAGAACAGTGGAGTTAGCCGATGACAACAACACACTGCTACGCACTGAGAACGCTGCCCTGCGCAACCAAGTTAAAGGGTAACAGTAGCAACCACGCAGACACACTGCCCTGCACAACCAAGTCAAATGTAACCATCAATCAATCTGTTCATCATTATTTGTGTGTGTTTGTCAGGATGAAGCAGTCGATCCATGATGCAGAGCAGCTGATGGATGAGCTGGAGGAGATCCGGAGCTTATCAGCTGAGAAGGACTGCGCTACGGGCAACCTGGAGGCCTACATCAAACAACTGGTGGGTTACCAGGAAGTGGTGTACAGCAATAGCAACCAAGAAACCATATATACGACAAATAAAACCAGACAACTGAACACACCTGATTTGACCAATCACTTCACCAACTGAGCTAATTGGTCAATAGGAAGTGCCCAGGAAAGATATAGAGCGTTGATAAACTGATGATGAGAAATACAACTGTTTTTATCCCTTGTTCCGGCAGGAGAAAGAGAAGGAGATTTTGGAAGACCAGATCGAGACCATTGGCAGTGAGGTATGATGACCTCTAAGGCTTGACCTTTGACCCTGTTAGACAAACTGAACGTTCCACTGGCCAGCCAATATGGAGGCATAATATTAATTTGTTGTCCTCAAAACATCACTGAACTGTTCTGTTCTCTTTCTCTCTCTCTCTCTCTCTCTCTCTCTCTCTCTCTCTCTCGCTCTCTCTCTCTCTCTCTCTCTCTCATCCCTAGATGTCCCGTATTATACCAGATAGAGCCACTGACAAGAAGAAGATCGCAAACCTCAGCCAGGCTCTACAGGCCTTACAGGTAGCAGACACACGCTCGGACATCCTACCACCAGATCACAGGTGGGTGATTGTGGGCCACAGGCTTTTGTTCCAGCCCAACTATTAACTGTTTGTTTGTGTGTGTGTGTGAAAAAGCTACGGCTGGAGGAGAGCAGACTCACCCTGGATCAGAGGTATGAGGTCATACATAAGGTAGGTGATAACTCCGTATTGAAAAGAATGTTTACATGTCAAATATGCCCTAAATACCCAATACATTTAACCGTTTTTCTTTAGACATGCCACATGGCTTGCCAGTTTAAATTAGGTCCATTGCAGTCTTTTAGCTGGCTGGCCAGTGCCCAACATCTCTTTGTGTGTCTCTCCTACAGAAGGACTTTGTTATTGAGCAGCTGGAGCAGTCCCTCACAGAGTACTCCTCCATCGCACAGGTACAACACACACACACATTTTACATATGCCTGATGTAGACCTCACACATCTAACTGATACACACTGTGGGCTTTATGTTGTGTGTGTGTTTCTCTGTTCTCAGGATCTGAAGGAGAAGATGAAGAATCTGGAGAGCCAACTGGCAGAGGCCCTAGTGTAACTACACACACACACACACACACACACACACACACACACTCAATGATAACACCCCTCACACATCACTCTAATTTTGGCACATTCTTTGTAATACCCTCTCTCTCTTTTTTGTAATACCCTCTCTCTCTTTTCCCCCTGTATTTCCCTCTCTCTTTCTCGCTCTTTAGTATTGGAGGAGAGGGGGGTTACATGGCGTTAGATGGGACTCTGTCTGCAGCCACTCAGAGCTCCATCTCTCTAGCGGAGGAACTGGGTCTACTGCCATGTAGGATGGTGGGTCACATACACACAACATATGACCGATCACTCTTTCCGCATCTTCCCCCAAAGTGCAGAAGTGTTTGTCTGTAGTGTTGTCTTCACTGTGTGGTGATCAGGTAGTACTACGGGACAGTGTGAGCTTAGGGTTGGGTAGGACTTAGCTGGGAGGCAGGCTGCCTTCACACACACACTGGGGGAGATGCGCTGTTGCTAAATGCGTGTGTTCACTTCCTACCCCAGGATGAGTCCTCTGATGAGGAGGTGCAGGAGCAGAGAGAGGAGAGGGTAGAGAAAGAGGAGATGCAGAGAGTGGAGGAGGGGGTAGAAAGAGATGAGAAAGAAGAGGAGGAGGTTAAGGAGGAGAAACAGCTGTTACAGGACAAAAGTTGTGTGTGGTCAGATCTGGTGGGAGGTGTCCAGGCAGCAGGAGGTTTCATCCTGGGTTTCCTGGTTCCTCTGGGTGTGCTGGTCTCCATGGTCCCTGGCTGCTACGACCACTGTTCTGGACTCAGCTGCACCGATACCCTCTGGTCTACTGCCAGATACCTCATACAGCCATACTGTAACGTGCATCACATAGGCCTTCCTCCTCTGTAACACATACATACATATATATGCATGCATACCATACCTATCTACCTACCAAACTTCCTACCTATATGCATGCATGCATACCTACCTACCTACCTACCTACATACTACCTACACACACACATTCACAAAAACGCACAAAAACACACTAACCAAACTCCAACCCACCAACCCTGATCTTCAGGCTGCTATGCTGTTGTTAATGAAATAAACCTGAATACTGCATCATACATGGACAACTGGTTGTATTTTAATAAATGGAAACAGTAGAGTTGATTTTACAATGTGTTTCTTTTTTTAGCATTATTTAGATTTTAAATGGCATTTTAAAGGTTGTTGTTAATGTTTTTGTATTTTTTTATTGTAATTTCTCTACATTGTTCTGTAAAGTACTAAAGAAATGCACTGTCACGTCCCTGTTTGGATTGTAAATATGATTTCAATTTAATAAAGAGACACTGGCTACTGTCTTTCCACGTTTTAACGTATATTTTCAAACAACGCGAGACTTGAACAGTGGACTTGAGTTGTGCTCTGACGTCATTCGAAAATGGCTACTTAGTCGAAGGGGTTATAAAATACGGTATTTCATTTTACACATTTAAATCCGTCTATGTGCTCAATTTCTACATTTCATAGGTATTTAATGTTATATTTGTCCGTGTGGTTACGCTCCCGAATGCCCCGTCATTTAAAAATTGACTAACTTCGCTAGTTTACCGCACTCTCCAGGCTCGTCGCATTTCGAAATAAGAGCACTTTGTTATTAACCGTATCAGCGCGATCATATCCGAGAAATCAAAACAAAAGAGAAAGTAAATGGTTTCAAGGTTAATTCTTCTCAATGTACAAGTATAATTATAGGATCAGAATGATTCACAATTAAATTGACATATCAGTAATGGTTCAACAGAACGTAGCTGATTTGCGCGGTTAGCAGTAGGGCAGTTAGCCATGGAACTGAGGAACTTTTATTTTCATAACGTAAACTACATCTACCGGTCGGCTACACAAGTTTCGATGAGAGGAGTGTTGCGGTTGTAATTTTGTATTAATTTCAATCACTTAATTTAATCCCAACAGAACACCTGATACACACTTTCAACCAAACAATAACATTATTATAAAGGGTGAGTAAATGTTTTATGTAATCCTGCTGAGGGAGAGAGAAGTAAAGAAGGAGATACAATTAAGAAAAACTAGAATAGTAGATGGATAAGCTATTATTATTTTGGGATAGAAAAGATGGACAGTAGACACTTCTAAAAAAATATTATTGGAAAAGTGGCATAGTAACAGGACAGGGTTGTGAAAAGACAATGGTAGTAATATATTCAATTTGCATGAAAGAGATTGGGAAACACTTAAAAGGGTCAATCTGCAGTTTAAACATTAAGAATGTTTTGGTAGAAAGCTGAGGGCAGGACCTGGAGAAATGTAACCCCTCAAATTCATAGGAATATGGATGCAAGGACTGACCATCCAAGATATCAAAATTATAGTTTTAAGCATGTTTTGAGGTTTTACAGTGTTTGTTTACATTTACAATGTTTACAAACATTGGAGTTAAACAAGCTTATATTTTGGGTCCTGATGGGGTATGAGTGTTTAACTAAGCTCATGAGGCATTTCTAAGTTATATTCTTCAAGAATCAATGGGTATAGATAATTCATTTATAAGTCCAGAAATGGATGTAGATTTCCCCTTTAAATACTGGCAGTCTGAGGTTGGCCATGTCCTAGCCTGCCTGCACTGTTAGTAAACAATTACTAAAATTAAACATCAACAACCTTGCAAGCACACTACCTCCTATGCCATAAAGACCTATTAGTAAAGGTATTGATTGCACTGTTAGTTAAAAATTCCCCTCCCTGCAGTTTGACCCGGCGTGACCCCGGAAGCAGTAATGTCACAGCTGGCCCACAGTGAGCACCTGTTGGAGCAGCTGCGTTGGCAGCGGGAAAGCAACGTTCTGTGTGACATCACGGTCGTCGTGGGCGACACGCTGTTCCGAGCGCACCGTAATGTCCTGGCGGCGTTCAGCGGGTTCTTCTCCGCACTGCCTGACAGAGGTCACCTGGTTACGACCCTTAACCCTGAGTTTGTCAGTGAGCAGGCCCTGTACACCCTGCTGAAATACATATATTCTGGAGAACTACACACTGACAAGTAGGTACATCACTACACTGGTGTGTACAAAGCTAATTTAGCAATAGGTGTGGAAACACTATTCACCAAATCAAAAGGTGTGTAAGCACCCCTATTCACTACTCCCTTTGAATAATACAACTACACCACCATCATACTGTCACAATAACTATATCACAGGAGGCTGCTGAGGGCAGCACGGCTTATAATAATGTCTGGAATGGAGTAAATGGAATGGTATGAAACACATGGAAAGCATGTGTTTGATGAGTTCGATTACCATTCCATGTATTCTGTTCCAGCCATTACTATGAGCCCGTCCTCCCAAATTAAGATGCCACCAACTTCCTGTGCTATGTAGGATACTATATTGTTGTTTATCTGTTGTTATTGATCTCTTGTTTATCTGTGGTTGCCATGATAACAGTGAGGGGTCGGAGGCCGTGCTGAGAGCGGCAGTGTTCCTGGGGATGAGGGAGGCAGAGCGTCACCTGAAAGACAAGACCGACATCCAACAGGAGACGAGGATAGAGTCAGCCCCACCCACCCCCTCCCCCCATTGCTTACCCTCACCCCCCAGCCCAGAGGCATTTCAACCCTTGTCCTGCGTTTCTGGAGGGGGCTTGGTAGAGAGGGAGGAGGAGAGGGAAGGAGAGAAGGGGGAGGAAGAAGAGCGGGGAGATCCAGAGTACACCCCTCCCTCCCCAACATCCCCCCGAAGAGGAGCGAGGAAGAGGAAGGGAAGAAAGCCCAAGGCCACACCTCACAACCAGACCTCACCTGGAAACCAAACCTTGCCTAGCAACCCAACATCACCTAGCCATGACGACACCCAAGATGACGCAACAGTCCCCCAGCTTCAGAGGGGGAGAGGCAGGGGAAGAGGGAGAGGGAGAGGCAGGGGAAGGGGGAGGGGAGGAGGAATGAGGAGGGATCTGTTGTTAAAAGAGTCAGACCTTCAGATCGTTGAGGATAATGAGACAGACTTCAGCCCTTCGTCATTGAGACCTGTCAAGAGGCAAAGGAGGAGCAGTGGAGAGAGGAGAGGAGTGAAGAGAGGGAGAGGCAGAGGAAGAGGGAAACTGAAGGAGAACAGATCGAGCGATGGCGAGGGAGATGAGGGGAAGGCTGGGTTGAAGAGCCAACAGGTTAAAGAGAAGCCGGTGTGTGCTGAGTGTAACAAAGAGTTCTCTGAGATCAGTAGTCTGAAGAGACACATGAGGATCCATAAAGGAGTGAAACCTTTCCAGTGTCTCTTCTGTCCCCGAGCCTTCACACAGGGAAACCAGCTCAAGACTCACCTCCGTATACACACAGGTGAGATACACACACACACACCAAACATACACACAGGTAAGACACACACACACACTCCGCCACATACACATACAGGTGAGAGACACCCACACTTGAGACACCCTAACTGTCTCTCTGACGTTCTAGGAGAGAAGCCGTTTGCCTGTTCTCAGTGTGACAAGGGTTTTGCCCAGAAGTGTCAGTTGGTGGCTCACTGTCGAATGTACCACGGAGAAGAGAAACCTTACACCTGTGAACAATGTGGGCTGCAGTTCGCTACCTCATCTAACTACAAGATACACTGCAGGTAGGACTGTGTGAGTGTGTCTTTGTCTGTGTGTGCGTGCATGTGCGTGTGTGGAGAGAAGACATATTTGTGTGTATCTATCTACCTATGTGTGTCCATGTGTGTGTGTCCATATAGGAAGCACAGTGGAGAGAAGCCGTATGTGTGTGAACAGTGTGGGAAGGGTTTTGCCCAGGCCAGCACTCTGACCTATCACATCAGGATCCACACAGGAGAGAAACCTTACCAATGTGACGCCTGTGGGATGTCCTTCTCCGTCTCTTCCTCTCTCATCACACACAAACGCAAACACACAGGTAACACACTGAAGTAAAGGGAAACACTACCAGTTAAATTAGCCTTGAAGGTGTGTGTGTGAGCTTGGGTCCCTGTATTCTCAGACGTGTTTGTGTGTGTGCGTGTGTCCGCATTTGTGTTTGTTTTCCAGGTGAAGCTCCACACGAGTGTCTGGTTTGTCAGAAGGCCTTCATTACCAAACGAGAACTCAACAAACACTCCCACATCCACACCGGTGAGTCTACCTAACACACACACACACGTGAGAACCAACCACTTTGACTTTATAAATCTATCCAAGGGAAAAGATGACAAGCACCAAGTGTCCAGCTGTCAAACAAATCACTGTCTGTTAGTTGTGTAGATCTACTGTGTTCTAGAAGGGCATCTGTCCTGGAGTGGAGAGAGAGAAGAGGAAACACAGGATGGAGAGAGTCACTAGGAAGAGGAGAGAGAGGTGTAGGTAAAGAAGGAGAAGAAGGGACGATATAGAATTGTAGCTGGAAGAAGGTTGAAGATGGAAGCGATGGATAGACTGATAAAGGAGTTGATATGGAGATTATAGATGGGGCTCTGAGTTTTTCCCGACCATGTGACTTGACCAGGAAAGAATCCTGGCCCTAGTTGTAGAGAATGAGGGAAGATTTGTGTGTGTGTGCCGTGCGGCGTGTGTAGGTGGAGACCCAGCTGTTAAGCAGCGTGTGACATGTGAGCTGTGTGGAAACACCTACGCTGGCCTGAGCAGCCTGAAGAAACACCAAGAGAGACAACACTTAGGTGAGGTGTGTGTGTGTGTGTGTCATCTTATCCTTTTGCCATCTGTCTATGTTAACCTGTGTGTGTTCTCCAGTTCCAGTGGAGGTTCCAGAAGGCGCTCTCCTCCACAACATTCCTATCGACCACCAGGGGCTAATCTCCCGTGATGCGCCCAGCCCCGTGCACGAGGAGCCAGGCAACCCTGACCCCGAGGAGCCAGGCAACCCTGAAGCCGAGGAGCCAGGCAACCCTGAAGCCGAGGAGCCAGGCAACCCTGAAGCCGAGGAGCCAGGCAACCCTGAAGCCGAGGAGCCAGGCAACCCTGACCCCGAGGAGCCAGGCAAACCTGACCCCGAGGAGCCAGGCAACCCTGACCCAGAGGAGCCAGATAACCCTGACCCCGAGGAGCCAGGCAACCCTGAGCCCACAACCCCTAACTTGAGCCCTAACCCTCTCCGTGATCTAGTGGAACAGCTGCGTACATCTTCCTCCTCCTCCTCTTCCCCATTCTCCCACTGCGATCCAGCCTACCCCGCCGAAGATATGGAGCAGATCATCATCATTAGAACTTTGGACAACGACCCATGCCCTGACCCCTGACTCAACCAACTCTGACCCCCTCACCCAGATCCTAACATTACTCTCTCAGGCTTGGAGTGGATCCACCCTTTTCGACTGGATCAACGGGACCTACAGGATCCAATATGAATCTGCTGTAGTGTCAGATATAGAACTGTGAATAGTGGGGATGTTGACAAATGTTGATATGTCATGTATGTAATTACATTTACATTTTAGTCATGTAGCAGACGCTCTTATCCAGAGCGACTTACAGTAGTGAGTGCATACATCGTCGTACTTTTTCGTAATTCTCTCCATCTTTTCATGCAATCAACTCATTCAGATCTAAAAGTTGTTTTTTAATGTTTATTACTAGAGATAGTCACTGAGGACCTACCCACAGAACAGCCAGGCACACCGTCTGCTGGCTTTGCATTTCTGTACATTTCCTGAATCGTTCTCTGTTCAATGTGCTGGTTTTAAACCCACAAATCAGTAACATGGGGCTTAATGTCTTATGGAAGCTAGAAGTAGTATTGAGATGGATGGATATTTATGAAAAGTCAAGGTTTTTAATTCAACAGCTCTGTTCTTTATTGGGAGGAATACATCTCTGAAATCTGTGTGCTTTCTCATCCTTTCAAAAGTACATTATCTTTATACAGTGCCTTCAGAAAGTATTCACACACTGTAACAATGTATGCTGGGAGTCAGGAAGCAAGTACAGGGAGCGCATTTAATGATAAATAAAACATGGAACAAAACAAGAGTAGCGTACAGAGTAACAGAATCAATAACGCCTGGGGAAGGAACCAAAGGGAGTGACATATATAGAGGAGGTAATCAGGAAGGTGATGGAGTCCAGGTGAGTCTGATGCGCTGGTGCGCGTAACGATGGTGACAGGTGTGCGTCATAAAGAGCAGACTGGTGACCTAGAGGCCAGAGGGGGAGTATACGTGACACACACCTTGACTTTTACCCCAAAAATTGCCGCTACAAAGTGGGATTAAAATTGATTTAATAGTATTTTTTGGTCAATGATCTACACAAAATACTCTGTCAAATTGGAAGAAATATTATATTATATATTTTTTAATATGAAAAATGCAACACTAATATATTTTGATTAGATAAGTATTCAACCCGCTGAGTCAATACATGTTAGAATCACCTTAAGCAGCGATTACAGCTGTGAATCTTTCTGGGTAATCTCTAAGAGTTTTGCACACCTGGATTGTACAATATTTGCACATTATTATTTTAAAAATTCTTCAAGCTCTGTCAACTTGGTTGTTGATCATTGCTTGCACAGCCATAGATTTACAAGCCGATTTAAGTGAAAACTTTAACTAGGCCACTCAGGAACATTCAATGTTGTCTTGATAAGCAACTCCATTGTATATTTTGCCATGTGTTTTAGGTTATTGTCCTGCTGAAAGGTGAATTTGTGTCCGTTGGAAAGCAGACTGAACCAGGTTTTCCTCTAGGATTTTGCCTGTGCTTAGCTATTCAGTTTATAAAAAATAAAAAAAACTCTGTAGTCCTTGCTGATGACAAGCATACTCATAACATAATGCAGCCACCACCATGCTTGAAAATATGAAGAGTGGTACTCAGTGATGTGTTGTGTTGGATTTTCCCCAAACATAACACTTTGTATTCAGGACATAAAGTTAATTTCTCAGCCATTTTTTTGGGCAGTTTTACAGGGTGCATTTTTAAAAATAATTGTATTCTGTAAAGGCTTCCTTCTTTTCACTCTGTCATTTAGGTTAGTATTGTGTAGTAACTACAGTGTTGTTGATCCATCTTCAGTTTTCTTCTCATATCACAGCCATTCAACTCTGTGACTGTTTTAAAGTCACCATTGGCCTCATGGTGAAATAAATCCCTGAGCAGTTTCCTTCCTCTCCGGCAACTGAGTTAGGAAGGAGGCCTGTATGTTTGTAGTGACTGGGTGTATTGATACACCATCCAAAGTGTAATTAATAACTTCACCATGCTCTTTTTATATTTTTACCCATCTACCAATAGGTGCCCTTCTACCAATAGGTTCCCTTCTTTGCGAGGCATTGGAAAACCTCCCTGGTCTTTATGGTTGAAGCTGTGTTTGAATTTCACTGCTCAACTGAGGGACTGTGTGGGGTACAGAGATGAGGCAGTCATTCAAAAATCACATTAAACACTGTTATTGAACACAGAGTGAGTCCATGCAACTTATTATGTGACTTGTTAAGCAAATCTTTACTCCTGAACTTATTTAGGCTTGCCGTAAGAAAGGGGATGAATACTTATTGACTCGAGACATTTCAGCTTTTCATTTGTAAACATTTCGAAAAACTGAATTCCACTTTGACATTATTGGATATTGTGTGTAGGCCAGTGACACAACATCTCAATTTAATCTATTTTAAAATCAGGCTGTAACACAACAAAATGTGGAAAAAGTCAACGGGTGTGAACACTTTCTGAAGGCACTTTCTAGAGACATGCACCAGTATAATTATGTTTTACCCATTTAACATTTTACATTAGTGTGGATTAAAGGTTCAAGTTAACGTTTTTAAATATTTTTGTATATTTTATCATCAGAGATTGAATAATTCTAATGAATGTTGGGCGCGCGTTTCTTCGCTTGCATGTTTGGTTTTCCCAGCACTACGGCGCGCCTATGTTGCCATAGAAACGTAAACATTTCCTTCATGTCCCGGGGGCTTGACTGGTGTTTTGACATTCGCAACTAGCCTAAAGTTTCGTTACTATGGGTAGTATTACAGAGGTTTACTCCTCTGTCTGCAAAGAATTAAAACTACGAACTAATCGATACATTCTAGAAGTCCTGCAAGAGACTGAGGGGAAGACAGGGTAGGTTTGCAGCCTCATGGCATGCACAGATAATTTTCTAGCCGCAAAAGCAACTTCTTATACTGACGTTCACTTTCCATCACGAACGAGCTTGACCAAGGCCTGTCTGTCTGTCTGTCTGTCTGTCTGTCTGTCTGCATTCCGTAGAGACATCACACTCAAACTGACTGGGAACGACAGGCTGAGAAAAGTAGAAAAAGTGACCAACAAAGATGCTCTCGCTTTGTCCAGAACCCTCCGAGACAACGACTCAGTGACAGGTAGCTAGGTCATCATGTTTATACTGTTGAGACTCATTTGGATGCATTCTAACAAAATCCTCAAGTGGGATCCTCTTTTCCATCACTGGGCTGCGAAGTGAGGATAGGATAGGTGAAAGCATTGTAGACATGGAAGTATATGGATATGCTTTCTCCTGTTGGGTTCTCAGATCCAGGGCCGGCACCAGAACGAATCAGTTGGACGGGCCTTTAATTTCCATAGGCACATTTTTTGAGGGACCTCCTATTTGTGCACGCGCTTACGCGTTCACTGTTTTTATTTTATTTATTTTTTATGGGTGTAATAGTAAAGACCATATAGCCAGCTCGTGAGTTTCAAGTTTGGGGAAGCTTACAATTTATCCAACCATTTCTACCGATCTGCGTGGCAATTATGATTAATTTTATATGCGTATTTTCGTGGAACAGTTTATCAAAATCATTTCGTTTTCGTTTCTCAAAATCATTGTCACTTGGTTAATCATAAAAATCTTAAGTAAAATGATACAAATCTAAAAGTTAAAATTCTACTGTGGCGAGAGCACTAGCCTCTGCTATATCTCTGCTATATAGACACATTGACACTGTGATCGATAGGTGGCTAAATAAATGTATAAGCCTATAGGCCAATGCAGCAGTAGGCCTATAACTTCCATATCAACTAAGTAAAATACATAGGCTTAAAGCCGACAAAATAAAAACAGTAGAAAATATCCTGATGAAAATTCTGGTTCTTTCAATCACATTAATCTCTCTACTCCGCCTGTCTGCCTCCCTTTCTATCTGTCTTGACTTGAACTATTGCTAGTGAAGTGCAACATTGTATCAAATCATCACTGGGTCCGCGGAAGCTGTCACTATCGAACTTGCAACATTGTGTCTAACCTATTCTGGACCCTCAGAGTTTCCTGCGCAGTGAACAGAGCTGTTTTTTTATGACGTTTCCACTGGATATATGGGATCATCAGATCATGATATTTTGCGCTTTCACACCGAGACTCGGTGATTATCGAGGCCGGGAGTTTTGGAAAGATTTTTCAAATACTGAGGAACTATCATTTGCAATGGATGTAAAAAATTAAAAATAAAATACTTCCTTGACTTGTGTGAGGCGAAGGAATAAAAAATTACTGAAAAGCTAATATTATTAGTGGTGTATGTGGTGAGTTAAGACAATCAGAAATCAGACATTGTCAAATGGGCACTTTCCTACATATGCATGCATTCTGGAGAGAGAGTGTCACGGCTGATGTGGATGCAGTGTTGGAGTCAGGCGCAGGACACAGAAGCTTAGTCGCAACGCCTTTAATGGTCAAAAGGCAATAACCAAAAATAACGTGCCTCTAACACAGGAGGCGAGCGATCACGCTAACAGTGCGTAAAATACTCAAAACTCGAGAACACAATAACGATACACCACACGGACAGGCGTACAACAACACACAACTGCAAACAAAACCAAAGGAAACTATTAGGTGACATAATCAATACATAATACGAGACAGGTGCACCAACAAGACAAAACCAAACAAACATAGAGAACATCAAACGGTAGCAGCTAGTACTCCGGGGACGACGAACGCCGAAGCCTGCCCGAACAAGGAGGAGGAGCAGCCTCGGCGGAATTCGTGACAGTACCCCCCCCCCCCCCCCCCTTGACGCGCGGCTCCAGCCGTGCGCCGACCCCGGCCTCGGGGACGGCCAGGAGGACGTGGAGCAGGGCGTGTAGGATGACTCCGGTGGAACTCAGTCAGGAGGGATGGATCTAGAATGTCCCTCCTAGGCACCCAGCACCGTTCCTCCGGACCGTACCCCTCCCACTCCACGAGATATTGTAGACCCCCCATCCGGCGTCTCGAATCCACGATGGACCGGACTGAGTACGCCGGAGCCCCCTCGATGTCCAGTGGGGGCGGAGGGGTCTCTCTTATCTCACACTCCTGGAGTGGACCAGCTACCACCGGCCTGAGAAGAGACACATGGAACGAGGGGTTAATGTGATAATCATTAGGCAGTTGTAACTTGTCACACACCTCGTTCAATCTCCTCAGGACTTTAAATGGCCCCACAAACCGCCGGCCAAGCTTCCGGCAGGGCAGACGAAGGGGCAGGTTTCGAGTCGAGAGCCAGACTCGATCTCCAGGGGCGTATACTGGACCCTCACTGCGGTGGAGATCGGCGCTCGCCTTCTGCCTGCGGATGGCCCGCTGCAGATGTACGTGTGCAGCGTTCCACGTCTCCTACGAGCGCCGAAACCACTCATCCACCGCAGGAGCCTCGATCTGGATCTGATGCCATGGTGCCAGAACCGGCTGATACCCCAACACGCACTGGAAAGGGGTTAGGTTAGTAGAGGAGTGGCGAAGAGAGTTCTGAGCCATCTCTGCCCAGGGGATATACCCCGACCACTCCTCCTGCCGGCCCTAGCAATATGATCTCAGAAACCTACCCACATCCTGGTTCACTCTCTCCACCTGCCCATTACTCTCCGGGTGGTAACCCGAGGTAAGGCTAACCGAGACCCCCAAGCGTTCCATGAACGCCCTCCAGACTCTAGAGGTGAATTGGGGACCCCGATCAGACACTATATCCTCGGGAACCCCGTAGTGCCGGAAGACGTGGGTGAACAAAGCCTCAGCGGTCTGTAGGGCAGTAGGGAGACCCGGCATGGGAATGAGAGGGCTCAACACCCTTTTCTCATTCTGACTGACCATCGTAACCTGGAGTACATCCGGGCAGCTAGGAGATTGAACCCTCGTCAGGCTAGTTGGAACATGTTTCTGACCCGGTTCGTTTTTAAGATCACTTACATCCCAGGGTCCCAGAACGGTAAGGCAGTCGCCCTGTCCCGGCGGTATGACACAGAGGAGAGGTCCATTGAGCCCACTCCCATACTGCCGGAGTCTTGTCTGGTGGCACCGGTGGTATGGGAGGTCGATGCGGAAATTGAGCGGGCGTTACGCACCGACCCTACTCCCCCAGAGTGTCCAGTGGGTCGGACGTACGTGCCGCTCGAGGTCCGTGATCGTCTCATTTATTGGGCTCATACGTCACCCTCCTCTGGACATCCAGGTATTGGCCGGACAGTGCACTGCCTTAGTGTTAAGTACTGGTGGCCAACATTGGCTAGGGACGTGAGGGTTTATGTCTCCTCCTGCTCGGTGTGCGCTCAGTGTAAGGCGCCTAGACACCTGCCCAGGGGGAAGTTACAACCCCTGCCCGTTGTAACTGCCAGGTCGCAGTTGTAAATGAGAACTTGTTCTCAACTGGTTTACCTGGTTAAATAAAGGTGAAATAAAATAAAATAAAATAAATTAAAAAAATAAACAACGGCCGTGGTCTCACCTCTCGGTGGACTTTGTCACGGACCTTCCCCCATCTCAGGGGAATACCACTATTCTGGTCGTTGTGGATCGGTTCTCTAAGGCCTGTCGTCTCATTCCCATGCCGGGTTCTCCCTACTTCTCTCTCTAGCGCCAGCACCCCCGAGCTCCATAGGGCTCGGCCCGGAGGTGCTTGGGGATGGAATGGACGGCCCCAACTCGGGACGTCCGCGGGTGGCCAGCAGGGTATCCAGACGGATGGACATGTCCACTAGCTGGTCGAAGGACAGGTTGGTGTCCCTGCAGGCCAGCTCTCGACGAACGTCCTCTCGCAGGCTACACCGATAGTGGTCGATGAGGGCCCTCTCATTCCACCCTGCATCCGCCGCTAGAGTCCGAAAATCCAGGGCGAACTCCTGTGCGCTCCTCTTCCCCTGTCGGAGGTGGAACAGACGCTCCCCCGCCGCTTTACCCTCAGGAGGGTGATCGAAAACAGCCCTGAAGCGGCGGGAGAACTCCGCGTAGCTGATGGTGGCGGCGTCTATTCCCCTCCATTCGGCGTTGGCCCACTCCAACGTCTTGCCGGAGAGACAGGAGATGAGGGCGGAAACGCTCTCGTATCCCGAGGGCGCCGGGTGTATGGTGGCCAGGTAGAGTTCGACCTGAAGGAGGAACCCCTGACACCCGGCTGCGGTGCCATCATACGCCCTCGGGAGCGAGAGCCGAATCCCACTGGATTCCGGAGCTGGTCTGGTGGGGCTTGCCGATGGTGGTGGTAATGTAGGAGGAGGTGTGGGCACGCCTCCCCTTTCCCATCGGCGCAGGGTGTTCATCACCTCCTGCATGGCAGAGCTGAGTTGCTGGATCCTGGCGTCCTGGCAGCTGACCCGATCCTCCAGCGACTCGGTCGGCGCCGCTGCTCCTGTTGACTCCATAGTATGGTGTGTTGTTCTGTCACGGCTGATGTGGATGCGGTGTTGGAGTCAGGCGCAGGACACAGAAGCTTAGTCGCAACGACTTTAATGGTCAAAAGGCAATAACCAAAAATAACGTGCATCTAACACAGGAGGCGAGCGATCACGCTAACAGTGCGTAAAATACTCAAAACTCGAGAACACAATAACGATACACCACACGGACAGGCGTATAACAACACACAACTGCAAACAAAACCAAAGGAAACTATTAGGTGACATAATCAATACATAATACGAGACAGGTGCACCAACAAGACAAAACCAAACAAACATAGAGAACATCAAACGGTAGCAGCTAGTACTCCGGGGACGACGAACGCCGAAGCCTGCCCGAATAAGGAGGAGGAGCAGCCTCGGCGGAATTCGTGACAGAGAGGCACCATAACCTCGCCACACACCCCTCCCCTTCTAATTGATGCAACATTTTAAATTATACTCAAGACACATTATCTTCACACATATTTTAGACGCATTTCACTGTCAGCCGCAACTCAATAAGCCCTGCTCAGATCAGTGCAGGTGAAGGAGAGGAGAGAACTTCACTTATAGATATTGAGATGCACTCTTATGTCAGTGTGTGTTGTTGTTCATCCAGGTGTGTTGTTGATTGACAGGTCTGGACTTGAGGTACAACTGCATCACAGACGAGGGGGCAGAACACCTCGCTGACCTCCTCCAGGTAACCTGGTCACATATAATGGAGGTCGATGAGAACACTGGTCCCATTTCCTAAAATCCAATTCAAATCCAACTAACCTGTGTGTTGTTGTGTGTTATATTGTGTCAGGAGAATGTGTGTCTGCGCTCTCTGGACCTGATGTGTAATGACATTCAGACAGACGGAGCTGAATATATCGCAAAGAGTTTGACTGTATGTATTTATACATTATTTATAAATACACTATGCAGTAGCTAGATAGACCACATAAAACAACATACAGTGCATTCGGAAAGTATTCAGACCCCTTGACGTTTTCCGAATTTTGTTATGTTACAGCCTTATTCCAAAATGGACTAAATCGTTTCCCCCCCTCATCAATCTACACATAATACCCAATAATGAAATGCAAAAACAGGTTTTTAGAAATGTTTGCAAATGTATAATATATAAATTTTTTAAATAGCACATTTACATAAGTATTCAGACACTTTACTCAATACTTTGTTGAAGCCCCTTTGGCAGTGATTACAGCCTTGAGTCTTCTTGGGTATGACGCTACAAGCTTGGCACACCTGTATTTGGGGAGTTTCTCCCACTCTTCTCTGCAGATCCTCTCAAGCTCTGTCAGGTTGGATGGGGAGTGTCACTGCACAGCTATTTTCAGGTCTCTCCAGAGATGTTAGAGCGGGTAAAAGTCCGGGCTCTGGCTGGGCCACTCAAGGACATTCAGAGACTTGTCCCGAAGCCACTTCTGCGTTGGCTTGGCTGTGTGCTTAGGGTCGTTGTCCTGTTGGAAGGTGAACCTTCGCCCCAGTCTGAGGTCCTGAGCGCTCTGGAGCAGGTTTTCATCAAGGATCTCTCTGTACTTTGCTCCGTTCATCTTTCCCTCAATCCTGACTAGTCTCCCAGTCCCTGCCGCTGAAAAACATCCCCACAGCATGATGCTGCCACCACCATTCTTCACCGTAGGGATGGTGCCAGGTTTCCTCTAGACGTAATGCTTGGCATTCAGGCCAAAGAGTTTAATCTAGGTTTCATCAGACCAGAGAATCTTGTTTCTCATGGTCTGAGAGTCCTTTAGGTGCCTTTTGGCAAACTCCAAGCGGCCTGTCATGTGCCTTTTACTGAGGAGTGGCTTCCATCTGGCCACTCTACCATAGAGGCCTGATTGGTGGAGTGCTACAGAGATCTTTTTCCTCCAGGAAGGTTCTCCCATCTCCACAGAGGAACTCTGGAGCTCTGTCAGAGTGACCATTGGGTTCTTGGTCACCTCCCTGACCAAGGCCCTTATCCCCCGATTGCTCAGTTTGGCCGGATGGCCAGCTCTAGGAAGAGTCTTGGTGGTTCCAAACTTCTTCCATTTAAGAATGATGGAGGCTACTGTGTTCTTGGGGACCTTCAATGCTGCAGACATTTTTTGGTACCCTTCCCCAGATCTGTGCCTCGACACAAACCTGTCTTGGAGCTCTACAGACAATTCCTATGACCTCATGGCTTGGTTTTTGCTCTGACATGCACTGTCAACTGTGGGACCTTATATAGACAGGTGTGTGCCTTTCCAAATCATGTCCAATCAATTGAATTTACCACAGGTGGACTCCAATCAAGTTGTAGAAACATCTCAAGGATGATCAATGGAAACAGGATGCACCTGAGCTCAATTTCGAGTCTCATAGCAATGGGTCTGAATACTTACGTAAATAAGGTATTTCTGTTTTTTTATTTTAAATGCATTTGAAAACATTTCTACAAACCTGTTTTCGCTTTGTCATTATGGGGTATTGTGTGTAGATTGATGAGGTAAAACATTTATTTAATCCGTTTTAGAATAAGGCTGTAACATAAGAAAATGTGGAAAAAGGGAAGGGGTCTGAATATTTTCCAAATGCACTGTATGTGCTCTTTGGACCTGATGTGTAACGTCATTCAGTATGGATGTATACATTATTTATACAGTGGGGAAAAAAGTATTTAGTCAGCCACCAATTGTGCAAGTTCTCCCACTTAAAAAGATGAGAGAGGCCTGTAATTTTCATCATAGGTACACGTCAACTATGACAGACAAATTGTGAATTTTTTTCTCCAGAAAATCACATTGAAGGATTTTTTATGAATTTATTTGCAAATTATGGTGGAAAATAAGTATTTGGTCACCTACAAACAAGCAAGATTTCTTGCTCTCACAGACCTGTAACTTCTTCTTTAAGAGGCTCCTCTGTCCTCCACTCGTTACCTGTATTAATGGCACCTGTTTGAACTTGTGATCAGTATAAAAGACACCTGTCCACAACCTCAAACAGTCACACTCCAAACTCCACTATGGCCAAGACCAAAGAGCTGTCAAAGGACACCAGAAACAAAATTGTAGACCTGCACCAGGCTGGGAAGACTGAATCTGCAATAGGTAAGCAGCTTGGTTTGAAGAAATCAACTGTGAGAGCAATTATTAGGAAATGGAAGACATACAAGACCACTGATAATCTCCCTCGATCTGGGGCTCCACGCAAGATCTCACCCCGTGGGGTCAAAATGATCACAAGAACGGTGAGCAAAAATCCCAGAACCACACGGGGGGACCTAGTGAATGACCTGCAGAGAGCTGGGACCAAAGTAACAAAGCCTACCATCAGTAACACACTACGCCGCCAGGGACTCAAATCCTGCAGTGCCAGACGTGTCCCCCTGCTTAAGCCAGTACATGTCCAGGCCCGTCTGAAGTTTGCTAGAGTGCATTTGGATGATCCAGAAGAGGATTGGGAGAATGTCATATGGTCAGATGAAACCAAAATATAACTTTTTGGTAAAAACTCAACGCGTCGTGTTTGGAGGACAAAGAATGCTGAGTTGCATCCAAAGAACACCATACCTACTGTGAAGCATGGGGGTGGAAACATCATGCTTTGGGGCTGTTTTTCTGCAAAGGGACCAGGACGACTGATCCGTGTAAAGGAAAGAATGAATGGGGCCATGTATCGTGAGATTTTGAGTGAAAACCTCCTTCCATCAGCAAGGGCATTGAAGATGAAACGTGGCTGGGTCTTTCAGCATGACAATGATCCCAAACACACCGCCCGGGCAACGAAGGAGTGGCTACGTAAGAAGCATTTCAAGGTCCTGGAGTGGCCTAGTCAGTCTCCAGATCTCAACCCCATAGAAAATCTTTGGAGGGAGTTGAAAGTCTGTGTTGCCCAGTGACAGCCCCAAAACATCACTGCTCTAGAGGAGATCTGCATGGAGGAATGGGCCAAAATACCAGCAACAGTGTGTGAAAACCTTGTGAAGACTTACAGAAAACGTTTGACCTGTGTCATTGCCAACAAAGGGTATATAACAAAGTATTGAGAAACTTTTGTTATTGACCAAATACTTATTTTCCACTTTAATTTGCAAATAAATTCATAAAAAATCCTACAATGTGATTTTCTGGATTTTTTTCCCTACTTTTGTCTGTCATAGTTGACGTGTACCTATGATGAAAATTACAGGCATCTCATCTTTTTAAGTGGGAGAACTTGCACAATTGGTGGCTGACTAAATACTTTTTTTCCCCCACTGTAAACACACTATGCAGTAGCTATATAGACCACATAAACAACATACAGGAAGTCTTGAATACAGGATCTCTCCATTTGTATACACCATGTAAAGTGTGTGTGTTTTTCCCTATCTCCAGTCTAATGAGGCCCTCCTGTCTCTGAGGCTGACTGGTAATAAGATAGGGAACAGAGGAGCCATGCACTTGGCCAGCATGCTGCAGCGGAACTCTACACTACAGGAGCTGGACATGGCCGACTCTGACCTGGTAACTAACTAACTAACACACACACACACACACACACACAGTGTCCGAATACCCATACTAGCGTGTGGGGGGGGGGGGGGGGGGGGGGGGGGGGTGCTGTGAGATTATTTAAGATACTCTTTGAATAGGTAGGGTTTCAGATGTTTTCGGAGAAGGGCAGGTACTCTGATGCCCTACTTCCAGCATTGGGGTGCCTGGACAGAGAAAAGCTTGGACTGGGCTGAGCGTGAGCTGCCCTCCAGTAGGGGTGGGAGGGCCAAGAGACCAGAGGTGACAGAATGGAATACTCGGGTTGGGATGTAGGGTTTGAGCAGAGGCTGAAGGTAGGAAGGGGCAGTTCCTCTTGCTGCTCCATAGGAAAGTGCCATGGTCTTGTAGTGGATGTTTTATTTTTATTTATTTCACCTTTATTTAACCAGGTAAGCCAGTTGAGAACAAGTTCTCATTTACAACTGCGACCTGGCCAAGATAAAGCAAAGCAGTGCGATAAAAACAACAACAACACAGAGTTACATATGGAATAAACAAAAACGTACAGTCAATAACACAATTGAAAATAGAAAATCTATATACACTGTGTGCAAATGTAGTAAGTTATGGAGGTAAGGCAATAAATAGGCCATAGTGCAAAATAATTACAATTTAGTATTAACACTGGAGTGATAGAAGTGCAGAAGATGATGTGCAAATAGAGATACTGGGGTGCAAATGAGCAAAATAATAACAATGTAAATAAACAATATGTGGATGAGGTAGTTGGGCTAATTACAGATGGGCTGTGTACAGATACAGTGATCGGTAAGCTGCTCTGACAACTGATGCTTAAAGTTAATGAGGGAGATAAGTGTCTCCAGCTTCAGAGATTTTTGTAGTTTGTTCCAGTCATTTGCAGCAGAGAACTGGAAGGAATGGCGGCCAAAGGAGGTGTTGGCTTTGGGGATGACCAGTGAGATATACCTGCTGGAGCACATACTACGGGTGGGTGTTGCTATGGTGACCAATGAGCTAAGATAAGGCGGGGATTTGTCCAAGTCCATATTATGGCAAGAACAGCTCAAATAAGTAAAGAGAAACGACAGTACATCATTACTTTAAGACATGAAGGTCAGTCAATACGGAACATTTCAAGAACTGAAAGTTTCTTCAAGTGAAGTTGCAAAAACCTTCAAGCGCTATGATGAAACTGGCTCTCATGAGGACCGCCACAGGACAGGAAGACCCAGAATTGCCTCTGCTGCAGAGGATAAGTTCATTAGAGTTACCAGCCTCAGAAATCGGCAATTAACTGCACCTCAGATTGCATCCCAAATAAATGCTCCACAGAGTTCAAGTAATAGACACATCTCAACATCAACTGTTCAGAGGAGACTGCGTGAATCAGGCCTTAATGGTCGAATTGCTGCAAAGAAACCACTACAAAGGACACCAATAAGAAGAAGAGACTTGCTTGGGCCAAGAAACACGAGCAATGACATTAGACCTGTGGAAATCTGTCCATTGGTCTGATGAGTCCAAATTTGAGATTTTGGGTTCCAACTACTGTGTCTTTGTGAGACGCCAGGTTTGTGGGGTCGTTTCCCATGGGTGGCCAGAATGAAAAATGTATGGACTCACTAACTGTAATTTGCTCTGGATAAGAGCGTCTGCTAAATGACTAAAATGTAAATGTAAAATGTAAAAGGTCGATGAAGACAGCTGCACAGTACTGTCTTTTATCAATCGCGGTTATTATATCGTTTAGGACCTTGAGCGTGGCTGAGGTGCACCCATGACCAGCTCAGAAACCAGATTGCATAGCGGAGAAGGTACGGTGGGATTCGAAGTGATCAGTGATCTGTTTGTTAACTTGGCTTGCAAATACTTTCGAAAGGCAGGGTAGGATGGATATAGGTCTGTAACAGTTTGGATCTAGAGTGTCACCCCCTTTGAAGAGGGGCATGACAACGGCAGCTTTCCAATCTCTGGGGATCTCAGACGATATGAAAGAGAGGTTGAACAGGCTAGTAATAGGGGTTGCGACAATTTCGGCAGCTAATTTTAGAAAGAAAGGGTCCAGATTGTTTAGCCCAGCTGATTTGTAGGGGTCCAGATTTTGCAGCTCTTTCAGGACATCAGCTATCTGAATTTGGGTGAAGGAGAATCGGGGGGGGGGGGGCATGGGCAAGTTGCAGCAGAGGGTGCAGAGCTGGTGGCCGGGGTAGGGGTAGCCAGGTGGAAAGCATGGCCAGCCGTAGCAAAATGCTTATTGAAATTCTCGATTATCGTAGATTTATCGGTGGTGACAGTGTTTCCTAGCCTCAGTGCAGTGGGTAGCTGGGAGGAGGTGCTTTTACTCTCCATGGACTTTACAGTGTCCCAAAACATTTAGGAGTTAGTGCTACAGGATGCAAATTTCTGTTAGAAAAAGCTAGCCTTTGCTTTCCTAACTGATTGTGTATATTGGTTCCTGACTTCCCTGAAAAGTTGCATATCGCGGGGGCTGTTCGATGCTAATGCAATACGCCACAGGATGTTTTTGTGCTGGTCAAGGGCAGTCAAGTCTGAGGTGAACCAGGGGTTATATCTGTTCTTAGTTCTGAATTTTTTGAATGGGGCATGCTTATTTAAGATGGAGAGGAAAGCACTTTTGAAGAACATCCAGGCATCCTCTACTGACGGAATGAGGTCAATATCCATCCAGGATACCCGGGCCAGGTAAATTAGAAAGGCCTGCTCGCTGAAGTGTTTCAGGGAGCGTTTGACAGTGATGAGGGGTGGTCATTTGACCGCAGACCCATTACGGACGCAGGCAATGAGGCAGTGATCGCTGAGATGCTGGTTGAAGACAGTGGAGGTGTATTTAGAGGGTAAATTAGTCAGGATGATATCTATGAGGGTGCCCATGTTTACGGATTCAGGGTTGTACCTGGTAGGTTCCTTGATCATTTGTGTGAGATTGAGGGCATCTAGTTTAGATTGTAGGACGGCCGGGGTGTTAAGCATTTCCCAGTTTAGGTCACCAAGCAGTACGAACTCTGAGGATAGATGAGGGGCAAGCAATTCACATATGGTGTCCAGGGCACAACTGGGGGCTGAGGGGGGTCTGTAGCAAGCGGCAACAGTGAGAGACTTATTTCTGGAAAGGTGGATTTGTAGAAGTAGAAGCTCAAACTGCCGGGGCGGCAGGTAGCTTAGTGGTTAAGAGCGTTGTGCCAGTAACCGAAAGGTCGCTGGTTCTAATCCCCGAGCCGACTAGGTGAAAAATCTGTCGATGTGCCCTTGAGCAAGGCACTTAACCCTAATTGCTCCTGTAAGTCGCTCTGGATAAGAGCGTCTGCTATATGACTCAAATGTAAATGTAAACTGTTTGGGCACAGACCTGGATAGTATGGTAGAGCTCTGCAGGCTATCTCTACAGTAGATTGCAACTCCGCCCCCTTTGGCAGTTCTATCTAGACGGAAAATGTTGTCGTTCGGGATGGACATTTCTGAATTTTTTGGTAGCCTTCCTAAGCCATGATTCAGACATTGCTAGAACATCAGGGTTGGCAGAGTGTGCTAACGCAGTGAATAACTCAAACTTGGGGAGGAGGCTTCTGATGTTAACATGCAAGAAACCAAGGCTTTTACGGTTACAAAAGTCAACAAATGATAGCGCCTGGGGAGTAGGAGTGATACTGGGGGCTACAGGGCCTGGGTTAACCTCTACATCACCAGAGGAACAGAGGAGGAATATAATAAGTATACGGCTAAAGGCTTTAAGAACTGGTCTTCTAGTGCGTTGAGTACAGAGAATAAACGGGGCAGATTTCCAGGCATTGTAGAATAGATTCAGGGCATTATGTACAGACAAGGATATGGAATGATATGAGTACAGTGGAGGTACACCTAAGCATTGGGTAACGATGAAAGAGATAGCATCACTGGAGGTACCGATTGAGCCAGTCTCCGCGTGTATGGGGAGTGGGACAAAGAAGCTATCTGAGGGAGGTTGAGCGGGACTGGGGGCTTTACAGTGAAATAGTACAATAACAACTTACCCAAACAGCAATAGGCTAGGCATATTGACATGGGAGAGAGGCATAACGCAATCACAGGTGTTATTCAAGAGGGCTTAGACAACAACTGGTAATGGCGACGAAAGTTTGGGCTGAGGCTAAACAGATAAACAGGATGGGGTACTGTGTAAAGGTGCTAGCAGATGGATCTTCGTGGTCGTTGCAACGGGAAGCCTGTTGAAACCACATCAGACGATTACGTCGGCAGACCAGTCTTGATGGATTGGCGGGGCTCCGTATCCCGTCCGGTTGACAGAGAGGTGGATAGCCGGGAGATGGGCCTGGCTCGAGGCTAGCTCAAGGCTAACTGGTTCTAGCTTCGGGACAAGTGGTGATTAGTGGTGATTAGCCAACAACAACATCCATTCGGTTGCAGCTAGCTAGTTGTGATGATCCGGTGTTAAGGTCCAGTGATTCAGTGATTCCGGCAGAAAATCTGAAATGCTCTGGGTCGATAGCACGCTGTGCAGACTGGCCGATAATTGTCCAGGCTAGAGCTGGCTGGTAGGTAGTGAAGGCCACGGACAGTGGTGAAGACCGCTAACGGTGGCTAATAGCAATAGCTAATAGCAAGTAGCTAGTTAGCTGGCTAGCTGGCTAGTTTCAGCCGTGGGTTCTTGATAAAAGGTATGAAGAAATAATAGAATCCGTACCACATTGGGTGAGGCGGGTTGCAGGAAAGTATATTTAGTTAAGGATGGAAAGTGAGATAGAGAAATATATACGAAAAAAGACAAAAAAACTGGCTATTTACACGAGGACACAACATAATACATGACCACATTGCTATGCCATCTTGGATGTGAGCCAGTCGAGTGTGCGGACGAGTGCGGTGACATGGGAGAATTTGGGAAGGTTGTTCACCAGTCGGGCTGCAGTGTACTGGATAAGTTGCAGGGGTTTGACGGTACAAGCGGGGAGCCCAGCCAACAACAAGTGCCAGGATTAGGACCTGCGGCGCTTCCTGTGTGAGGTAGGGTCGTACTCTACGGATGTTGTAAGGCATGAACCTGCAGGAGCGAGTCACTGCTTTGATGTTTGCAGAGAACTACAGGGTGTTGTCCAGGGTCAGGCCAATGTTCTTGGCACTCTGGGAGGGGGACACCGTCGAGTTGTCAACCTTGATGGAGAGGTCTTGGAGCGGGCAGGCCTTCCCCGGAAGGAAGAGCAGCTCCGTCTTGTCGAGGTTGAGCTTAAGGTGGTGGGCCGACATCCAAGCTTAGATATCTGCCAAAAACTAAAACAATCCATATGTTTAAATCAAAAGGCCTGATTAACATGACAACAATAACGCAGCCACATCCTGAGTCCCCGGTGACTACACATTCAGAAATCAAAAGATGGTTTAATATTTAGTTTAAAAGCTCTGACGAAGGCCAAGAGAAAAATAAACACTTTTCAATGAGAAAACAGAAATCCACTAAAAAAATTAAAAGATTTTAAAGAGAACAGAAACTAGTTAGCCTACATTTGAACACCACCGGAAACGTGTGCATTGAATTCTACTAGATGAAGAGCTGAAATTAGTACAACATCCTGGCTTTTAAACCATCCTCGATTTTCGAAAATTCACATACTATAAAACATATTTTCGCATTCTAAGAATTCGTTCTGCACGATTGCGTTATTTCCCGCTATTCGTTGATTTATTTTTTGCATACTCAAACGGCCTACTATTTAGGATGCAAGTTTCGGTATTCGGACATGGCCACTTCTCTCTCTCTCTCTCTCTCTCTCTCTGTGTAGGGGACTCAGAGTGTGATAGCGTTTGCCATCGTCTTGAACAATAACAAGAGCCTCCAATCTGTCAACATCAGCAGACCTCTACTCTTCAGCCACCAGGTACACTACACACAATGTCTTCAGAAAGACTACCATGTCAGAAGAACATGTGTGCATGTTTTGTGTGACTGTCTCTTTCTTAGAAAATAAAAGGAAAAACTGCAAACTCTAATGGCTACGATGCAATACGTTTAATAAAGCAACATTTCAACAGCTAAGCTGCCTTCGTCAGGGTTTCATCTGACTCTGTATCTCTCTCTCTGTCCTAGGAGGAGACAGCGGTCCATCTGTCAAGTATGTTGGTGGTTAATCAGTGTCTGAGGGAGCTGCACCTGGGGAAGATGGGTATGACTGACTCTGGAGTGGAGAGACTCACTGAAGCCCTGAGAACCAACTACACCCTCAAATACCTGGACCTACGCTGGTACACACACACACACACCATACACTCACACACACGCACCATACACAGACACACACGCACCATACACACACACACATGCACCATACACAGACACACACGCACCATACACACACACACACACCATACACAGACACATCATACACTCACAGTCCATACACATAGTTACTCGCACCATAAGCACGCTCATAGTTACTCACATCATACACCCCTCTTCTCTGTCTCTCCTCTGCTCAGTAACCGTATGACTCGTGACGGGGCGCGGTGTCTAGCAAATGTCCTGAAGAACAATGGAACCTTGGAGATTCTGGACCTGGCGTCCAATCGCATCGAAGATGATGGCGCCCTCTACCTCAGCCAGGCTATCGCCCTGCCCACCTGCAACCTCAAAGCGTGAGACACACACACACACACACGTCACATTTAACCCACCCCCAACCCTTGAGTGTTTCTTATTGGACAAGTTCAGTTAGTACATGCCTTTTTCACTTTGTTTCAAAACTTTTTATACATTTTCGTTCCTACTGAACACCCCAGGATTTATCCAACTCTCTCTTCTCCCTCTCTCTCTCGCTCCATCTCTCCAGGTTGTCTATACCCAGTAATAACATAGCTACTGTTGGTCTGGTGTCTCTGTCTCGGGCCATGCAGGCTAACAACACTCTCACACACATCTACATTTGGGGGAACAGACTGGAGGAGCCGGTCTGTCAGGTAACACACACACACAAACACACACACCCACAATCAAAATCACACTCTAAACCACACTCTTATTCCCTTTCCCCAGGCATTCAGTGATCTGCTGTCCAGTGGCCGTCTGTCGTCGGAGCAGACCGATGTGTGTGTGTACGAGGTGGACGGGTGTGTGTGTCTGGCCGAGGTCTTCCATGGGCTGAAGAGGCACTACTACTGGACACCCAGCTACGGACAGAATGGAAATCCTGCTAGCAACGCAGCTCTGGCCCTCACAAATACACAACTACATCTTAACTCCTCACACACACCCTAAACCCCTAATAACACTACCCACCTAGCGCACATTCAGTCATACTTTTATCATCAGTGTCAGTGTACATGATGTATACATGCACTCTAATAAATATCTAATAAACTGTTTTAAGTAACTTCTCTGTTCATGTCCTATTTGTATCATGCTCTTGTGTTGTATGTTCACACTGACTACTTCCTGCTGACCTCTTGCCAGGCCCTACTTCTTAAAAGAGGTTTCTAACCTCAAAAAGGTATTTTCCTGGTTAAATAAAGGAAAACAAGAAAGAAAAGAAAAGAAAATGTTCATACATTTGCAATATGGCTGGTACACCGAATATGGCCAACATGTTAATGTGATATAGTTGCCATGGTAACGACCATTTTTGCATAGAACACTAAGAAAGGTTTCGATTGCTCAATGTTCTACATATAGAACAATGGTATGGCTCTGGTAGTTACTATGGCAGTCATGAACTTCGTAATGTTAGTTGGTTGTTAATAAAGCACACATTGAATCCTGAACGTTCCTAAGGAGATGTCCCTTGAATGTTCCTTGTGGTACCTCAAAGATGGCCACCTGTTTAGCCAACACTTAACGTTGACCTGAATTGGATTGAGTTCTAGCAATTGTAACTCTGGTGCTAACATAGATAGTGCCAACTCCTCTCTGTGGCCAATTTGTAAGTCGCTCTGGATAAGAGCGTCTGCTAAATGACTTAAATGTAAATGTAAAATGGTATCGTGAAAGGTAGCTTGATGCTCTCTGTCGTCCACTTCTATGAAAACGTAGAGCTGGTGGTGCGAGATGGGCGGTTGGAGCGTGAGCCTACTGGGTTCACAATGCCTAGGGACTGGCAAGCTAAAATCCTGTTCCTGGACTGGGTCTTACGGCATTCCCCTCCCCGGTGCTCCACCCAGTCCACCTGGAGGAGTTACACGTGGACTGGAACCAGCTCCAACACATCCCACCTGACATCTCCCGCCTCACCAGCCTGCGGGTTCTCTACCTCAACCGGCTGGGCACCGTGTGCCAGGAGCTGGGATGCCTGCCGTAACTACGCTCTCTAGACCTCAGCCACAATCCACTGGACCTCAGCCTGGTACGGAAGACTGGAAGTGATCGTCTGCAGAACGCACTGCAGTGTCTTGGCAAGGTGCGGGAGCTATGGCTATATGGGCTAGAGCTGGAGAGGCTATCCTATTGCCTCTGTCAGAACCTCTACAACCTGGAGCTGTTGGGCCTATTGGAGAACAGCCTGACTACCCTGCCTGCTGAGGTCATCAGCCTGCGACTGCTGAGGGAGCTGTATGTTAGCCAGAACCAGCTGGAGAATGTACCAGAGACACTTGGAGCTCTACTATGTCTGCAGGTCAGATACAATACACTCTATACACACACACACACACACACACATTTACATTTACATTTACGTCATTTAGCAGACGCTCTTATCCAGAGCGACTTACATTATTTATTTTTTCATACCCCCTGTGGGAATCGAACCCACAACCCTGGCGTTGCAAACGCCATGCTCTATCAACTGAGCTACATCCCTGCCGGCCATTCCCTCCCCTACCCTGGACGACGCTGGGCCAATTGCGCGCCGCCCCGTGGGTCTCCCGGTCACGGCCGGCTACGACAGAGCCTGGATCACACACACACACACACACACACACACACACACACACACACACACACACACACACACACACACACACACACACACACACACACACACACACACACACACACACACACTACATTATCAAAAGTATGTGGACACCTGCTTGTCGAACAACTCCTTCCAAAATCGTGGCCATTAATATGGAATTGGTCCCTCCTTTGCTGCTATAACAGCCTCCACTCTTCTGGGAAGCCTTTCCACTAGATGTTGGAACATTGCTGCGGGGACTTGCTTCCATTCAGCCACAAGATCATTAGTGAGGTCGGGCACTGATGTTGAGCGATTAGGCCTGGCTCGCAGTCGGTGTTCCAATTCATCCCAAAGGTGTTTGATGGGGTTAAAGTCAGGCCTCTGTGCAGGCCAGTCAAGTTCTTCCACACCGATCTCAACAAAACATTTCTGTATAGACCTTGCTTTGTGCACGGGGCATTGTCATGCTGAAACAGGAAAGGGCCTTCCCCAAACTGATGCCACAAAGTTTGAAGCACAGAATCATGTCATTGTATGCTGTAGCATTAAGATTTCCCTTCACTGGAACTAAGGGGCCTAGCCCGAGCCATTCCATACACTCCATTCCAGCCATTATTATGAGAGACGTCCTCCTCTCAGCAGCCTCCACTGATAGGGAGCCATATAGTAGTGCTCTATATAGAGAACAGGGAGCCACATGGAACTGCCATACACTATGGGTTAACCTGGAAATCTGAGGTACAGAACACTTGGGGCCTCGACTTGTCATGGAACAGGCTTAGGTGTCTGCCTTGATGCCTGGCTGCCCTCAGTGCACAACTCAGCCTGTCTGGGAACCCACTGGGGGTGTCTACCCCCAAAGGTACACTCACTTATTATTATTATTATTATTATTATTATTATTATTAGGTACACACACACACACACACACACACACAAATGACCCCACCATCACACACACTCATCCTTTCTCTCCCTGTCAGGTGTGTATGTTAGCAGAGCTGCAGGTGTTGTATCTGAAGCAGGTGGGCGTGGCTAGGCTGACCTCTGCTGTCTAAGGGGTCTAATAGAACTGGACCTTAGTGAGAACAGTCGGACATCACTTTCTCCTGATCCTCACACTGGAGAGGCTAGAGACACTAGCACTGGACAACAACCTACTCACTGAGGTACACACACACAAATATTACATATATACATACAGATTAATATACACACACACAATTATATTACTGTATATATTTAGTGTTTGTCTGTTCCCCAGCCGCAGGCTGAGGTGTCTGGGTGTGTCAGCTAACCGTTTCCCAGGCTTCCCCTTGGCCCTCTGCCAGCATTAGAGAGAGGCTCTACCTGGGCCAAGACCAGGGTCTAAAGTTACTAGACTCGCCTAACATCGCTCAGCTCTAGGTAAGAGTCATAGCCTCTCAAGTATGAAGGCCATCAGCCCAGCTCTCTATCTGTAGGAAACACAGGGCTGTGTGTGTGTGTGTGTGTGTGTGTGTGTGTGTGTGTGTGTGTGTGTGTGTGTGTCAGAGAGTATCAGGTTGCAGGTGCTGGAGGTTCTAGATCAGGGTTCTTCAATTCCGGTCCTGGAGGGCCGAAACACTTCTGTTTTTTATTTCTACCTGGTAGTTAATTGCACTAACCTGGTGTCCCAGGTCTGAATTAACCCCTGATTAGAAGGAGAGGATGAAAAACAGAGGTGTTTCGGCCCTCCAGGACCGGAATTGAAGAACCCTGTTCTAGATCTTCATGGAAACGCCCTGACCACTCTGCCCGACACACTCTGCACACTGCCTGGTAACCACACACACGCTATATATATATATATATATATATATATATATACACACACACAAACACACACACACCTAACTCTTTACTCTCCTTTCCCCCCAGCTTTAAGGGAGTTGTATACACAGGATAACTGTCTATCAGCTTTGCCCAAATATCTGCCTCTCATGCGCCACCTGGTGGTTTTACAGCTGAATTACAACCCTCTGGTAGACGTTATGCCTCAAGGCTATACACCTATACCTAAAGGAGACAAGTTCCGCAAGGCCATGCAGATGCTACAAACACACGTACGGGTGCACGTAAATAACTGAAGGGCTAACACAGTCTTGTGGCGCACAGGAGATCTGAGTTTCTGAACCCAGTTGGTCACACATATACAGTGGGGAGAAAAAATCCAGAAAATCACATTGTATGATTTTTAAGTAATTAATTTGCATTTTATTGCATGACATAAGTATTTGATACATCAGAAAAGCAGAACTTAATATTTGGTACAGAAACCTTTGTTTGCAATCCTTCAGGTTTCGGGGCTGTCGCTGGGCAATACAGACTTTCAGCTCCCTCCAAAGATTTTCTATTGGGTTCAGGTCTGGAGACTGGCTAGGCCACTCCAGGACCTTGAGATGCTTCTTACGGAGCCACTCCTTAGTTGCCCTGGCTGTGTGTTTCAGGTCGTTGTCATGCTGGAAGACCCAGCCACGACCCATCTTCAATGCTCTTACTGAGGGAAGGAGGTTGTTGGCCAAGATCTCGCGATACATGGTCCCATCCATCCTCCCCTCAATACGGTGCAGTCGTCCTGTCCCCTTTGCAGAAAAGCATCCCCAAAGAATGATGTTTCCACCTCCATGCTTCACGGTTGGGATGGTGTTCTTGGGGTTGTACTCATCCTTCTTCTTCCTCCAAACACGGCGAGTGGAGTTTAGACCAAAAAGCTCTATTTTTGTCTCATCAGACCACATGACCTTCTCCCATTCCTCCTCTGGATCATCCAGATGGTCATTGGCAAACTTCAGACGGGCCTGGACATGCGCTGGCTTGAGCAGGGGGACCTTGCGTGAGCTGCAGGGTTTTAATCCATGACGGCGTAGTGTGTTACTAATGGTTTTCTTTGAGACTGTGGTCCCAGCTCTCTTCAGGTCATTGACCAGGTCCTGCCGTGTAGTTCTGGGCTGATCCCTCACCTTCCTCATGATCACTGATGCCCCACGAGGTGAGATCTTGCATGGAGCCCCAGACCGAGGGTGATTGACCGTCATCTTGAACTTCTTCCATTTTCTAATAATTGTGCCAACAGTTGTTGCCTTCTCACCAAGCTGCTTGCCTATTGTCCTGTAGCCAATCCCAGCCTTGTGCAGGTCTACAATTTTATCCCTGATGTCCTTACACAGCTCTCTGGTCTTGGCCATTGTGGAGAGGTTGGAGTCTGTTTGATTGAGTGTGTGGACAGGTGTCTTTTATACAGGTAACGAGTTCAAACAGGTGCAGTTAATACAGGTAATGAATGGAGAACAGGAGGGCTTCTTAAAGAAAAACTAACAGGTCTGTGAGAGCCGGAATTCTTACTGGTTGGTAGGTGATCAAATACTTATGTCATGCAATAAAATGCAAATTAATTACTTAAAAATCATACAATGTGATTTTCTGGATTTTTGTAAAAAAAAAATACAGACCTCTACATGCTTTGTAAATAGGAAAACCTGCAAAATCAGAAGTGTATCAAATACTTGTTCTCCCCACTGTACATACAGTGTTTCTGTGATCAGATCCAGGCATGGTGGCGGGGCCGATGGTCCGGAGGGGCTTTGGAATGTTCAGAGAACTGGAGAAGGACAGAAGAAGAGTGATGGAAGAGAGGAAAGAGAGGGAGAATAAACTTGCAGTGAAGGAGAAGAAAGCACCTGCCAGCAAGAAGAATAAATGTTCATGTTCTGTTTCTATCTGAGATGAGAGAATGTGAAACACATTAAACACAATATGACACACACTCTACTTTCCGCCTGCAGAATTATTACACACACACTCCAAGGAGTCAAACGTGTTATTCATGTACCCGGTACATCATTTATTGAAACAATTATCAGCATGTCAGAGTGAAGCTAAAAGTCAAATTAACAGAGTTGGCTAAACAGCTCAGATCAGTAGACTCACAGTGTTAGTAGTTTTACTGATGGAAACGTCTTACTTTCATCAAAGTCATTTTTCAGCGGGAAAACAATGTGCAAACTGTATTGTGTATGTGCATGGTGCTTAATATCACAAGATTATTTTGGGTGCTTGATCTAAAAAGACAATATAATTAGCAAAGCCCTTAAATGTTAGAAATGCTAAACATTAGATACATTTCCATGAAATCAATTAAAACAAGAGCCCCTCCAATTCCCTTCTCTCTTTCTAGCTCTACTCCTCATAGCGTTCCTCCTCTGGCCCCTCCTGATTGGCGGACGAGGCAAACGGGGGGGGGTCCAACTCTAACAGGACTTTCCTCTTCCTGAGGGCGTGGTTTACCTGCTCCCGCTCCTGGAGGAGAGAAGGATGAAATAACATACAACTGATAGTTCCGGCCACTCATTAAAATTGGCCCGTGATTTTATGCCACATAGACGAAAAGTCAGTACCATGTCAGTGTTTGTGTGTGTGTGTGTACCTGGGCTGTGAGAGTCCATCGCTGAAGAGAGAGACGTGTCAATGCAGGTAGACGAGGAAAAGCAGAGAGCAGGGTTGGCAGCCAGGTCAGGGGTGAGGGGTTAGATGTCAGGAGTGAGGGCTTAGAGGTCAGGGGTCGCAGACTAAGGTCCAGCTCCTCCAGTGAGCCCAGCCCCCCCTCCCTTAGCAACCCACACCACCCCTCCTCCCCCACCCCTCCGTTATAGGACAGGTCCAACACACGCAGAGAGGACAGAACGCCACGCTTACACACTACAGCTAGGGGGAGAAGGAAAGATTATTAGACTCACCTGTATTTGTGTCAGTAGGTGTGTATAGTGTGCGTATGCATGTGTGTACCCAGATGAAGCAGGTCGTCAGTGGTGAGGTCACAGCTGCTAAGGCGGAGCTCCTGGGTGATTGACGGCTGCAGAGCTTCCAATAGCTGTGCCAGACGCCCGCCCACCACCTTACTCCAGGACACATCTATACACCGCAGGTACGGCATAGCTACAGCTGGAACACGCACATATGGAATATTTTATTTGGATTCAAGCAGTCAAACAGGAGCCTCATCTTGAAGTACACTAGACTAGAATAAGTAGCAGACAGTAATAGTGGAGTACCGAGTGCGGTGAATGATTCGTGGTTCAGACTGCAGCCGTTGAGTGGGAGGAGTTTAATCTGTGACAGCGGGAGGGCGGAGACTAGATCACTGACCACACCCCCAACCTCCTTATTGGATGACAGGTCAAGTTCCGTCAGCTCAGTGAGCGAGGGCAGCGCCTGGACTGGAGACAATACACACACACACATTCAAAGGTACGCAATTTCTTAAGACAGACATACCACTTTTCTCTCTCTCTCACACACACACACACACACACAGACTCACTGAGGGCCTGTAGGTCTGTGTGTGTGAGGCAGCAGAGGTGCAGGTCCAGCCCGCCCAGATGTGAGAGGAGAGCCAGGTGAGGAGAGAGGAGGGACAGCCCCCCGGCCACACCCTTATTACAGGACAGGTCCAACTGACACAGGGAGCGGAGGCAGTGGAACGAACCACCTGTAGAGAGAGAGAGAGGGGTGGATCAAATTAACAGTGTCCGGATCTATGAGGACTGATAGATGAATTGGCCCCTAAACAAACACTAATCTAAGGCCAATTTCTCTCCCTTATGTGTTTGACTGGCGTCTTACCCAACAGGCCGAGGGACTGTGTGGTCAGGCCACAGTCGTGTAGTCGTAGGGTGGTCAGGGAGGGGGTGTGGCTTAGGGAAGGGACTAACCCCCCCAAACCCCACACGCCGCCCGTCCCTGGCTCTGTCTTGGACATGCTGCCTGTGAAAGAAAAATAACATCAAGAACATTTAAATATCAACCGCAACTATATCAACTACAACAAGTGAGTAAGGGCCAGCCCCCTTTTTAATTTAGGAGGGTTGGCTTCTAGCACCCTTTTATTGTTGTAGTTTTTTATAATAAAGAGTTGAGCACCTTCCTCTGCTTCTGTCTGTGTGTTGGCCAGGAGAGGGTTGCAAGACACATCCAACACACACAGTCTGGGGAGAACACTCACTATACAACCTGGGATGAGAGAGAGAGGGGAGAGATACCTTTCATTTACCTTTTTACTTAACCTGGTACAACTTTGTTTTTGTGTGTGTGTGCCTGTGCGTGCATGTGTACATACCCAGTATACTAGCGTCAGTTTCAGTGAGCTGGCAGGCCACCAAGTAGAGCTCTCTAAGGGTTGGGTGGAGTTTACCCACAATGCCTTGCAAAGCTGAGCCGCCAACACCAGCGTTCCAGGACAGGTCCAGAACCTCCAACACCGGAACACACTCCAATGCCTCACCTACACACACAAACAAACACAAACTCAGGTGGTCTGCAAAATAACCACTAATGTAAAGACACAGTAAGTGTGTACAGACGTGGTCAAAAGTTTTGAGAATGACACAAGTATTGGTCTTCCCAAAGTTTGCTGCTTCAGTGTTATGAGATATTTTTGTCAGATGTTACTATGGTATACTGAAGTATAATTACAAGCCTTCCATAAGTGTCAAAGGCTTTTATTGACAATTACATTAAGTTTTATGCAAAGAGTCAATATTTGCAGTGTTGACCCTTCTTTTTCAAGACCTCTGCAATCCACCCTGGCATGCTGTCAATTAACTTCTGGGCCACATCCTGACTGATGGCAGCCCATTCTTGCATAATCAATGCTTGGAGTTTGTCAGAACTTGTGGGTTTTTGTTTGTCCACCCGCCTCTTGAGGATCGACCACAAGTTCTCAATGGGATTAAGGTCTGGGGAGTTTCCTGGCCATGGACCCAAAATGTAGATGTTTTGTTCCCTGAGCCACTTAATTATCACTTTTGCCTTATGGCAAGGTGCTCCATCATGCTGGAAAAGCCATTGTTCGTCACCAAACTGTTCTTGGATGGTTGGGAGAAGTTGCTCTCGGAGGATGTGTTGGTACCATTCTTTATTCATGGCTGTGTTCTTAGGCAAAATTGTGAGTGAGCCCACTCCCTTGGCTGAGAAGCAACCCCACACATGAATGGTCTCAGGATGCTTTACTGTTGGCATGACACAGGACTGATGGTAGAGTTCACCTTGTCTTCTCCGGACAAGGTGTTTTCCGGATGCCCCAAACAATCGGAAAGGGGATTCATCAGAGAAAATGACATTACCCCAGTCCTCTGCAGTCCAATCCCTCTACCTTTTGCATAATATCAGTCTGTCCCTGATGTTTTTCCTGGAGAGAAGTGGCTTCTTTGCTGCCCTTCTTGACACCAGGCCATCCTCCAAAAGTATTCGCCTCACTGTGCGTGCAGATGCACTCGCACCTGCCTTCTGCCATTCCTGAGCAAGCTCTGCACTGGTGGTGCCCCGATCCTGCAGCTGAATCAACTTTAGGAGACGGTCCTGGCGCTTGCTGGACTTTCTTGGGCGCCCTGACGCCTTCTTCACAACAATTTAACCTCTCTCCTTGAAGTTCTTGATGATCCGATAAATGGTTGATTTAGGTGCAATCTTACTAGCAGCAATATCCTTGCCTGTGAAGCCCTTTTTGTGCAAAGCAATGATGATGGCACGTGTTTCCTTGCAGGTAACCATGGTTAACAGAGGAAGAACAATGATTTCAAGCACCACCCTCCTTTTAAAGCTTCCAGTCTGTTATTCTAACTCAATCAGCATGACAGAGTGATCTCCAGCCTTGTCCTCGTCAACACTCTCACCTGTGTTAACGAGAGAATCACTGACATGATGGCAGCTGGTCCTTTTGTGGCTGGGCTGAAATGCAGTGGAAATGTTTTTTGGGGATTTAGTTAATTCTCATGGCAAAGAGGGACTTTGCAATTAATTGCAATTCATCTGATCACTCTTCATGATATTCTGGAGTATATGCAAATTGCCATCATCAAAACTGAGGCAGAAGACTTTGTGGAAATTAGTATCTGTCATTCTCAAAACTTTTGAGCACAACTGTAGGTTAGGTGTCTCTCTTTAAGCCCCACCCAGAGCAGTGATGTCATCAGCAGTCAGCCTACAGCAGGAAAGTCTGAGGGTTCTGAGCCCACCCACGTTCTGGAGGTGAAAGGTCAATGATCTCAGACATCCTCCAATCAGCTCGTTCCATGACAGGTCCATCTCCTCCAATAGAGACAGAGAGTGGAGCAAGGTAGCTGAGAGAGAGAGACAGGGTGAATGAGGGCACAAAAAGATGACACCAACATCATATGAGGAGTGTGTGTGTATACTAACCAAGTTCCAGTACGTCAGTAGCAGTGAGGTCACAGTGAGCCAGACTCAGAGTCCTGCTGTCTGCTCTCTTCCTCAGCCTCTTGACAAACACACACACACGACCCCAGCCCATGTCACACACATTCTCTGCTGGGTCAGGAACAACACCTAGGACTCGACACAAACACCACAAACACATCATACGTTAAGTTATCCTAAGACACACTACAATTCCAGTGAAATGGTTCTGACTATAGGCACTAAATACTTTTGCTGCTTATTGAGGTTCTCACAGTCCTCTCACCTGCTCCCTCCCTCTCCTTCTCCGTCTCTCTGTCTTCGGGAAGCCCTCCGCTCTCCGCTTGGCGGGACCGGAAGTGGCGGGACGTTGACTTCCTGTCTGAGGGCATGCGTTTCCTGCGGATCTGGTTCATGATGAGGTCAAACGGCGAACGTCCCCGCCCCCACTGGACATCTGGCCAATCACAAACAGACATGAGCAGGCATCTAATCAATCCCAAATTGACCCCTACCGTCTACCCCTCTCCCCCCCACCCAGTTCTGGAGAGTTACAGGGTGTGCAGTATTTTGTTCCAGCCCAGCTCTAACACACCTACTATATTCAGTCAAGTGATCAATTGAGTCATGGACTGCTGAATGGCCGTAACAGATCAATCAGATTTTCCAATCTCATTCCAAACTTTATCATTTCTTAATCATCAGTAGGACATAATCAGTAGGCTAGGAGTTCAATATCTGAGCCTAGACCTGTATAGGAGCAAAAACATAAAGCAACATACCTGACGATTCCATCCTTCAGTGCAGCTCAGCAACTCAAATAGCTCTGCAACTGTTTATGATCAGATGGTGCACAGATCACACACACAGTGACACAGATACCATTATCAATGACAATTTCTGCCTAGAAGAGCAAGACTTTTGTATTTAATCTTTTGAGTAGGCCTACCGAATTTAACACTAACAATCTTATTTAAAACGCAATCGAGCTCCCCCAAAGAAACACAAGCTGCGTGTGTCTTGTCTCTTTTGTTGCGAAAAACATAACATTTTTAGGCATTTAAAGTTTACAATGCATACTTTTTGATCCGTGTTCTTTCCTGGCCGCCGAACAGCGTCTGTGGCAGGTGTAGGCTACTTCAGCCCCAAGTAGAGGCTGTCCTGTACAGATCTAGGATCGGCTTGTCGCCCCCAAACCCCCTTTAGCTCATTTAACGCCAAATTGACCTTGGATCTCGTCTACAGATGCGAATCCTTCGGATATTGTCACTCCGTGTTGACGCGTGGTGTCTCGTGATCCTCGGTGTTGTCTTCAGTAGTTATCACAGCTAAACCCCGCCTATTTCTACAATGTATCTTCTTAAAATCTGATTTTAAACCTAACCCTAACCTTAACCATACTGGTAACCATATGCCAACCATATGCCTAACTCACATTAAATTAAGACCAAAAAGCACATTTTGTTTTCATCACCTTTTACGATATAGCCTAGCCAATTTGGACTTTGTGGCTGTGGTAACTAGTGACAACCATCAGGTGTGCCATCCATCCATCCAGGAAGTAGACTTCGGAACTCCTTTAGTAAACAAACACGACAGCTTGCAACATAGTAAAGACAGAGCTACAATCTATTTTCTCATCTAGGTCAAACAGAGATGATTGAATAACGCTGAAATATTTGGTTTGATCAATAAATATTTTATTTATTACAACATTACATTCATATAATAACTTAATTATCATTATATTACATATATCACCCAAGGATAATAAGGCTATAAGACTACTCAAAGGAAACATATAGTGGGGAGAACAAGTATTTGATACACTGCCGATTTTGCAGGTTTTCCTACTTAAAAAACATGTAGAGGTCTGTCATTTTTATCATAGGTACACTTCAACTGTGAGAGACGGAATCTAAAACAAAAATCCAGAAAATCACATTGTATGATTTTTAAGTAATTAATTTGCATTTTATTGCATGACATAAGTATTTGATACATCAGAAAAGCAGAACTTAATATTTGGTACAGAAACCTTTGTTTGCAATTACAGAGTTTCCTGTAGGTCTTGACCAGGTTTGCACACACTGCAGCAGGGATTTTGGCCCACTCCTCCATACAGACCTTCTCCAGATCCTTCAGGTTTCGGGGCTGTCGCTGGGCAATACGGACTTTCAGCTCCCTCCAAAGATTTTCTATTAGGTTCAGGTCTGGAGACTGGCTAGGCCACTCCAGGACCTTGAGATGCTTCTTACGGAGCCACTCCTTAGTTGCCCTGGCTGTGTGTTTCGGGTCGTTGTCATGCTGGAAGACCCAGCCACGACCCATCTTCAATGCTCTTAATGAGGGAAGGAGGTTGTTGGCCAAGATCTCGCGATACATGGCCCCATCCATCCTCCCCTCAATACGGTGCAGTCGTCCTGTCCCCTTTGCAGAAAAGCATCCCCAAAGAATGATGTTTCCACCTCCATGCTTCACGGTTGGATGGTGTTCTTGGGGTTGTACTCATCCTTCTTCTTCCTCCAAACACGGCGAGTGGAGTTTAGACCAAAAAGCTATATTTTTGTCTCATCAGACCACATGACCTTCTCCCATTCCTCCTCTGGATCATCCTGATGGTCATTGGCAAACTTCAGACGGGCCTGGACATGCGCTGGCTTGAGCAGGGGGACCTTGCAGGGGGGGTAGAAGGATTACTTTATCCTATCCCAGGTATTCCTTAAAGAGGTGGGGTTTCAAATGTCTCCGGAAGGAGGTGAGTGACTCTGCTGTCCTGGCGTCGTGAGGGAGCTTGTTCCACCATTGGGGTGCCAGAGCAGCGAACCGTTTTGACTAGGCTGAGCGGGAACTATGCTTCCGCAGAGGTAGGGGAGCCAGCAGGCCAGAGGTGGATGAACACAATGCCCTCGTTTGGGTGTAGGGACTGATCAGAGCCTGAAGGTACGGAGGTGCCGTTCCCCTCACAGCTCCGTAGGCAAGCACCATGGTCTTGTAGCAGATGCGAGCTTCAACTGGAAGCCAGTGGAGTGTGCGGAGGAGCTGAGTGACGTGAGAGAACTTGGGAAGGTTGAACACCAGACGGGCTGCAGCATTCTGGATGAGTTGTAGGGGTTTAATGGCACAGGCAGGGAGCCCAGCCAACAGCGAGTTGCAGTAATCCAGACGGGAGATGACAAGTGCCTGGATTAGGACCTGTGCCGCTTCCTGTGTAAGGCAGGGTCGTACTCTCCGAATGTTGTAGAGCATGAACCTACAGGATCGGGTCACCGCCTTGATGTTAGCGGAGAACGACAGGGTGTTGTCCAGGGTCACGCCAAGGCTCTTCGCACTCTGGGAGGAAGTGATGGCGAGATCATGGAACAGGCAGTCCTTCCCCGGGAGGAAGAGCAGCTCCGTCTTGCCAAGGTTCAGCTTGAGGTGGTGATCCGTCATCCATACTGATATGTCTGCCAGACATGCAGAGATGCGATTCGCCACCTCTACATGCTTTGTAAGTAGGAAAACCTGCAAAATTGGCAGTGTATCAAATACTTGTTCTCCCACTGTATGTGGATTACATATTGACTTTATGTAAATATTTAGCCATTTTTACTGGAAATATATAAGCCTAATGTACAGTAAAAGATGGTTCCCAAAAAGCACCCTTTTAAAGTAATAAAATCTCTCTGGGTTGTCAGGAAACTTCTGTGTCTCTTCACTCACTCTCACACTGGTCAGATCCTCAGACAATGTGAGATCTGAATGGACAGTGTTGGGGTCCAGAATCCCAGGATCTGAAGAGAGAGAGAGAACAAGAAATTAACCCTGTGAGACCCCGGTTGCAAAAATGCAACAGGTCCTAAACTCATGTCAAACACTACCTAGTTCATCTCCTTAGACCCAAATGTATATCTTAAAAGCATTTGTTGTGTGTCCTGTCTTCTCTAAGATGTAGTGATTATGTAGAAAAAAAGAAACACAGAAACAAACATTCTAAGCACTTGTAAAAACACTTGGGTCACACAGGTTGTCCTGGACTAAAATGCATGCTCAATGGAGAGTCTAAATTTAAAGTGCTATAGAATTAATGTTGTGAAAACTGTTTAAGGTACTCACTGCATGCCACATACGCCTGCATCTTCTCCCAGACTCTGAACTGCATGTTGCCCAGGTGACTGCATGTTGCCCAGGTGTTTGGCCACATCTATCAGCGCTCCTGAGACCAGGTGTGGATCTGGCAGTGTGCACTAGGTTCTGGAAGAACAGTCAGGAGTCAGTGCTGCTGTGGGGTTGGGTTCAGAACCACAGAGAAGAGAAAGACAGGAGGCAGATCACTTACCTTTCCTTCAAAGCCTTGAAGATCTGCAGAGGAACAAAATACCAGATTTAATGAAACAATCAATCAATATTTATTGATCAGTCAATAAACATATTAGTCCTGACCTGCAGGAAAGATATGTCTTCAGATTTCAGCTCATCCTCTATGGATGGCTCTGAGTGTGTCTGAAAGTGATGATATCTCTGCTGATCTCCTCAATCTTTTGTCTCATCAACTGACTCTTCTGCTCCTCTTCCTCCCTCAGCGCAGCTATCCTGGCATCCTCTTCCTCTTGTAGAAACTGGTGAAGATTCTCAAATGCCTCCCTAATCTGTCTCTCTGTGGTCTGGGCCTGGCTCTAGAGACAATGAGAGGAATGGTAGTTATTATCAGGTACTCCCAGGCATCTACAGTATGTAGAGATCACAGAATTCTCTCATCACTAAATATCCTTACTTTGATGTGTTCTGCTGTTTGATCACAGGTTTGTTTAATAATATTTAAATCCTCCAGCTTCTCCTGTAAGGGCTTCAGGGCAGTCTGGAGTTCCTCCTGGAATGTGGGGATGTTATCGGAGAAAGAGAGAGAGGGGCGTAGGGAGATAACAATTATATGAACAATTTATGTGTTTAACTTCACATCTTTAACCAATCATACCTTGTGGTCCTGTGCAGCTTTATCTATGGGTCTGAAGTTGTGTTTGGTGTGTTTTTTTAAATCCCGACACACCACACACACTGGCTGTTTATCCTCCAGACAGAAGAGCCTGAGTTTCTCACTGTGCAGACTACAGAGCAACTCTGATCCTGTTGGACTTTTTGCATCTCTTCTCCTGCAAACAGGACATTCCTTTCCTTCCTTCTCTCTCCAGTGTTCTTGCAGACAGGCTTGACAGAAGCTATGACTACATAGCAGGATGACAGGATCCCTGAAGATGTCATGGCACAGAGGACAGGAGAGATCCTCCTCTGGGAGACGGTTTGGGAAGCTTTGTCTCCTCTGGTGGAAGAGGTTCAGGAGCAGTGTCCTCCTCTGGTTGAAGAGGTTCAGGAGCAGTGTCCTCCTCTGGTGGAAGAGGTTCAGGAGCAGTGTCCTCCTCTGGTGGAAGAGGTTCAGGAGCAGTGTCCTCCTCTGGTCTCCCGAGTGGTGCAGTGGCTGTGCCACTAGAGATCCTGGTTCGAATCCAGGCTCTCTCGTAGCCGGCTGCGACCGGGAGACCCATGGGGCGGCGCACAATTGGCCCAGCGTCGTCCAGGGTAGGGGAGGGAATGGCCGGCGGGGATGTAGCTCAGTTGGTAGAGCATGGCGTTTGCAACACCAGGGTTGTGGGTTCGCTTCCCACGGGGGGTATAAAATAATAATGTATGCACTAACTGTGAGTCGCTCTGGATAAGAGCATCTGCTAAATGACTTAAATGTTGAGGTTCATCTGTCTTCCTACTCTCCAACAACTCCTCTGTAATTGCTAAAATGAAAGGTTTCAGTTTCAATATTGGTAATAAAAAACCCAGGATTTCACTTTGTCAGACAGTGAGTGAAAATGTACAGTAAGTCTGATATTTAAACCTAATGTGAGTCATTACCTGATAGGCTTTCAGTTTGTAGTCTCTCAGCAAGAATGTTGAGGTTCATCTTCCTCAGGATCTCCAGTGACATCCTCACAACACCCTTAAGTTCATAGGCCTGCACCATGATATCCACAGTGTCTTCCCTCTCTGTGTGCTCCAGCTGGGCCTTTGGGATGTGACAAAAGCCATCCAGCACACTATTATTCAGAGGCCATTTAAATCTCTGAAAGTCTCCTTTCTTCAGCTCCTCCAAAGTGAACAGCAGCAGCTCAGGAACTGATTTCCCCACTGTAGATCACCAGATACACTACCACAAAGTGGTTTACTTTGCAGTTTTTGGAAGTTTTCATGCATTTCCCATTATCCTTGTATTCGGCAATTGTTAAAAATCTAAATCCAAGTGCTCCATTGTCAGACCAAGCTGAATGTTATAGCACTGAGCTGAACTTTATCCCAACAGGTGAGTTAGGGGTAGTGTTCACAGGTAAATCATTAATGAGTATGTGTTTATAGTTGTATTCAGGATTTACAGAAGCTGTGACTAAACAACAATACGACGGTATCTTCAAAGATGGAAGCAATTTCTCTCATGTTTTATTTTATTTTTATACAGTATTAATAAACCCTATTTTTATTCTTGCCACTAACCTGCTGCAGTTGGACAGAAACATATCTAAATAGATCATTCCTTTATAAGAAGTTGCCAATCGAACCCTATAGAATATTAAAGCAGCACAAACTCACAGGCGTTTGTTCCAAATGTATATTTTATTAGATTCCACTGAAAGCTGTTAACAGCAGAACACACACAGCACTATCAACCACCTGTTACTCCAGGGCTTATTCAGGAAGGAGCAACGCTTACTGTACAGCCAGATAGAAATATATAAAATAGAAAATAGATTCTCTGTCATGTGGAATTAATAGGGATTCATGTCATCACAGCTCTATCCATTACATTTCTATCTGTAGCGTTGTGAGTGTTGCCCCCTGTTCCATCATTCCCAGTCCTGCTTTGGGAGATACTCATCTTAAAACCCCAGACCAGCTACCTTCCTTTACCCCTCCCTGGCTGCATCTCAATACTTTACTGTGTCTTCCTCTCCTCGTCTCTTCTTCTTCTTCGTCTGCACTGATCTGAAAACAAGACAGATGAAAGCAGTAGATGCCTATGAGGAACCTGCTTTCACCTGTCGCAGTTTTTAATTGATCATTGCAGATGTAGGAGAGGAGACAAAGTGAGGAAGCCAGTATAGACAATTGAGATGCAGCCTCCGTCCTTCCCCCTCCCGGGGCAGGTATCCCTCTCTCGGCAACTGTACAGGTGTGTGTGTGTATGAAAAAGAGTATGTTGGGTGTGTAGTCTGGTTGAGAGGGTGTCACCATGGAGACACACTTCCAGTTTGGTTGCTCAGTCATCGTCCACCGTGGGGGTGATAGTCACGCCCCTTCTGATCTGGCCCCAGCCAATCAGACTGCAGAGAGAAAAGAGACAACGAATGAGCCACGATAGTCAGGGTAAACAGCCAAACACACACACATATATGAAATCAACACCTCCCCTCTCTCTTACCGCCAATGTTTCTCCACACGACGGCTGAGAGCGATCTTCTCTCCAACCTCTGTGCAGACAGGGTTGGTCAGGACGATCTTGGCCAGATCAGCCTTCACTGCGCTCACTCTGCCGCCTGTAGACAGACTACCGATGTTCACCATCAACACCTCATTCTTAGACAGCTTCTGGACCTGAGGGGAAAAACACAGAGACAGAAAAAAGACTTTGGAGTAGAGACAAAACCTCTCACTTACTGACACAGACTCTCACTGGGTGCATCTCTAAAGATGCTTCCTCCTCTAAATTTCATTTAAAAATTAATTATGTTCCCATCCACAACATTACAACACCAAGCCCAGGAGTATCAGACTACAGTTCCGAGGGTGTAGTGCTGACCTTGGCGGCCTTCTTGTCTCCTTCAGTGCGGACTCCCAGAAGCCTCCTCAACAGGAAGTAGGAGATTTCCAGCTCTGTGAAGATCTCAGGTAGCGCTCCGACCGCTCCCAGCACCTGGCCTACCATACGGTCAGCTCTGCACAGGGTCGGGTCAATCTTAGTGCCTACACCTGGATAGGACAGAGAGAACCCATACCTGAGTGTTTATACCCATATTAGAAACAACACACACCTGACCCACCATACTGTCACAGTAACACACAAGTCCATACCGATGAGTCCTCCGGGTGCTGCATACTGTAAGTCGTTGTGTTCAGCAAACAGTGAGACGATCTTGGAGAAAATGGGTTTACACATCAGCTTCCCCTCATGGTCCTTAGACACAATGCCTGGACGCACCTCCAACTCCTGACCCACCTGGAGAGGGACCGATATATAAAAGGAGGGAGGCAGGTATTGAGAGAAAGAAGAGGGAAATGGAGAGGGAAGAGAGAGAGAGGGTGAAAGAGACGGGAGAGGAGAAACAGAGAGAGGAAAGAAAGAGGAGGGAGTGAAAGATACCGGTGAATGAAAGTGAGTCAGAGCTTCATAAGAACTTTGCGCCATAGGACCACTTGCCCATGATGCTTTGGGGAAGAAGAAGTGAGTCCTACCTTGAGCACGCCTTTTAGAATACTGCCTCCGGCCACACCTCCTTTTAGGTCGTCTACCTCACAACCCGGCTTGTTGACATCAAACGACCGGATCACTGAAACACACAAACTCACACCACGTTAACACACATCAACAAAACATACACACAACACATGATCAGCTGGTACAAGTTATCACGTGTCTATTCATACCAATGAGTCTAGGTTCTGAGGTGAAGTCTCTGATGGGGACAGGGATCTTCTTGACAATGTATTCACACACCACCTCTATGTTGTACTTCAGCTGGGCTGAGATAGGAATGATAGGTGCTCCCTCTGCCACTGTACCTACACACAACAGGAGAGAGGTTACACACACTTTAAAGGAGAGACATAGGGGTTAAACACCTACATTCACTACGCTCGGACAAACACGCATATACAGAAATATACACACACATAGCTTTACAGGAGAGAGCTATTCCAGCCACTGACCCTGTACGAAGGCTAGGATCTGTTCGTACTGCTCCTTGGCCTGGCTCTCCTTGACCAGATCGATCTTGTTCTGGAGGATCAGGATGTGTTTGAGCTTCATGATCTCTATGGCAGCCAGGTGCTCAGAGGTCTGGGGCTGGGGACACGACTCGTTACCCGCTGGGAGAGAGGGAGGAGAGGTGTTAGACAGAGCAGTGTGTGTGTGTCAAATCAAAATCAAATCAAAGCTTATTGGTCGTATACACAGATTTGCATATGTTATTGCAGCAATGTCAGAGTCCGGAATAAAACAAACAAACACATACATACATAAACTCAGCAAAAAAAGAAACATCCTCTCACCGTCAACTGCGTTTATTTTCAGCAAACTTAACATGTGTAAATATTTGTATGAACATATCAAGATTCAACAACTGAGACATAAACTGAACAAGTTCCACAGACATTACATTTACATTTTAGTCATTTAGCAGACGCTCTTATCCAGAGCGACTTACAGGAGCAATTAGGGTTAAGTGCCTTGCTTAAGGGCACATCGACAGATTTTTCACCTAGTCGGCTCGGGGATTAGAACCAGCGACCTTTCGGTTACTGGCACAACGCTCTTACCCACTAAGCTACCTGCCGCCCCATATGACTGACAGAAATTGAATTGGCATTGTAACGACCGTTCCACAGGTGCATGTTCATTAATTGTTTATGGTTCATTGAACAAGCATGGGAAACAGTGTTTAAACCCTTTACAATGAAGATCTGTGAAGTTATTTGGATTTTTACGAATTATCTTTGAAAGACAGGGTCCTGAAAAAGGGACTTTCTTTTTTTGCTGAGTTTACATACAGTACCAGTCAAAAGTTTGGACACATCTACTCATTCAAGGGTTTTTCTTTATTTTTTTTACTATTTTCTACATTGTAGAATAATAGTGAAGACATCAAAACTATGAAATAACACATATGGAATAATAATAATAATAATAATAATAATAAGCCATTTAGCAGACGCTTTTATCCAAAGGGACTTACAGTCATGTGTGCATACACTTTCTACGTATGGGTGGTCCCGGGGATCGAACCCACTACCCTGGCGTTACAAGCGCCATGCTCTACCAATTGAGCATTGGTTACAATGATGTAGTAACCCAATAAAATGTTCAACAAATCAAAATATATTTTATATTTCAGATTCTTCAAAGCAGCCACCCTTTGCCTTGATGATAGCTTTGCACACTCTTGGCATTCTCTCAACCAGCTTCACCTGGAATGCTTTTCCAACAGTCTTGAAGGAGTTCCCACATACGCTGAGCATTTGTTGGCTGCTTTTCCTTCATTCTGCGGTCCAACTCATCCCAAACCCTCTCAATTGGGTTGAGGTCGGATGATTGTGGAGGCCAGGTCATCGGATGCAACACTCCATCACTCTCCTTCTTGGTCAAATAGCCCTTACACAGCCTGGAGGTGTGTTTTGGGTCATTGTCCTGTTGAAAAACAAATGATAGTCCCACTAAGCGCAAAACAGATGGGATGGCGAATCGCTGCAGAATGCTGTGGTAGCCATGCTGGTTAAGTGTGCCTTGAATTCTAAATAAATCACAGACAGTGTCATCAGCAAAGGACCATCACACCACCTCCTCCATGCTTGATGGTGGGAACCACACATGCGGAGATCATCCGTTCACCTACTCTGCGTCTCACAAAGACTCAGCGGTTGGAACCAAAAATCTCAAATTTTGACTCATCAGACCAAAGGACAGATTTCTACCGGTCTAATGTCCATTGCTCGTGTTTCGTGGCCCAAGCAAGTCTCTTCTTCTTATTGGTGTCCTTTAGTAGTGGTTTCTTTGCAGCAATTCGACCATGAAGGCATGATTCACGCAGTCTCCTCTGAACAGTTGACGTTGAGATGTGTCTGTTACTTGAACTCTGTGAAGCATTTATTTGGGCTGCAATCTGAGGTGCAGTTAACTCTAATGAACTTATCCTCTGCAGCAGAGGTAACTCTGGGTCTTCTATTCCTGTGGTGGTCCTCATGAGAGCCAGTTTCATCATAGCGCTTGATGGTTTTTGCGACTGCACTTGAAGAAACTTTCAAAGTTCTTGACTGACCATGTCTTAAAGTAATGATGGACTGTCATTTCTCTTTGCTTATTTGAGCTGTTCTTGCCATAAAACAGCTTGGCAAATTTACATTAAGTTGGCCAAATTATCTTGTAATTTCGAACATCTTCTAAACCCATAATGTCGACGAAACGGCCTACACGTGAGTCACTGTATTTGTATACATGTAATAGTTGCTAATTGTAAAAAAAAAAAAGTTTTCTATTTCGCGGATTTCACTTATCGCGGGTCATTTTCGGAACGTAACCCCCGCGATAAACGAGGGATTACTGTATACCCTTTGTTGGCAATGACACAGGTCAAACGTTTTCTGTAAGTCTTCACAAGGTTTTCACACACTGTTGCTGGTATTTTGGCCCATTCCTCCATGCAGATCTCCTCTAGAGCAGTGATGTTTTGGGGCTGTCGCTGGGCAACACAGACTTTCAACTCCCTCCAAAGATTTTCTATGGGGTTGAGATCTGGAGACTGGCTAGGCCACTCTAGGACCTTGAAATGCTTCTTACGAAGCCACTCCTTCGTTGCCCGGGCGGTGTGTTTGGGATCATTGTCATGCTGAAAGACCCAGCCACGTTTCATCTTCAATGCCCTTGCTGATGGAAGGAGGTTTTCACTCAAAATCTCACGATACATGGCCCCATTCATTCTTTCCTTTACACGGATCAGTCGTCCTGGTCCCTTTGCAGAAAAACAGCCCCAAAGCATGATGTTTCCACCCCCACGCTTCACAGTAGGTATGGTGTTCTTTGGATGCAACTCAGCATTCTTTGTCCTCCAAACACGACGAGTTGAGTTTTTACCAAAAAGTTCTATTTTGGTTTCATCTGACCATATGACATTCTCCCAATCCTCTTCTGGATCATCCAAATGCACTCTAGCAAACTTCAGACGGGCCTGGACATGTACTGGCTTAAGCAGGGGGACACGTCTGGCACTGCAGGATTTGAGTCCCTGGCGGCGTAGTGTGTTACTGATGGTAGGCTTTGTTACTTTGGTCCCAGCTCTCTGCAGGTCATTCACTAGGTCCCCCCGTGTGGTTCTGGGATTTTTGCTCACCGTTCTTGTGATCATTTTGACCCCACGGGGTGAGATCTTGCGTGGAGCCCCAGATCGAGGGAGATTATCAGTGGTCTTGTATGTCTTCCATTTCCTAATAATTGCTCCCACAGTTGATTTCTTCAAACCAAGCTGCTTACCTATTGCAGATTCAGTCTTCCCAGCCTGGTGCAGGTCTACAATTTTGTTTCTGGTGTCCTTTGACAGCTCTTTGGTCTTGGCCATAGTGGAGTTTGGAGTGTGACTGTTTGAGGTTGTGGACAGGTGTCTTTTATACTGATAACAAGTTCAAACAGGTGCCATTAATACAGGTAACGAGTGGAGGACAGAGGAGCCTCTTAAAGAAGAAGTTACAGGTCTGTGAGAGCCAGAAATCTTGCTTGTTTGTAGGTGACCAAATACTTATTTTCCACCATAATTTGCAAATAAATTCATAAAAAATCCTACAATGTGATTTTCTGGAGAAAAAAAATCTCAATTTGTCTGTCATAGTTGACGTGTACCTATGATGAAAATTACAGGCCTCTCTCATCTTTTTAAGTGTGAGAACTTGCACAATTGATGGCTGACCAAATACTTTTTTCCCCCACTGTATATATATATACACACAGTGAGGGAAAACAGTATTTGATCCCCTGCTGATTTTGTACGTTTGCCCATTGACAAAGACATGATCAGTCTATCATTTTAATGGTAGGTTTATTTGAACAGCGAGAGACAGAATAACAACAACAAAATCCAGAAAAACGCATGTCAAAAATGTTATAAATTGATTTGCATTTTAATGAGGGAAATAAGTATTTGACCCCTCTGCAAAACATGACTTAGTACTTGGTGGCAAAACCCTTGTTGGCAATCACAGAGGTCAGACGTTTCTTGTAGTTGGCCACCAGGTTTGCACACATCTCAGGAGGGATTTTGTCCCACTCCTCTTTGCAGATCTTCTCCAAGTCATTAAGGTTTTGAGGCTGACGTTTGGCAACTCGAACCTTCAGCTCCTTCCACAGATTTTCTAAGGTCTGGAGACTGGCTAGGCTACTCCAGGACCTTAATGTGCTTCTTCTTGAGCCACTCCTTTGTTGCCTTGGCCGTGTGTTTTGGGTCATTGTCATGCTGGAATACCCATCCATGACCCATTTTCAATGCCCTGGCTGAGGGAAGGAGGTTCTCACCCAAGATTTGACGGTACATGGCCCTGTCCATCGTCCCTTTGATGTGGTGAAGTTGTCCTCTCCCCTTAGCAGAAAAACACCCCCAAAGCATAATGTTTCCACCTCCATGTTTGACGGTAGGGATGGTGTTCTTGGGGTCATAGGCAGCATTCCTTCTCCTCCAAACACGGCGAGTTGAGTTGATGCCAAAGAGCTCGATTTTGGTCTCATCTGACCACAACACTTTCACCCAGTTCTCCTCTGAATCATTCAGATGTTCATTGGCAAACTTCAGATGGGCCTGTATATGTGCTTTCTTGAGCAGGGGGACCTTGCGGGCGCTGCAGGATTTCAGTCCTTCACGGCGTAGTGTGTTACCAATTGTTTTCTTGGTGACTATGGTCCCAGCTGCCTTGAGATCATTGACAACATCATCCCGTGTAGTTCTGGGCTGATTCCTCACCGTTCTCATGATCATTGCAACTCCACGAGGTGAGATCTTGCATGGAGCCCCAGGCCGAGGGAGATTGACAGTTATTTTGTGTTTCTTCCATTTGCGAATAATCACACCAACTGTTGTCCCCTTCTCACCAAGCTGCTTGGCGATGGTCTTGTAGCCCATTCCAGCCTTGTGTAGGTCTACAATCTTGTCCCTGACATCCTTGGAGAGCTCTTTGGTCTTGGCCATGGTGGAGAGTTTGGAATCTGATTGATTGATTGCTTCTGTGGACAGGTGTCTTTTATACAGGTAACAAACTGAGATTAGGAGCACTCGTTACCTGTATAAAAGACACCTGGGAGCCAGAAATCTTTCTGATTGAGAGGGGGTCAAATACTTATTTCCCTCATTAAAATGCAAATCAATTTATAACATTTTTGACATGCGTTTTTCTGGATTTTGTTGTTGTTATTCTGTCTCTCACTGTTCAAATAAACCTACCATTAAAATGATAGACTGATCATTTCTTTGTCAGTGGGCAAACGTACAAAATCAGCAGGGGATCAAATACTTTTTCCCTCACTGTATATATATATATATATATATATATATAAATAATAGTGTGTATAGACAGTAGGGATGTGATAAATGGACAATTCTGCTTAACGTTTAAATCAGCCACTTTCAGTTTTCCTTTTAAAATGATAAGAAAAAAATCATAAAATCCCACATCAAAATGTAGAATAACGGTCCTATTACACATGTATGACCGTGTGGGCCGGGCAATGAAGTTATATCCACCACAACCCTTTACAGACATACAACGCAGCTACAGTAACATGTCCATAGCGATAATTGATAATTTCTGTACCTTTTCAGACAGTAGAATTCTGCTCAGGCATATAATGTTCTATTGTTTCCCTGACAACAATAAATGTTACTGATTGATGTGCTGCTGTATTGTTTTTAATGGTAGGGTAGCTAGACGTGCTTTCCTTCATCTAAATGTCTTGGTAAGTCACAGTATTTAAAGTACTTTTTTAGGAGAGCTTGGTCTGCGTGCCGGAAGCAGGCAGGCAGGCTGCGCGCAGCAGCAGCTCAAGATTATTTGATTGACAGTTCTGGTCGCATAGTGATGGAAGTTAGTCCCACTTCAGAAGTAGCATTACTTTACAGAGTAGTAAAATGCTGTTCATATCTCCAGAGAAGGTTTCGTGTCGCCATTTAAAAAGCCGTAGTGTAGCCTACCCTAACAGACAAACAAACATGACGTAGCCAAGGCACTTTCCATTCCATTATATCTGAAATGGGTCATCGATACAGGCTACCGGTAGCCTACTGTCATTTCATATTTTGAGACAAAAACACCCCCACAGCAACGAAGAGTACCCTATGCTTGTAAGACTGGCCAGAAGATACCTCTGTATCCCGGCGACATCGGTCCCATGAATAAACTAGGATATTCTAAAGGCAACAGACAGAAGACTGAACACACACTCGCATCATTAGCGAAGAGAAAGAGCAGGCAGGCCAGTGCGATAGAGTGAGAGGAGGGGCAGGCAGAACCGTGCGCATATGTCTTGGTAATCTGCATCTTGCAATGTCTTCCATGCCTCGCAAATTCCCCAAAGTAGTCTAAAGTTTGCCTCTTCCTCTCTGGTTTTATTTAAATTACACAACTTTCCACAGACCTTTATAGCTATATGGTCTAGTTAGGCTATAACATAGAAAATAATATGTTTTGTGATAAGTGCACTGTTATTTTATTTATGTGGGGAAAATATATTTTTTCGGTTTGGGATTTTTCTTAACGTTAAAGATCCCAACTTTGTTTAAACGTCAATCCCAACTTCGTTTAAAAGTTGTAACGTTTAAACGTTCACACCCCTAGCCTAATGGATAGTATATGAATAGAAAAGGTGTGTGTGGATGAGAATGACAATTGCCGTCGTATTGACATATCAGAGGTGGTGTCTTACCAATGAGGAGGAGGGCAGCGTCCATGACAGCTGCTCCATTCAACATAGTGGCCATCAGAATGTCATGACCAGGACAGTCCACGAAGGACACATGTCTGACCAGTTTGAAGTTGCCCTTGGTTCCAGGGATGTCTGTGGGGAACTCATCAGGAGTACTGGAGCCACACGACCTGTAGCACTCTGGCCTGGGACAGCTGGGGTCGTCCAGCTTATACACCTAGAGCAGGGAGGGAAGGAGGGCAGGGCAGTAGGGGAACATCACCTGTGCTACTGGTACTGTGCCATTTCCATTCTCTCACATTTATTCTGCCCATGTCACAGCCCTTCCTCATGTGCTCCCAACAGTTATGGGTGCTGCTTATTCTGTTATGAACAATGGCCCCTGCTGCTTACCTTGGCGTTAGCGTAACCTAGCTTGATGGTGATGTTCCTCTCCAGCTCGTTCTTGAAGCGGACAGTGTGAACCCCTGAGATGGCCTTGACCACCGTCGACTTCCCGTGGGCCACATGACCAATGGTGCCTACAGGGCAGGGAGGACAGAGTGTGTTACTGGGGGTGCTATGGCAGTGGAGGAGGGTATTAGGGGTCAATGCTCACACGTAGGGCTACACTATTAATCCAATTCACAGAAATCGTAATATTGACATGTGCAATATCCATATCGCAAGAGATACATATGGCATGCAATATTTTGAAACGCATCTCAGCCATGTGTAACGTCCCTTTTCATAGTTTACTCCTTTGTTTTTCTCCTCGAGGCTGCTTCCCACACACAACAAGCCCATGTTACTCAAGCTGCGCAGTTCCTCCTCGCTGTTGGATTCACTATACGTTTGCATGCTGTTCTGTTAGGTCAAATGCAGTCAACCGATTGTTCCAAACAAGAACATTATATTTCTATGATTCCAGCAGTTTACCCAAGTGTTTTGATTTATATTGAAAGTGCAATCGCAATATTTGGTATATTAAAAAAACAAACATAATAAAATGTTGTTCCCCTATGCTGCAGCCCCACAGCATAACATTGCCAATAAGTTAGACACAACTACTGTAGGGGACTGGTTCTGGTTCACTCACCAATGTTGATGGTGGCCTGTCTGCTGATGATCTCTTGAGAGAGCGGGGTCAGGGTGGACACATCCTGTTGAGAGAACACACACAGGTCATTGAAGTATGCAAAGTGTAGCACATGGGGATGTGAAACGTACTCCTCAAGTCGCCACTTGAGCCATCGAATTGTTAACTTTTCAGTGGTGCCGACTGGTAAGACGCTTCAGGAGGGCTGTCACGTGTGCTAGCAAGGCAGAGGTCCTGGGTTCAAGCCTCGGTGTGAGCCGAATCAGGAGTGGTACTCGCTAAGCAAGCAGCGTGATGTCCATTATAAAATAATGGTATTTAATCTAGAGTGGGCTAATAACATTATGAGAGACCTAGCCATGAGAAGTAAAGAATGGATGATGCAGACAGAGGACTGTCTGTATTATAATCTGGAAGTGTCATCTATTCTGCATAAGTAAACGGGACCTGTGGAGAGGCTAGGAGTTTACGTGACGTGCTCCTAGTGATGTGACCATCAGGTGCAGATGGTAACATGTCCCCGTCCACATCCACATCAATAATATCGACAAATTGAACAGCTAAACTTAGTTTAATTACAGCGTATAGGTCATTCACACAAAGGAATGGGCTTTTGTTCAGTTGTGCTGCGACATTTCCTGTCCATTCAGGGAAGATGTGCACTGAACAGCTGCTTACTTTTAAGTTCAGTGACAACTGCACAAACACAACCGAAAGCGTAACACGACTGACTTGGAGGAACAAATGGACTTGTAGGTCTAGAACGTTACTGTATATAAAAGAGCAAACTTCCTTTACTCATTGGGCAGGGCTGAATATGGACAATCCCCACGTTGCTACGACAGCCAAGCGAAATTAGCTAGCTAGTTACTGTTAGCATGTGCCGGTAGAACAGTCCCTTTCCCGGAGCACGCAACAACATAATTATTCATATTTTGTTCAGTGACTTTTAAAGAACCTAAACATCACTATCCATATCATCAATGTTGAAAAGATCAACACTCACGAGATAATTTAGATCTTGTTTGGAAAGATGAGGCTGACCCAGCGTTATTCCAGACTCGTCACCCGCCATCTTAAACGTAAAAGGAATTTTTGTATGTTACAGCGATTGCCTGAAAGATTTAGTACACCAAATTCTACTCAACAAGTTTTTTATCCTGTAATATCACTAGTCAAAAATGACAGTTGTCAGAAATGAGATGTTTCATCATGTGTTATAGTGAATTGTATAATAGAAATGTATTATATATTTGATGAAAGACAAAAAAAAAGGGTCCTTTCGTAAGGGATGATGCAATATTCTAATTCACGAACAATTCAAAGCCCTTCTTTATACAATATTCACTGGTGCTGTTGACAGCTACTGTAAAGTAACTGCATACAATTCATATCGTTTAATCAATGTGATTTTTTATTTATTTATTCATCATAAAATAAGTGAGAAAGAACTAAATATTCGTCCTTTCTTGATGACGTCATTTGTACATTTGTAATTTTTCCCCCATATATTTTTATTGCCAAGGACCCGCTCTATGTTAAATGATAAATTATCGCTCTCATTTTATCAATAGTATCTCATTCTCCATATCCCGTCAGTCCTTCACCAGCACATGGGGAAAGACAAAATATTTTAACATCTTCAGTCCCTCCACCATCAATAAGGGATCATAGCTTTCACCTGGATTCACCTGGTCAGTCTATGTAATGGAATGACCAGGTGCTCATAATGTTTTCTACACTCACTGTATGTGATCGTATACAAATGTAAGCAACGTTTGAAATTATTATGTTTTAGTCAAGTATTATATCTGTTTGGGCTTCTTGCTGTCAATTTGTAGTCTACGAATTATTTCTAATTATTTTCTGGCCCCTTGACCATCAGCTCAAGAAAAATTGGCCCGCGGCCAGTGGTGTAAAGTACTTAAGTAAAAATACTTTAAAGTACTACTTAAGTCGTTTTTTGGGGTATCTGAACGTTACTTGACTGTATAAATTGTTGACTACTTGTACTTTTACTTCACTATATTCCTAAGGAAAATAATGTACTTTTTACTCCATACATTTTCCCTGACACCCAAAAGTACTCCTTACATTTTGAATGCTTAGCAGGAAAGGAAAATTGTCAAATTCACACACTTATCAATTGAACATCCCTGGTCGTCTCTATTGCCTCTGATCTATTGCTCTGACTCACTAAACACAAATGCTTCGTATGTAAATAATGTCTGAGTGTTGGAGTATGGCCCTCGCTATCCGTAAAAAAAAAAGAAAAAGAAAATTGTGCCGTCTGGTTTGCTTAATATAAGGACTTTTAAATGATTTATACTTTTACCTTTGATACTTAAGTATATTTTAGCAATTACATTTACTTTTGATACTTAAGTATATTTAAAACCAAATACTTTGACTCAAGTAGTATTTTACTTGAGTCATTTTCTATTAAGGTATCTTTTTACTCAAGTATGACAATTGGGTACTTTTTCCACCAATGCCCGCGGCTGAATCTACAGTAGCTGATGATCCCTGGTGACAAATTATCTGTTTGTGAGGTAGGATTTGAACCAAGCAATGGACAGGCCAGTGAGACCAATGAGCTGCTCCAGTCTTTCCAGTAGGATGTTGTGGTTCACTGAGGTCCAGGAGGATCAGGATGCTCATGTACCCCGAATCAGCATAAAGATAACCTTATGCATAACCAGGCCAAAACAGTAAGCTGCAAATCTGCTCAGTAAGCTACAGCTCTGCTCAGTAGTGTAAAGATTTTAAATGTTGTGCCCCAAAAATTATCTGGGATATACCATTGTCTGACCATGTGTTCTCGCATACCCCGAGAGCATCTGGTCAGCGGGGTGGTGGCACAGGAATCCTCATCTCTCCCAAGTGGACATTCTCTATTTTTCCCCTGACCCATCTGTCTATCTCCTCATTTGAATTCCACGCTGTCACAGTCACTAGCCCATTTAAGCTTAATATCTTTGTCATCTATCGCCCTCCAGGTTCCCTTGGAGAGTTCATCAATGAGCTTGACAAGTTCCTTTCCTGAGGATGGCTCACCCCTCACAGTTCTGGGGGACTTCAACCTCCCTACGTCTACCTTTGACTCATTTCTCTCTGCCTCCTTCTTTCCACTCCTCTCCTCTTTTGACCTCACCCTCTCACCGTCCCCCCCTACCCACAAGGCAGGCAATACGCTTGACCTCAGCTTTACTAGATGCTGTTCTTCTACTAATCTCACTGCAACTCCCCTCCATGTCTCCGACCACTACTTTGTATCCTTTTCTCTCTCGCTCTCCTCCAACACTACTCACTCTGCCCCTACTCAGATGGTAATGCGCCGTCGCAACCTTCGCTCTCTCTCTCCCGCTACTCTCTCCTCTTCCATCCTATCATCTCTTCCCTCTGCTCAATCCTTCTCCCTCCAATCTCCTGATTCTGCCTCCTCAACCCTCCTCTCCTCCCTTTCTGCATCCTTTGACTCTCTATGTCCCCTATCCTCCCGGCCGGCTCGGTCCTCCCCTCCAGCTCCGTGGCTTGATGACTCATTGCGAGCTCACAGAACAGGGCTCCGGGCAGCCGTGCGGAAATGGAGGAAAACTAGACTCCCTGCGGACCTGGCATCTTTTCACTCCCTCCTCTCTACATTTTCTTCATCTGTTTCTGCTGCTAAGGCCACTTTCTACCACTCTAAATTCCAAGCATCTACCTCTAACCCTAGGAAGCTCTTTGCCACCTTCTCCTCCCTGCTGAATCCTCCTCCCCCTCCCCCCCTCCCCCCCCCCTCCTCCCTCTCTGTGGATGACTTCGTCAACCATTTAGAAAAGAAGGTTGACGACATCCGATCCTCGTTTGTTAAGTCAAATGACACTGCTGGTCCTGCTCACACTGCCCTACCCTATGCTTTGACTTCTTTCTCCCCTCTCTCTCCAGATACAATCTTACGACTTGTGACGGCCGGCCGCCCAACAACCTGCCCGCTTGACCCTATCCCCTCCTCTCTTCTCCAGACCATCTCCGGTGACCTTCTCCCTTACCTCACCTCGCTGATCAACTCATCCTTGACCGCTGGCTATGTCCCTTCCGTCTTCAAGAGAGCGAGAGTTGCATCCCTTCTCAAAAAACCAACACTCGATCCCTCTGATGTCAACAACTACAGACCAGTATCCCTTCTTTCTTTTCTCTCAAAAACTATTGAGCGTGCCGTCTTTAGCCAACTCTCTTGCTATCTCTCTCAGAATGACCTTCTTGATCCAAACCAGTCAGGTTTCAAGACTGGTCATTCAACTGAGACTGCTCTTCTCTGTGTCACGGAGGCTCTCCGCACTGCTAAAGCTAACTCTCTCTCCTCTGCTCTTGTCCTTCTAGACCTGTCTGCTGCCTTTGATACTGTGAACCATCAGATCCTCCTCTCCACCCTCTCCGAGCTGGGCATCTCTGGTGCGGCTCACTCTTGGATTGCGTCCTACCTGACCGGTCGCTCCTACCAAGTGGCGTGGCGAGAAGCTGTCTCCGCACCACGTGCTCTCACCACTGGTGTCCCCCAGAGCTCAGTTCTAGGCCCTCTCCTATTCTCGCTATACACCAAGTCACTTGGCTCTGTCATATCCTCACATGGCCTCTCCTATCATTGCTACGCAGACGACACACAACTAATCTTCTCCTTTCCCCCTTCTGATAACCAGGTGGCGAATCGCATCTCTGCATGTCTGGCAGACATATCAGTATGGATGACGGATCACCACCTCAAGCTGAACCTTGGCAAGACAGAGCGGCTCTTCCTCCCGGGGAAGGACTGCCCGTTCCATGATCTCGCCATCACGGTTGACAACTCCGTTGTGTCCTCCTCCCAGAGTGCGAAGAGCCTTGGCGTGACCCTGGACAACACCCTGTCGTTCTCCGCTAACATCAAGGCGGTGACCCGATCCTGTAGGTTCATGCTCTACAACATTCGGAGAGTACAACCCTGCCTTACACAGGAAGCGGCACAGGTCCTAATCCAGGCACTTGTCATCTCCCGTCTGGATTACTGCAACTCGCTGTTGGCTGGGCTCCCTGCCTGTGCCATTAAACCCCTACAACTCATCCAGAATGCCGCAGCCCGTCTGGTGTTCAACCTTCCCAAGTTCTCTCATGTCACCCCGCTCCTCTGCACACTCCACTGGCTTCCAGTTGAAGCTCGCATCTGCTACAAGACCATGGTGCTTGCCTACGGCGCTGTGAGGGGAACGGCACCTCCGTACCTTCAGGCTCTGATCAGTCCCTACACCCAAACGAGGGCATTGCGTTCATCCACCTCTGGCCTGCTGGCTCCCCTACCTCTGCTGAAGCACAGTTCCCGCTCAGCCCAGTCAAAACTGTTCGCTGCTCTGGCACCCCAATGGTGGAACAAGCTCCCTCACGACGCCAGGCCAGCGGAGTCACTCACCACCTTCCGGAGACATTTGAAACCCCACCTCTTTAAGGAACACCTGGGATAGGATAAAGTAATCCTTCTACCCCCCCCCCCCCCCCCCCAAAAAAAAATAAAAAAAATTGTAAAGTGGTTATCCCACTGGCTATAAGGTGAATGCACCAATTTGTAAGTCGCTCTGGATAAGAGCGTCTGCTAAATGACATAAATGTAAATGTAAAAATATAGACTCATAAACACTGCCCCATTGTACAACAAAAATGGATACCATGCAGAGATTCAGACAACGCTTTAATGTTATTCCCGGTAAGGAGGATGAGGGCGGGACATCAAAAGCAGACCTCCCTGTGTGTGAGCAGGGTTGCTGCCGGCTGTTCCACCAAAAATCGAGAATTGTCCATCATTCTGTTTAACTGCTGAGAAAAAAGGAGAGTGAGGTAGAGAGAGAGAGGATAGTTCATTACAAGGTCAGTATGAAGAGAGATGTCTCAATTATTCTGCACCGCTGCAGCTCTATAATCGCAGGTTGACCCTAGTACACCTGCCTGATGATTTTTGATTGCACCGCACAACGACGCCACTAAAGTTCCGTTGTAACGGGCTATACCTCAGGAAATGACGTCAGTGCGGGGAATATGGCGTCTGCAATGGCTATGGACGCCACTGACAAACATTATATTGATATCCAGTTAAAATAACGACTAATTAAAGCCGCGGGGGAATTGTAAATGGACACTAAGGAATCTTCGGCGATGTTTTTTTACTGTCCTTTTTCTTGATCTCGGAAATAAACCCACAACACATGTCAGAAGGAGCCAGGTCTGCCTGGTCAAAGAGGGGTTGTGGGGACTCGCAGCGCCGAGGTGAGAGACACTAGCCTGCTAAGCTAGCTAGCGATAGATAATTCCACGGGATGTCGTGAGCTACCAGTCCATGCTAGTTTGCAATAAAATGTGTATTGCCGTTAGCAAGTTGGCTAACTACATTGTCTATCAATTTGACTATCCTGTCATGGCCTTGCGCGAAAAATAAGCAATCTGTGATTTCCCTGACTGCGCGAACTCACTGGTTAGCTACGTTATAACGTTAGTTTGCTAGCCAACACGATTACATCAGTCAAAGATTAGCCTACATGGTGAATCTATAGACATGTTTTTGAGTCAGCTAACGTTAAATGCACTAGCTATATTACCAATCATGATTTAATTAATAGGGGGAAAAAATGATTTTCTAGCTTTGTAGAATGTTTTTCTCTGTCTCTAGATCAGGGCAAACATAAACAGAGGAAATGTGAGCGTCCCATCAACCTGCTGTCAGCTAAGCTTGAGACTGGCCTTGAGGCCCCCAAAAGGTACAATCTCCATGACAACCATCCATTCCTACTTCTACCTGTAGCCTATATCCGTCCATCCATCCCTACTTTCTTCCTTAATATGGCCACCAGCCATTGATCTGACAAAGCAGGAGGGAATGGAAAGAATGGTACAATTTTGAGTATTGGAATGGGGATCCAAGTCAGCCTGTTCTTGGAGCCTCAGTATGTGTTCTCTTCAATAAGGGAAAAGTTCTGTTCACACATCTGGCTGAACTTTCTCAGTAGCTTTAGGTCTAGGCTACAGTTTGGTTTGAATAACCTTTTTTAAAATTGATTTTCAACATACTGTTTTGATGTACAATTACATTTTGGGTTTGTCGTCCAGGTGATTCAGAGAAGGGCGTTGTTAGTTTCTCCCAGGACACAAGGGCCACTGTCCTCTGATTGGCTCGGAATACCCCCTCTGACATGCCCGTGGCCAATCAGAGGTGAGTGTGCATTGTGTGGGTGTGTGAGTGAATAGAGAGAATGAATTAATGCATTTGTTTCTGATTGTCTATGGGTGGATTTGCTGCTAGTGTGTGAGTGCATAATTGTCTGCTGGTGTGTTTAGGTGTACGCACGCAGCATGCGTTTCTGTGTGGGTGTGTATTTCAGTGTGTGTGTGTATTTCGGTGTCTGTCTGTATGAGCGCTGAGGTGTGAATGTTGAATGTTCTTGACCTCATTACAGAGCCTTCCACTGAGACAGGCTTTTACACACACACACACACACACACACACACACACACACACACACACACACGTGTTAGAAAGAGAAATACAGCATTGTGTTTGGACTGTAGTGTGATGCATCCCATTTGAGTGACAGTTTTTCTACTCTTTTATTGGTCTGTGGTTGAACAGTAAAGCCTTACTACCGCCATATTACTAGTGTGTTATTAACCCCCTCTCCTTACTGCAGGTGTGTGTGCTCGCTATTAACCTCTCTCCTCCTCCAGGTGTGTGATGTCGGGGGGTGAGGTGGAGGTGTACCTGTCCCAGGTGCATGATGGGAGCGTGTCCTCAGGGTTCCGGACGCTGTACGAGGAGAGGCTCCTATTGGACGTCACGCTGCTCATAGAGGAACACCACTTCCAGGTTAGCAACACACACACACACACACACACACACACACACACACACACTCTCTCACTAACATGTAATGTCATGTTAACCCTCCTCCAGGCTCACAAGGCCCTGCTGGCGACCCAGAGTGACTACTTCCGGGTCATGTTCACAGCAGACATGCGAGAGAGAGACCAGGACAAGATCCACATGAAGGGGTTAACAGCTGCCGGCTTCGGCCACGTCCTGAGGTTCATGTACTACGGTTCACTGGAGCTCAGCATGGTCACTGTGCAGGAGATACTACAGGTAACACACACACACATACATACATAAAACTGTCTCTTTAACCCATTAAGCTATGATGTATGTCCAGTTCTCTTGTTCCTTACTGCTGACTAAGATCTGTCACTCTTTGTCTCCCCTCACCCTGTAGGCGGCCATGTACGTCCAGCTGACAGAGGTGGTAGAGTTCTGCTGTTCCTTCCTGCTGTCTAAGATCTGTCTGGAGAACTGTGCCGAGGTGATGAGGCTGCTGGAGGACTTCAGCGTGGGTGTGGAGGGTGTGCAGGAGCAGCTCGACAACTTTCTGCTTGAGAACTTTGTTCCTCTGATGAGCAGACCTGACTTCCTGTCCTACCTCAGCCTGGAGAGACTGCAGGTGTGCTGGAAGAACTCACACATTAGTTGTGTGTGTACCTAAACAGTGATGCTCTTTATAACATGTAATACAGTTGAAGTCAGAAGTTTACATACTCCTTAGCCAAATACATTTAAACTCAGTTTTTCACAATTCCTGACTTTTAATCCTAGTAAAAATTCCCAGATTTAGGTCAGTTAGGATCACCACTTTATTTTAAGAATGTGAAATGTCAGAATAATATTAGTGATTTATTTCAGCTTTTATTTCTTTCATCACATTCCCAGTGGGTCAGAAGTATACATACACTCAATTTAGTATTTGGTAGCATTGCATTTAAATTGTTTAACTTGGGTGAAATGTTTCGGAGTAGCCTTCCACAAGCTTCCCACAATAAGTTGGGTGAATTTTGGCCCATTCCTCCTGACAGAGCTGGTGTAACTGAGTCAGGTTTGTAGGCCTCCTTGCTCGCACACGCTTTTTCAGTTCTGCCCACACATTTTCTATAGGATTGTGGTCAGGGCTTTGTGATGGTCACTCCAATACATTGACTTTGTTGTCCTTAAGCCAGTTTGCCACAACTTTGGAAGTATGCTTGGGGTCATTGTCCATTTGGAAGACCCATTTGCGACCAAGCTTTAACTTCCTGACTGATGTCTTGAGATGTTGCTTCAATATATCCACATCATTTTCCTTCCTCATAATGCCATCTATTTTGTGAAGTGCACCAGTCCCTCCTGCAGCAAAGCACCCCCACAGCATGATGCTGGCACCCACGAGCTTCACGGTTGGGATGGTGTTCTTCGGCTTGCAAGCAACCCCCTTTTTCCTCCAAACATAACGATGGTCATTATGGCCAAACAGTTCTATTTTTGTTTCATCAGACCAGAGGACATTAATCCAAAAAGTACAATCTTTGTCCCCATGTGCAGTTGCAAACCGCAGTCTGGCTTTTTTATGGCGGTTTTGGAGCAGTGGCTTCTTCCTTGCTGAGCGGCCTTTCAGGTTATGTCGATATAGGACTTGTTTTACTGTGGATATAGATACTTTTGTACCTGTTTCCTCCAGCATCTTTACAAGGTCCTTTGCTGTTGTTCTGGGATTGATTTGCACTTTTCGCACCAAAGTACGTTAATCTCTAGGAGACAGAACACGTCTCCTTCCGGAGCGGTATGACGGCTGCGTGGTCCCATGGTGTTTATACTTGCGTACTATTGTTTGTACAGATGAACGTGGTACCTTCAGGCGTTTGGAAATTGCTCCCAAGGATGAACCAGAGGTTGTGGAGGTCTACAATTCTTTTTCTGAGGTCTTGGCTGATTTCTTTTGATTTTCCCATGATGTCAAGCAAAGAGGCACTGAGTTTGAAGGTAGGCCTTGAAATACATCCACAGGTACACCTCCAATTGACTCAAATGATGTCAATTAGCCTATCAGAAGCTTCTAAAGCCATGACATCATTTTCTGGAATTCTGGAAACTGTTTAAAGGCACAGTCAACTTAGTGTATGTAAACTTCTGACCCACTGGAATTGTGATAAAGTGAATTACAAGTGAAATAGTCTGTAAACAATTGTTGGAAAAATTACTTGTGTCATGCACAAATTAGATATCCTAACCGACTTGCCAAAATGATAGTTTGTTAACAAGACAGTTGTGGAGTGGTTGAAAAATGAGTTTTAATGACTCCAACCTAAGTGTATGTATACTTCCGACTTCAACTGTATATTCTTGTTAACTCTGTGTGTGTTAACTGTGTGTTTATTGTGTGTGTGTCAGGCGTACCTGGACAGTGATGCCCTGAGTCGCTTCCCAGAGATAGAGCTGTATGAGTCTGTCCAGGCCTGGCTACGACACGACCGGCGCCGCTGGAGACACACAGACACTGTCGTCCAGTCTCTACGCTTCTGCCTCATGACCGCCGCTAATGTCTTCGAGAAGGTAAGACACACACACACACACACACACACACACAAGATGAGTCACACACATGGTTCCTATGTGTGCATCCTGCTCTCTATGACATCACCCCTGACTAATTCTTCTTCCCCTTCCTCAGGTGAAGACGTCAGAGTTCTATCGTTACTCTCGACAACTGCGTCAGGAGGTGGACCAGGCTCTCAGCTACTTCCACGACGTCAACGAGCAGCCGCTGGTCGAGACGCGGTCCAACCGCATCCGCTCGGTCCGACCACAGACCGCCGTGTTCAGGGGCATGATCGGACACAGCATGGTCAACAGCAAGATCCTACTGCTGCACAGACCCAAGGTAAGATCCTACTGCTGCACAGACCCAAGGTAAGATTCTACTGCTGCACAGACCCATGGTAATATCCTACTGCTGTACAGACCCAAGGTAATATCCTACTGCTGTACAGACCCAAGGTAAGATCCTACTGCTGCACAGACCCAAGGTAAGATCCTACTGCTGCACAGACCCAAGGTAAGATCCTACTGCTGCACAGACCCAAGGTAATATCCTACTGCTGTACAGACCCAAGGTATTATCCTACTGCTGTACAGACCCAAGGTAAGATCCTACTGCTGCACAGACCCAAGGTAATTCCTACTGCTGCACAGACCCAAGGTAAGATCCTACTGCTGCACAGACCCAAGGTAAGATCCTACTGCTGCACAGACCCAAGGTAAGATCCTACTGCTGCACAGACCCAAGGTAAGATCCTACTGCTGTACAGACCCAAGGTAAGATCCTACTGCTGTACAGACCCAAGGTAAGATCCTATTGCTGCACAGAACCAAGGAAAGGAATTAGGCCTACAGCAGGTGTGAACAACGCTCCTCTTGGAGTGTGTTTTTTTTGTTACAGGCATGCTCTAATACAGGGGTTCCCAAACTTTTTTTTTCCAGGTGTGAACAACGCTCCTCTTGGAGTGTGTTTTTTTTGTTACAGGCATGCTCTAATATAGGGGTTCCCAAACTTTTTTTTTCCCCAGGGCCCCCCTTTTCACATTAAAAAAATATATATTTATTGAGAGAGCCTATATTAAATACACCACAAGCTTGATTTTGTTCAATTTGGGGGACCTAGGAAAATGTTGTTTTGAATCTGATTTCCTGCAATTCTATGTATACTGAACAAAAATATAAACGCAACGTGAAGTGTTGGTCCCATGTTTTATGAGCTGAAATAAAAGATCCCAGAAATGTTCCATACGCATAAAAAGCTTGAGAGAAATAAATGTTGTGCACAAATTTGTTTACATCCCTGTTAGTGAACATTTATTATTTGCCAATATAGTCCTTCCACCTGACAGGTGTAGCATATCAAGAAGCTGATTAAACAGCATTATCATTACACAGGTGCACCTTGTGCTGGGGACAATAAAAGGCCACTCTAAAATGTGCAGTTTTTCCACACAACACAATGCCACAGATGTCTCAAGTTGAGGGAGCGCGCAATTGGCATGCTGACTGCAGGAATGTCCACCAGAGCTGTTGCCAGAGATTTGAATGTTAATTTCTCTACCATAAGCCATCTCCAACGTCGTTTTAGAGAATTTGGCAGTATGTCCAACCGGCCTCACAACAGCAGACCGCATGTAACTACGCCAGCCCAGAACCTCCACATCTGGCTTTTTCACCTGCGGGATCGTTTGAGACCAGCCAGCCGGACAGCTAATGAAACAGGAGTATTTCTGTCTGTAATAAAGCCCTTTTGTGGGGAAAAACATTCTGATTGGCTGGGCCTGGCTCCCCAGTGGGTGGGCATATGCCCTCCCAGGCCCACCCATGGCTGCGCCCCTGACCAGTCATGTGAAATCCATAGATTAGGGCCCATTGAATTCATTTTAATGGACTGATTTCTTTATATGAACTGTAACTCAGTAAAACCGTTGAAATTGTTGCATAATGCGTTTATATTTTTGTTCAGTATAGTTTAGCAAGACTCTTGACATCTTTTAGGTTGGCTATTTAATGATGATATTATTATTATTATTTTATTATTATCACTACTACTACTACTACTACTAATGGATAAGGAAAATGTTATTCCGCTACCAAATGTTTTATGATAATCTATGAACTCTCAATTTTATTAAACATATTCTCTTTTAAATAAAGTGAATAGGTCAATTGATAGCAACAGTCATACATTGTATAAGATGACTTCCCAAGCAAAGTCTAATTTCTTTGAATCCTCAACTTTAGAAGGTCGTAGCTCAGCTTAGGAATGTCATGGAGCCAAACCGAATATGTGCATCAGAGTCACGTCTTCCTCTGGTATTTACCACGTGTTTCTAGCCTAAAGCATCGCGGAGGTATGCGTTGTTTTAGATCGGTATACTATAAAAAATCGCAAATCAAGGAAGGTCCCGTGCCCCCAAATGAAATGTTGGCGCCCCCTAGGTTGGGAACCCCTGCTCTAATATGTCAGGTGTAATGTCTATAATGTGTGTGTATGACCTGTCTGTAGGTGTGGTGGGAGTTGGAAGGTCCCCAGGTCCCACTCCGTCCAGACTGCTTGGCCATTGTCAACAACTTTGCCTTCCTGTTGGGTGGGGAGGAGCTAGGGTCTGACGGGGAGTTCCACGCCTCCTCTAAAGTCTACCGCTACGACCCCCGCCAGAACTCCTGGCTACGCATGGCCGACATGTCTGTACCCAGGTCTGTAGTTGTCCGTACCCAGGTCTGTAGTTGTCAGTACCCAGGTCTGTAGTTGTCTGTACCCAGGTGGGACATGGTTTCATGTTTGTACAAGGTCTATTAGGGTGTTAATGTTTTTTAAATTATATTTATTTATAAACAATTGTTTGTCTTTACTTCCAGGTCAGAGTTTGCAGTGGGGGTCATTGGTAAGTTCATCTATGCAGTTGCTGGCCGGACACGGGACGAGACATTCTATTCCACGGAGCGCTATGACATCACGGCGGACCGCTGGGAGTTTGTGGACCCGTACCCGGTCAACAAGTACGGTCACGAGGGCACGGTCCTGAACGGTAAACTCTACATCACTGGAGGAATCACATCCTCATCCACCTCCAAACAGGTGTGTGTGTTCGACCCTGGGCGGGACGCAGGGGGAGGGGTTTGTGTGGCGGGCTCGGGGGGAGCGGGTACGACGGACACACACAGGACGCGCTCAGCTCGCACTCCCATCCTACCCAACACACACACCAGCTGCTGGGAGAACAAGTCGAAGATGAACTACGCTCGCTGCTTCCATAAGATGATCTCCCACAACGGGAAGCTTTATGTGTTCGGGGGGGTGTGTGTGATCCTTCGGGCGTCGTTCGAGTCACAGGGCTGCCCGTCCACGGAGGTCTATGACCCTGAGACAGATGAGTGGACCATCCTGGCGTCGATGCCCATCGGGCGCAGTGGGCATGGTGTGGCGGTGCTGGACAGACAGATCATGGTGTTGGGGGGCCTCTGCTATAACGGACACTACTCTGACTCCATCCTCACCTTCGACCCGGACGACAACAAGTGGAAGGAAGACGAGTATCCCAGGATGCCTTGCAAACTGGACGGGCTGCAGGTGTGCACTTTGCACTTCCCTGAGTACGTCCTGGAGCACGTCCGGCGCTGCAGCTGAGGTCTGGTTCAGTTCAGACATGCTCCTTTCTAAGGTTTGGGAATGCACCCCTTTTAAGACAGACTCCTCCCACAGGCGGCAGGTGTGGGCCGTGCGGTGGAGGATAGGTGTTTACAGGTGTGACACTAACGCTCTAACTACACAGAAGCTTTTCAACTAGAGACACAGACTGGACTTAACAGTCTCAAAAACCAGACCCTAGGCAACACAGTGACTAGGGTCTGGTTTCAATGATGGACGCTTTTGGCATAGTGGAACAACGTCGCTCCCTACGTCGATAAGGGAAAATAAATATTTCCGGGACTTGCCTAACAAATCACGAGGCAGAGATGTCAGAACATCGTGATTCAAATCCAAAGTTTGCAGGCAAAACTTTTGCAGTGGTTTTAGTTAAGGGTAAATCCATTTGAATTCAATCACTTTTTGACAACATCCCTTTTGATTTGAATGAAACCTTCCATACACATTTGCCTATTGTAGAAGTGGTCAGAAAGTGACTTTGTGGACCTGAATTTCAAAACATTCAAGAGATAAATGTGCTCAAAGTTGACTCATTTTGCAGACCTACCTCACCATACCATGAGACATCCCATTTCTTCATCACTGGAAAAGATAAAGGTTGAGATTTATATAATTTAAAGGCTTACAAACAGGGTTGTCAAGCTATTTTATCATTTCTGGGGGGGGGGGGGGGGGGGGGGGATCATTTTCTAACTTTTAACGTAAATTATCTAAAAACGGGTGAACTCATACTCTCATATGTTGTAGCTTAGACCCTATTTTACATCATCTAATGTGTTTGTGTTCCTACCATCGGTTGAGACACAACATGGTCTTGAATACAGAGTGAGTGTCATGTTCGGGCTGATAAATGTACTAGAATGGGGATAAAATTGAAATGTCAACTTTCAAATGGTACCACAAAGATGGTTGGAGGTCCACACATGTTGATTTGAATGGGAATATTTGTTGTTTAAATTAAACTGTCAATCCTCCATAGGAAACATATTTAAATCATAGAAATATAGATAATAGAATAGATATGACTATTTAAATTGACATTCGACGATGGGTAGACCGGTGGCCATCTTTGTGGTAGTAATTTAGAAGTAAAAATGTTTCAATTTCAATGGTGTACCAGCTAAATTGCAGTGGTCTGAAGGGATAGGTCCATTCTATGAATTATATTTCTATGATTGAAATGACGTCCACCCTGTATTGAAGAGCATGTTGTGTCTCAACCGATGGCAGGCACAACACAAAAACCTCAGATGTGAAATAGGGCCTATGCTACAACATATATGAATATGAAAAATAAACAAATCGGCATTTATTCATTTTGATAATTAAATAATTTTCATGTTTTTGTTGTTGTTGAAATAATTAAATCATTTGACAACCCTGTTTGTAAGCTTTTAAATAAAAGAAAACTCAACCGTTTATCTTTTCAAGTGATGAAGACATGGATGTCTCATGGAATGCAAAATGGGGCAACTTTGAGCACCTTTAAAATCAAATCAAATTTTATTGGTCACATACACATATTTAGCAAATGTTATTGCGGGTGTAGCGAAATCCTTTCTCCTGAATGTTTTGGCATTCAGGTCCAAAAAGTCACTTTCTGACCACTTCTTCCATGGGTAAACATGTATGTAAAGTTTTGTTTAAATCAAAAGGGATGCTGTCAAAAAGTGATTCAATTCAAATGGTTTTACCTTAAGGTAGTTCATGCAAACTAGCCACTTGCAAAAGGCACTCCTTAAAAATAGCCTCCGTAATCTCCATCTTGCTAGCTACTATTTTGTATTTTATTTCAACAGATAAAGTAGTGATCTAGGCAGTGACGTAGTTCCTCTATGCCAGAAGAGTCCTTCATTGAAACCAGACCCTAGTCACTGTGTTGCCTAGGGTCGGGTTTACGAGACTAAACATGCCATAGTAATCTGTCCTACTCACGGGCAGAAAAGGTAGATTCGCTTGTGATCAGTGGTGGTGGGTAACTCAAGCTGATCATTTGCTAAATTAGCTTCCTCAGAAAAAAATGGAAAAATAGAGAAACTGTTTTTCATGATTTAGCTGGTTTATTTTGGACTGAGGTCAGTTTCATATTGTTGTAATTATTATGATTCCGTTTCAGCCTATAATCCTCTGAACCCTCTCTCTCCACCATGCTGCTTCATAGTCATGGTCATGTAACGTCATGCAGTGTCTCTGTAACCCCCTCTCTGAGTCAGGGGAGCTGGAGTGAGTGCGTGTGAGTAAATGAATGAAAAAAAGGTGCACACATCATACTAGTGGGCATGTGAGAAAGTTCATTTTTAGTGACAAAGAAGAGGATGATCATGGTGATGATTTAGCGCTGTCATGACTACACTGCAATAACACTGTTGTTCTGCTGACTGAGAGAGCCATGTAAGAGATCAAGAACAGGGCTGGCTACAGACATAAGCGGTCACTTAGGGCAAGGTTTCCCAAACCCGGTCCTGGGGCCCCCCACAGCTGATTTAAATAATCAAAGCTTGATGATGAGTTGGTTATTTGAATCAGCTGTGTAGTGCTAGGGCAAAAAACTAAACGTGCACCCAGGTAGGACCTCAGGACTGAGTTTGGGAAACTATAGATCTTATTTTTTTAGGAACTCAGTCTGGGTCTCAACTTTACTGTTAAGAGAATACACAAGGTGCAAACAAGTATCCTCTTGTTTTATCAGTCACTAGCTAGGTTTCCATCCAATTGGCGACAGATTTTCATGCAAATATTCTAAAATCCACGTAAAAACAATACCGCATTTTCCCATCAGAGATGTTTCCATCAAATTGACTTGTTGCAGATAAAAGGCTGTGCGTGATGACGTAGTGCACATAAAAATACCTTTTGCGGTTAAATTCCCACATACCGAATAAAAAATAGAAGTTCAATGTGTTTCCATCGCATTTTCAACTCCAACAGTTCGCCGATACAGTGCGGGTATAGCCTACATCAGGGATGGACAACTCTAGTCCTCAGGGGCTGGAGTGGTGACACACTTTTCCCCCATCCCTAGTGAACACAGCTGATGATACTAATTGCATTCTAAACTGAAGTTCCTGATTTAGTTGATTATTGGAGTCAGGTATGTTAGTTGGGGCTGGGGCAAAAGTGTGACACCAATCAGGCCCCTGCAGACGGGAGTTTCCCATCCCTGGCCTACGTGATGAGATTATTATGGATAAAAGAGGGAGATTCTTTTTATTTGTCAAACGGCAGCCAAGATTCGATGATCATGTCACCAGAATAAGACCCTCGATATTTATTGGAAAGGAGCATCAAGCTCATCACCTTGCACTTTCACCACCCTGTGAAGTTCATCATAACTTATTTCCTCTGTAGCCCAATAAACTGCATGCTTTCCTGATGAGTTGTAGTGGGAGGACCACACAACATGTCATCGCGTGACTCCAAGTTTACTTCAATATGATGGTTATTATATTAACATTTGCACCTAAAAAGGTTTAAACCGCATAATTTATTTTTCCCGACACAAAAAGATCCCACCATGTCTAACGTATTTGGTTTTGTGGACATTTGGAAAGTTTACCAACCAATTTTCTGTTTCCATCAGGCCTGTCGTGACATATTTTTTTATCCAACGTACTTTACTTGCATAAAAAGGTTGGATGGAAATCTGGTTACTCTTAGTCACTCAATTAGCCATGTCAGCTAACAATATTTTGATTGGTAAGTTAGTCTAGCCAGTTATCTAAACTTGTAGTAATCATGACTGAATACCGACCGGGCAAGCAGGGCACGTGCCCAGGGGCCTTGACCTCCAGGGGGGCCCCATTAGATTTTGTTAAGGGTCAGACACATCGAGAAAACTGACTGCCGATCGGTACTTTGCACCTCTGCCCAGAGTGTCGGCAGTTACGTTTTTGTCGTAGAACAGTTTTACCTCCGATTTGCTTCGTTTAAATACTCCAGGCCACAAGGTGGCACTAACTTGTTTGGCTTGTGCCGGCTGTAGCTAATGTAAGCTAACTAGCAAGAATTTGTAGTAAGCCCTACAAATCTCGCTTAGGGCCCCCAAAAGGCTACAGCCGACCCTGGTCAGGGATGACAGAAGTGTGAAGGTCCTGGTCTCTCTGGCAGTACTGTATGTAAGTTTACACTTTATTTATTGACGTTAACTCAGTTTGCTTTGAGTGTTACTGTGGCTGACTACTGGAGGGTGTTTTACAAGGTAGGAGCAGGGTATTGGCCACAAATGTACTAGAAACAACTTTTGATTTAAAAAAGAAAAAAAAGGTTGATACAGAAAAAGAAAATATGTTCACATTAAAGATGAACTTGAAATGGGCATGGCGTTACTGACTCAACACTCCCAGTAACGCATCGCCATAAACTATTTTTGCCTTCTAATCAAGAGTTTATATCTTTAGTGTCAGTTATCTGGCTAATTTATTAATCCTACTTTGTGAAACCCTACCCTGACTTAGTCCTGTCTGTCTCTGTCTGACTGAGCCAGGTGCAGCGAAGGAACCTGCTCATCTCTCTCTCATTCTTCTTTTCATGAGCAACAATGAAAAGGGCTAAAGCACATTCTTCTTCAGTTCTGTCTGTCAGCCATTTATTATGCGTGTTTATCTAACATCCATCCACCACCAGGTAACTTGGAGTTATTGTGGTTGGGAATAGGGTGTTGGGTTGATATGAGTTGCATTGCAATAGATCATAGTCTTTATGATGCTTTGAGAGAGATTGTGCCACTTGTTCTGTGCTATACCTCTCCCTCTTCTCTCCTTCTCCCTCTCCTCTATGCAACATCCTCCTGCCTACACTCATGGTTCTATTCAATCAAACCACCCAGTGCAGTATTTATGCAGTAGCATACAAACATACCTTTCCCCGCACAGTCAGATAAAGTCACAGAGAGGTTTGTATAAATACCAGGTAGACCCCCCTCACAGGTAGATGTCTCCATTTGGCAGAATAAGATGTGTGCGTGCTGTGGGCAGTAATGTGTAAACAGAGACTGTTAACATCACTAAGGCAGCTTCGATTTAATATGGTCTTCTGCCGTCATCGCCCATCTCTGTTTTGTATCAATATATATTTTCCCATGTGAAAATTACTATCAATATCATGAACTCTAAGGCCCAGTTGATTTACCAGATGTAAGCCTGATTCTGGACTAAAAAGCAATGCAATAGAGAATCTCCATTGAAATTGTTTTTTTGTTCCAGGAACAGTATGCGTCTGGCAAAAGGGCCCATATTATGCCAAACTCCAGTCTTCTAACTGCTGTCTCCCTCTGCAGGTCAACATGTGTATGTACTACTCCTGCTGTTTTTATTTTGGACATGGCCTGCCAGTCTATCTGTGTCTGTTTGTCATAGCTCAGCATTTATAATCGTCATCAGCCCTCAGTCTCAGTAGGATAAAATAATAGAATATCGAGGCTAAAAACACCCTGTATGATGACTTTGAAAAAATAAAAAAGAATAATAAGATAAACAATGTATTTACTATAATCTGAGTAGACACTGCTATTTGGAACACTTTGTAATTTCTATCCAGAAATAAATGTTCATACTGTTCAGCTTTCCTTTTGTGGTTACTTTAGTGCAGGGTTTCCCAAACTCGGTCCTCGGGACTCCCAAGGGGTGCACGTTTTGGTTTTTGCCCTAGAACTACACAGCTGATTCAAATAATCAACTAATGATAATGCTTTCATACTTTTAATCAGCTGTGTAGTGTTAGGGCAAAAAACAACGTGCACCCCTTGGGGTCCCGAGGACCGAGTTTGAGAAAAGCTGATATAGTGTGTTTGGGAAATGTGTGTGTGTGTGTCATGGGTTCACCTGTGACGCTGACTATAGTGTGCCACCAGATGTCGGTGTTGAGATGAACATCGTTTTTCCCGTTCGAGTTGCCGTACAAAAACAAAAGTCACCAGGCAGGAAGAGAAATGTCAAACGTTGGGAAACTGGTAATGGCTCAACTTTTCTCTTGTAAGATACATTCGGGTTATCTTAGAATATTACAGACGCAGCTATAATATTACAGTAATAATACTGTTGTAAAGAGTGATGATGATGGTTGGGCTGAGCATTGGCTTAAACGTTAGTCAAACGTCTTATCTTTTAGTTATAGATATGGCTATAACGTACTGGACAAAACGGGTGTGATCTAGAGTATTTTTTCGAAGTCCTACACTAATATCTTTATTCTTTATTTTGAGCAGAACATACCCCTTAATTTAACTTACTCTCAAATACCTGCCATGAATGTCCTGACTCCTGCCATACATTTACCATAAAGTAACGTTCCTCATCATGATGTGTATTTGCTGCCAGGTGCCGCTGTCTGCCTCTGTGTCAGGTGTCCTGGGTCTGATGACGGGGACTGCGACTGTCCTGGCCGCCAGAGAGGTCAAGAAGAAACCGGCAGCTCTGAGTCTCAGTATTGAAGAGGTAGCTGGTATGGCTTTCCTGTCCCTCAACTGTCCTGTCCAGGAACACTTATATGGCAGTTATATGAAGCAGGGGCGTGGGCCTGGGTGGACACAGGCCCACCTACTGGGGAGCCAGGCCCTGCCAGGCCAGCCCAATCAGTTTCAGCAAAAAAACAAAAAGAATACATTATTATTTAAAAGAATACTCGTCAGCACCCCCCCATCCAAATTTCTGTTGGGCCCACCCACCAATGAATTTCTGGCTACGACCCTGATATGAATGGACAGATCTTATCTGCTAAAAAGGGCTGTTTGGGTGTCTGTGCAGGCTCCCACACAGCCCTTTGCAGATAAAATGATATTGACAGGACAACGTTGCTGTAGGCTGCTGGATTGAAGTGTGTGTGTTTCAGCTCCCGTCCCTCTAAACTACTCCAGAGCCGCAGCTCAAGCATGTGGAGTCGGAGGCGAGGCCAATGGAACAGTGTGTGGCCGAGCTGAGGAAATGGGCCGAGCCTTTCACCAACCAGTGTCCGGTACACCTCTCCCTCTTCCTCAGCGATGTATGCCTCGGCCCTGTCAACTGGAACAAGATGGGTGTGTCTAGGCAATCACAAGTGTCATCTCACTCATTATCTTTTGGAATGCTGAGATTTAAGAATGTTTGTGGTAATTGTTTGTTTTCCTGCAGGAAACAGTTCTGGTTGCCCTGGAGAAAGCAGAGGTAGGTGACAGACACTGTCTACTAAGACTAGACACACAAACACACACTAGTGGTGCACGGATCAGCTGTTTGTTCACATACACCTGTCCACAATTGCTAATAACCCATCAGCAACCGCCCAACTATATGTGATAAAGTGAATATCTAAGGCCTGCACCCGACCCTAACCCGCTAATATAGAAAATGCGCTGTAGGCTACAGTCAGTGATGGCGTAACTATTCCTTTAACAGGGGGTGCAGGATTTATTTTGCCTAATTTTTAAATATGTTTCTTCTGATAATTTCTGACATTTTGGTAGGCTAGTTCTTAGTTAACTTGTCTATAATTAGATACAGTGGGGAGAACAAGTATTTGATACACTGCCGATTTTGCAGGTTTTCCTACTTACAAAGCATGTAGAGGTCTGTAATTTGTATCATAGGTACACTTCAACTGTGAGAGACTGAATCTAAAACAAAAATCCAGAAAATCACATTGTATGATTTTTAAGTAATTAATTTGCATTTTATTGCATGACATAAGTATTTGATCACCTACCAACCAGTAAGAATTCCGGCTTTCACAGACCTGTTAGTTTTTCTTTAAGAAGCCCTCCTGCTCTCCACTCATTACCCGTATTAACTGCACCTGTTTGAACTCGTTACCTGTATAAAAGACACCTGCCACACACTGAATCAAACAGACTCCAACCTCTCCACAATGGCCAAGACCAGAGAGCTGTGTAAGGACATCAGGGATAAAATTGTAGACCTGCACAAGGCTGGGATGGGCTACAGGACAATAGGCAAGCAGCTTGGTGAGAAGGCAACAACTGTTGGCGCAATTATTAGAAAATGGAAGAAGTTCAAGATGACAGTCAATCACCCTCGGTCTGGGGCTCCATGCAAGATCTCACTTTGTGGGGCATCAATTATTTATTTATTTATTTATTTCACCTTTATTTAACCAGGTAAATAATAATAAATAATAATATGCCATTTAGCAGACGCTTTTATCCAAAGCGACTTACAGTCATGCGTGCATACATTTTTGTGTATGGGTGGTCCCGGGGATCGAACCCGCTACCTTGGCGTTACAAGCGCCGTGCTCTACCAGCTGAGCTACAGAGGACAGGTAAACCAGTTGAGAACAAGTTCTCGTTTACAACTGCGACCTGGCCAAGATAAAGCAAAGCAGTGCGATAAAAACAACAACACAGAGTTACATATGGGGTAAAACAAAGTCAAAAAAATACAACAGAAATACATATATATACAGTGTGTGCAAATTTAGCAAGTTATGGAGGTAAGGCAATAAAATAGGCTATAGTGCAAAATAATTACAATTAGTATTAACACTGGAATGATAGATGTGCAAGAGATGATGTGCAAATAGAGATACTGGGGTACAAATGAGCAAAATAAATAACAATATAGGGATGAGGTAGTTGGGCGGGCTAATTTCAGATGGGCTGTGTACAGGTGCAGTGATCGGTAAGGTGCTCTGACAACTGATGCTTAAAGTTAGTGAGGGAGATAAGTGTCTCCAGCTTCAGAGATTTTTGCAATTTGTTCCAGTCATTGGCAGCAGAGAACTGGAAGGAATTGCGGCCAAAGGAGGTGTTGGCTTTGGGGATCACCAGTGAGATATACCCGCTGGAGCGCAGACTACGGGTGGGTGTTGCTATGGTGACCAATGAGCTAAGATAAGGCGGGGATTTGCCTAGCAGTGATTTATAGATGGCCTGGAGCCAGTGGGTTTGGCGACGAATATGTAGTGAGGACCAGCCAACAAGAGCGTACAGGTCACAGTGGTGGGTATTATATGGGGCTTTGGAGACAAAACGGATGGCACTGTGATAGACTACATCCAATTTGCTGAGTAGAGTGTTGGAGGCTATTTTGTAAATGACATCGCCGAAGTCAAGGATCGGTAGGATAGTCAGTTTTACGAGGGCATGTTTGGCAGCATGAGTGAAGGAGGCTTTGTTGCGAAATAGGAAACCGATTCTAGATTTAACTTTGGATTGGAGATTCTTAATGTGAGTCTGGAAGGAGAGTTTACAGTCTAACCAGACACCTAGATATTTGTAGTTGTCCACATACTCATGATCATGAGGAAGGTGAGGGATCAGCCCAGAACTACACGGCAGGACCTGGTCAATGACCTGAAGAGAGCTGGAACCACAGTCTCAAAGAAAACCATTAGTAACACACTACGCCGTCATGGATTAAAATCCTGCAGCGCACGCAAGGTCCCCCTGCTCAAGCCAGCGCATGTCCAGGCCCATCTGAAGTTTGCCAATGACCATCTGGATGATCCAGAGGAGGAATGGGAGAAGATCATGTGGTCTGATGAGACAAAAATAGAGCTTTTTGGTCTAAACTCCACTCGCCGTGTTTGGATGAAGAAGAAGGATGAGTACAACCCCAAGAACACCATCCCAACCGTAAAGCATGGAGGTGGAAACATCATTCTTTGGGGATGCTTTTCTGCAAAGGGGACAGGACGACTGCACCGTATTGAGGGGAGGATGGATGGGGCCATGTATCGCGAGATCTTGGCCAACAACCTCCTTCCCTCAGTAAGAGCATTGAAGATGGGTCGTGGCTGGGTCTTCCAGCATGACAACGACCCGAAACACACAGCCAGGGCAACTAAGGAGTGGCTCCGTAAGAAGCATCTCAAGGTCCTGGAGTGGCCTAGCCAGTCTCCAGACCTGAACCCAATAGAAAATCTTTGGAGGGAGCTGAAAGTCCGTATTGCCCAGCGACAGCCCCGAAACCTGAAGGATCTGGAGAAGGTCTGTATGGAGGAGTGGGCCAAAATCCCTGCTGCAGTGTGTGCAAACCTGGTCAAGACCTACAGGAAACGTATGATCTCTGTAATTGCAAACAAAGGTTTCTGTACCAAATATTAAGTTCTGCTTTTCTGATGTATCAAATACTTATGTCATGCAATAAAATGCAAATTAATTACTTAAAAATCATACAATGTGATTTTCTGGATTTTTGTTTTAGATTCCGTCTCTCACAGTTGAAGTGTACCTATGATAAAAATGACAGACCTCTACATGCTTTGTAAGTAGGAAAACCTGCAAAATTGGCAGTGTATCAAATACTTGTTCTCCCCACTGTATGTGTGGCCCAAACACAGCCAGATCAGACAGACAGGAGGGATAATAACAGAGGATGATATAGAAGCAGGATAGGAAAGTGATGAGTAGATAGCAGTTCAGAGGGAGGCAGGATGGAAAGCTGTGACCTCTGACTGGTGACTGGGGGGTTTTAATGGCTGTAGTTTTGTGAGTTATGGTCAGTTTTGACACTTAATGAGTGATTTGTGTGTGTTGGGTGTTTTAATGTGCCATTTTGGGACAGTAAAGGTGTTTATGGGCACTAGATCTGTCAGAAGGTTTGTTTGATTTGGTTGAGGTCAGACCTCATAGTAGGAACCCCTCTGCCCCATGTACGCACACACACGCTGTTGGCTGTTTCTATTGCAAATTACCATTGCGTCTGAACCACAATTTGCGTGTGTGGTGGTTCTCTTATCTCAGGTGATCAGGTACTCTGTGTACAGCTGGAGTCAGCAGGGTTGAGATGCTGTGGAGATGCTCTGGAAGGACCTGCCGTTTGGCAAGGGCAAGGTTAGTCATCATCAAGGAATCGAGGAAAGATGTTTGAGATTTAGGTGAAGTGTGTTCAGTAATAATGATGTGCATTACTGCTTCCTGTTTCCCCTCAGGCAGGCTGAGAAGACCGAGGACAAGAGCACTACTAGCTGAAACAGAGAAAGCCTGGACAGACACACAACCTGGCTGACACACACACACAAACACACAGAGTTATTTATATACAGTGGGTGGAAAAAGTATTTAGTCAGCCACCAATTGTGCAAGTTCTCCCACTTAAAAAGATGAGAGGCCTGTAATTTTCATCATAGGTACACGTCAACTATGACAGACAAAATGAGAAAAAAAAAAAGAAAATCACATTGTAGGATTTTTAATGAATTTATTTGCAAATTATGGTGGAAAATAAGTATTTGGTCAATAACAAAAGTTTCTCAATACTTTGTTATATACCCTTTGTTGGCAATGACACAGGTCAAACGTTTTCTGTAAGTCATGACAAGGTTTTCACACACTGTTGCTGGTATTTTGGCCCATTCCTCCATGCAGATCTCCTCTAGAGCAGTGATGTTTTGGGGCTGTCGCTGGGCAACACAGACTTTCAACTCCCTCCAAATATTTTCTATGGGGTTGAGATCTGGAGCCTGGCTAGGCCACTCCAGGACCTTGAAATGCTTCTTACGAAGCCACTCCTCCGTTGCCCGGGCGGTGTGTTTGGGATCATTGTCATGCTGAAAGACCCAGCCACGTTTCATCTTCAATGCCCTTGCTGATGGAAGGAGGTTTTCACTCAAAATCTCACGATACATGGCCCCATTCATTCTTTCCTTTACACGGATCAGTCGTCCTGGTCCCTTTGCAGAAAAACAGCCCCAAAGCATGATGTTTCCACCCCCATGCTTCACAGTAGGTATGGTGTTCTTTGGATGCAACTCAGCATTCTTTGTCCTCCAAACACGACGAGATGAGTTTTTACCAAAAAGTTCTATTTTGGTTTCATCTGACCATATGACATTCTCCCAATCCTCTTCTGGATCATCCAAATGCACTCTAGCAAACTTCAGACGGGCCTGGACATGTACTGGTTTAAGCAGGGGGACACGTCTGGCACTGCAGGATTTGAGTCCCTGGCGGCGTAGTGTGTTACTGATGGTAGGCTTTGTTACTTTGGTCCCAGCTCTCTGCAGGTCATTCACTAGGTCCCCCTGTGTGGTTCTGGGATTTTTGCTCACCGTTCTTGTGATCATTTTGACCCCACGGGGTTAGATCTTGCGTGGAGCCCCAGATCGAGGGAGATTATCAGTGGTCTTGTATGTCTTCCATTTCCTAATAATTGCTCCCACAGTTGATTTCTTCAAACCAAGCTGCTTACCTATTGCAGATTCAATCTTCCCAGCCTGGTGCAGGTCTACAATTTTGTTTCTGGTGTCCTTTGACAGCTCTTTGGTCTTGGCCATAGTGGAGTTTGGAGTGTGACTGTTTGAGGTTGTGGACAGGTGTCTTTTATACTGATAACAAGTTCAAACAGGTGCCATTAATATAGGTAACGAGTGGAGGACAGAGGAGCCTCTTAAAGAAGAAGTTACAGGTCTGTGAGAGCCAGAAATCTTGCTTGTTTGTAGGTGACCAAATACTTATTTTCCACCATAATTTGCAAATAAATTCATAAAAAATCCTACAATGTGATTTTCTGGATTTTTTTTCTTCAATTTGTCTGTCATCGTTGACGTGTACCTATGATGAAAATTACAGGCCTCTCATCTTTTTAAGTGGGAGAACTTGCACAATTGGTGGCTGACTAAATACGTTTTTTCCCCCACTGTGTGTGTGTATATATATATATATGAGAGAGAGAGTTCATCAAACTGGGTTGGAGATTTTGAATCTTAATGGCACCAAAAGTCATCAAGTAAATTTTTTGTTGTGTCATGGAACATTTGGTACAAACGTGGAGGATGGGTTATAATTAGAGCCCGACCGATATATTGTTTCACCGATATTTGCCTTTTACCGATATATTGATATCGGCCGATAATTCAGCCGAAAAATTGATGAATGGGATGAAAAAGGCATGTTCCGTTTTTTCAACATTATTATTACGGTTAGGAGGCTCCAACACGAGGTTACCGCAGGATAGCGGTAAGTCACTTTCTCTGCTAAACCTCCCAAAGACTTAGCCTGGTTCTAAATCTGCATGCACTTCGAAGAGGTGAACAGAGCTGTGGAAGAGTGACTGCTCAGCTGCAGTGTTTTTCCCGTAAAGCCTAGGGGTTATTATTTGACTGTGCGTGCATGTTTGTGTTCCTAATGTTGTGTCAGAATCTGTGTGTGGGTTTGCCTGTGTGTTCAATCATGTGGTGTTCCTAGCTATGAATTGATTCTGGCCCTCAGATCTTTAATAATGTCATTGGCATCTTCAGTGAAAATAGTTTCTTCTCCTTAAGATTTGTCTCATGAAGTTGTGAAATAATCAATGGCTGTTGTTAATATAGGTGATTATGATTCTTGGCATCATAATGATAGTCAGAGAAGTTGGACTGCAAGTTCCAACAGAATCCCCTACATTCACAACGTTTTACATTACATTTACATTTTAGTCATTTAGCAGATGCTCTTATCCAGAGTGACGTACAGTTAGTGCATTCATCTTAAGAAAGCTAGGTGGGACAACTACATATCACAGGCATAGAAAGTGCTGGTTAATTGTTTGTTGTAGTGTTCTAGTATTCTTTCTAACAAAGATATCTGAATATATTTCAGGATGTTGTGTATCCCTGGAAGTAATCTGAATTCATGTCAACATTACAGTTTTGAAAACATGGCTTGTCCAAAAAAAAGTGCTCTCTTCACACAACTTACACCGTACTGAATGAAATATGACCACTACCTTTATAAAACCATGTCTATCTTTATTTCCCAAACACAATTCAGCACAATCACAATCGTTTTTGTCTTTTAATAATTTTAAGCATCTTTTAACACAGGCTTACTACCTAACACTTTGTACTTTTTTTTTTTACACTTTAACATAGGCCAGGCCCTGTTGTTACCTCATATCCCAGCGATAATGCCTTGCATTAGAGTTGAATACCACTGCTCTAACACAATACATTCATTTCACTTGGTGAAAATCAGTTTTTGGACCTCACTTGCGTTCCACTTTTTCCATGTGGTTTCTTCCTTCACAAACTCCATGAAATGATGACCTCTTCCTAAATATTTGGTCAAATTATTAATTTTGTATTTGGTTTCATAGGAACAAGGGTGGCTCAACTTATCCCTCTCACCCCTATTTGAATTGTTGAACTAGATGTTCATATACCTTGAGGATGTTACAGCATGTCATCACACCCACCATTGCTGAGAGCCCGCTGTAGCTGTTATTACCATCGTCTATGCCTAAATCGGTTTTGGGTGGTTTGAACAACCATTTGAAATGAATAACCAGGTTGTTGTTGTAAAATACCATTTGTTTTCAATGACATAACCTGGATTACTAGAGGTGAAATAAAGAAACTGTATGTAGGTCTGTACCTGTGGATAGAATACACATTCAACACCACTATATACACAGCGCCTCCATGGCCTGCAAACACAGGCACACACAACACCCCCCATACACCTCTATCGTTCTCTCCTGTAATATGATACATCACATTTTGTCCTGCTCTGTTATTTCCAAAGACATTCCCCCGTTGATCCACTGCAGAGTGCACAGCAGTACATTACATCAATTATTTCAAGAGTTAAAGATTTACTACTACTGGATATTTATTTGAGCATTGTGGTGTATATTTTGTTTCAGATTATGATTTTGAATTTGTTTATTTTTGTATTGATTATCTGTCCCCAGAAATATACTGACAAGGAACAGAGATATAGTCCTAATACATTCATCTCATATCTGATTGTGATTGTGTTATTGCTGATCAACTTACAGTGGCTTGCGAAAGTATTCACCCCCCTTGACATTTTTCCTATATTGTTGCCTTACAACCTGGAATTAACATAGATTTTTTGGGGGGTTGTATCATTTGATTTACACAACACGCCTACCACTTTGAAAATGCAAAATATTTTTTATTGTGAAACAAACAAGAAATATTACAAAAAAACAGTAAACATGAGCGTGCATAACTATTCACCCCCCCCCCCCCCCCCCCCCCCCCCCCCCAAAAAAAAAATGCTATACTTTTTAGAGACACCTTTTGAAGCAATTACAGCTGCAAGTCTCTTGGGGTATGTCTCTATAAGCTTGGCACATCTAGCCACTGGGATTTTTGTCCATTCTTCAAGGCAAAACTGAACTGCGTGAAAGTGTTGTGGTCAGATGAGACCAAAATCGAGCTCTTTGGCATCAACTCAACTCGCCGTGTTTGGAGGAGGAGGAATGCTGCCTATGACCCCAAGAACACCATCCCCACCGTCAAACATTATGCTTTGGGGGTGTTTTTCTGCTAAGGGGACAGGATAACTTCACTGCATCAAAGGGATGATGGACGGGGCCATGTACCATCAAATCTTGGGTGAGAACCTCCTTCCCTCAGCCAGGGCATTGAAAATGGGTCGTGGATGGGTATTCCAGCATGACAATGAACCAAAACACACGGTCAAGGCAACAAAGGAGTGGCTCAAGAAGAAGCACATTAAGGACCTGGAGTGGCCTAGCCAGTCTCCAGACCTTAATCCCATAGAAAATCTGTGGAGGGAGCTGAAGGTTCGAGTTGCCAAACGTCAGGATCGAAACCTTAATGACTTGGAGAAGGTCTGCAAAGAGGAGTGGAACAAAATCCCTCCTGAGATGTGTGCAAACCTGGTGGCCAACTACAAGAAACGTCTGACCTCTGTGATTGCCAACAAGGGTTTTGCCACCAAGTACTAAGTAATGTTTTACATAACATTTTTGACATGCGTTTTTCTGGATTTTTTTGTTGTTATTCTGTCTCTCACTGTTCAAATAAACCTACTATTAAAATTACAGGCTGATCATGTCTTTGTAAGTGGGCAAACGTACAAAATCAGCAGGGGATCAAATACTTTTTTCCCTCACTGTATGCACGCACCACTTTTCCGTTATGAAACAAGTTATTTTTTTCATTTCACTTCACCAATTTGGACTATTTTGTGTGTCCATTACATGAAATCCAAATTAAAATCCATTTAAATTACAGGTTGTAATGCAATTAAATAGAAAAAAACACCAAGGGGGATGAATACTTTTGCAAGGCACTGTAAGTGCATATTTACCAGCGTTGTTTGCATGTTCAGTCATGGACTGTGTATGCCTCTAGCATTCTCACAAAGAGAGAAACAGAGAGGGTAGTCTGTCCATACTCTATATGGGATATTCTGGTCATGTCTGAAGGCAGTTTTTTTATGTGTGTAATTAGTTGTTCAAACAGGGACTGTTCCCTCCCTGTAAAACCATAAAACTTACATAAGGAGAAAAATATATGGAGAGGAAGCAGTTGATCTGCAACTCCAGCCTGGTCCTACATCTTGATGTGCTTTAGCCAACTCTTACTGATGGGACCAGGCTAACACTCTACTGTACAAACTGAATCTGCTGTGACCCTGTGGTGGGAGTTGGACCAAATGATCACTGCAGTTATTTTGAAGTAGACTCCAGTTTCCCTCCGCAGTGAGGGTGAGCGAGTTAGTGGGGTAGGTAAGTTGGTACAAAGTTGGGGGTGGGAGTGTCTGTTCGTGTGACTTGACGCTCGACCTTGACCGTCATGCCGTAGGAGGTGTGACCCACTGGGGTCATGTTTGTGTGACTGAATGCCTATATTTGTGCAACCAAGGGATCAACACACGTGTGTGCTAGAATATAACATTGTGTTATAGTTTAGAAAGGGTTGGAAAGGTTCTGTAAAGACCCCATGGGGAGTTAAGTCTTTTAATCTCCCTGATGTGTCTTTAAAGAGATGGAAACCTCTGTCTCAGCCTATGGTTAATCAGTAAACGGGCAGAGTTTCTGGACATAAAAAAGTCAGGTTCAAAGGTCAGGGAGGCTCATGGGAGTCTATGATGAAAATATTATGGCCTGTTTGGAGATAAAGGATGCTGTCTCTCTTTTCTCCACCCCCCTATCCTTCCCCCACGTTCTCTCAGATGTAAATATGGTGGTCTATGCTGTACGTGGAGCAACGGTAACTAAGTCACGTATGAAAAAAAACAATTTATGAAAAATGTATCCACTCACTAACTGTAAGTCGCTCTAGATAAGAGCGTCTGCTAAATGACTAAAATGTAAAAATGTACACACTGTCCTGCCCTATTTCCTACCAGAGTTCATATGAGAGTTTAGAGTTGGGGACAACTGTCCACTAAAGACGATGGAAGACTGTAATATCATTACTGAACTTGAAACTGCTCTGTCCTCATACACACACATTTGGCAAAAGCCAAATAGAAAAAAGGAGATAAGTGAAACTTCATTATTAGAGCTGTAGGCCTTTTCTCTGGGTTTAGTTTCAGTGTGTGTTGGGGGAAACTCTTAGAAAGGGCCACCATGTTTACAGGAAAGAGGATCTGTCTCTGCCTGGGCAAAGGGTTGGGAGGCAGTGTTTGTATACTCTAAACTGGGCCACTACAGTGTTAGGTTGTGGCAGTGTTTGTTGTTCAGGCATTGCTGTAGTGAATGTTCAAACTGCAGTCAATGAAAAACAAAACATCACATTTATATGCATTTCTACGCCCCTGGTTTCTGCAAGAACTGACTAGAATGTTTGTGTGCCTGAGCATGTGTGTGTGTCTGAACGTGTTCCACTCCTCTGCTCTCCATAGACTTATAACAGACCACACATCCCCCTTTCACAGAGAGAGAGAGAAAGTATGACAGAGGAAGCGAGAGAGGGGGGGGGGGGGGGGGGAGAGGAAAAGGCTGTATTTGAGTTTCCTGATGATGTCACCGTTCTGAAATGACTCCCACGAGAAACGGAGGATGAAGGGAGGGAGGATGGAGTGATGCATGTTCTGTAAAGCCATCCCATTCCACACTATCATGACCCCTAACCTCTGACCTAAGCCCACCTGCATGGGAGGCCAGGGATTTCATTATAAAGCCCCTCCTTCCTAGCTCTAGAGAAAATCAGTCACCACACAAATGTGCTCTGAACCTTTTAATTGCACCAACATCATAATAAACACATTCAAACTACAAATCACTGTATTATAGGATTAGTTACCTACAGCTGTCCCCATAGGAGAACCCTTTTGGGTTCCAGGTAGAACCCTTTGTGGAAAGGATTCTACATGGAACCCAAAAGGGTTCTACCTGGAACCAAAAGGGTTCTTCAAAAGGTTCTAGAATAACTATTTTAGGTTCTAGATAGGATTCCTACACAAAAGGTGCTAAGGTTTGTTGATTAGCAGAATAAACTAAAAACTACGTAAACTACAACTACTAAAACGATGGCTTTATATAAAATACTGGATTAAAAAAAAAATATATGAACCCTAAATTAAGTGCAACTAGATTGAGAAGTTAGTGCACACATATGATTAGTAATGTTTAATGCCCCTTTTTATTAATAATCTATTGTCAGTAGTCACACCCCCCACCCCTGAAGTGAGAGACAGGCAAATAATTAACTGAATTTAAATTAAATTGACCCCAAGCCTGCCCCCAAGTCTCTCACTCCAATCCCCATCTTTCTCTCTGTGTCACTTGGCCAGCTCACTCTTCGGGGCCGGAGGACATCTTGAGGAGGGAGCTCTTGTCGATCTTGAAGAGTCTCCATCCCTCCTCCAGAGAGAGGTCGGCGGCGCCACGACGCTTGTAGAACTCTATCGATGCCTGGTTGCCCTCGGCGACGATAAAGTGCATGCTGCTGCAGCGAGTCTTGACTGCCGTCTGAGGGGGAGAGAGGGAGGGAGAGCAGGCATCAGCACGCATTTACCTGGCAGTGATTGTGAGCTTTCCCCACCCCCCTCACACAAAGCCATCCACATCTAAATCAGCGTTTCCTGCCAACACTATTTCTCTTTGACCTAGATCTCTTTTCCCAAATCATATTAATTGATTATTACAACAGCAATAAACAAACAAACAGAACAGGAGTGGAATCAACTATCTGCACACTGAAATGGGCTCTGTAGAAACTATTCTGTTTGAGGCATTGACCTACTTCTACAACAGGATTCTGGACAGAGCCATGTAAAAACTGTCTGACACCTACCATCTAGTTGTTACTATGTTTGTACTATGTAATAACGCCTAATTTACTCACATGACTGAGGAGCTTGAGGATCTCTGAGCCGATGCCAAACCCTGGTGGAAAAAGAAGAGAGAAGACATAATGGGAAAGCAGTAACAATGGACGGAGGATGAGAGAGTTTATTGTTATTGGTCAGGTCAGCGAGGAGGAAGAAAGACCGAGAGACAGAAGGAGAGGTAGAGTTTTTGTGCTTACCCCTGTACTCTTTCATGACGAAGAAGTCTTCCAGGTAAAGCAGCTTGCCGATCCAGGGGTCATAGGTGAAGTAGTACATGGCAAACCCAATTACCACAGGACCTGGACAAAAATAAGTAAGCGCATAAATACAAGTAGTGTACCGGAGTTACCCCAAGACACTGAACGAAGGTCCGTTTAGCATTCTGCCCTAAATGGTTATGAGCAGCTAGGATGTTGGGTGACGGAGCTGATCATAGATCTGTGATTAAGGATAACTTCTACCTTCAAATCTAAACTCTGTCTGGTTTTAGTGAGGCCAGAGGACTGTGTAAAGAGGAGACATGTCATTTGGTGTTGTGTTAGGAGATTGAACGTGTGCAATTTATCACACAAGTGTGTCTGGCCTACATTTGAGTGACACGCAAACACAGTCCATAATAGGAAGTAGACACTGTGTACCCATCAGCCTCTCGCTGAGAGAGACGTGTGTGTACAGCAACAATGTTTCAAACCTACATACTTCTAATAAATAAAATAAATTGGTCATTTAGCAGACGCTCTTATCCAGAGCGACTTACAGGAGCAATTAGGGTTAAGTGCCTTGCTCAAGGGCACATCGACAGGTTTTTCACCTAGTCGGCTCGGGGATTAGAACCAGCGACCTTTCGGTTACTGGCACAACGCTCTTAACCACTAAGCTACCTGCCGCCCCATAGGATTCTCATACAGAATGTGCCAAAGTAAAGTGTTGGGCTCCTCCAGGACACCAACTATCATGTCATTGTGTACACTGACAATATAACTGAGGAATGAGATGTGTCTGTATACAGTACAAATTGGGATAACAGGTTTGATTTATGTTTGGCATAGGGGAAGTAACTACATGCCAGGGGTCCCCAGGGGGCAGAAACGTTCTGCTATGCATTGAGAGGCAATGTTACAGTCAAGCCCATCTGATATGGTTTGCTATAATACAATACATGTCTATGTCACAGTCAACATATCCATCCAATCCTTTGAGATTTACAGGTGTGCTCCATGGGATAGCGGGGGAGGGAGATCTCTTACCATTGTTGTTGAGCAGACCATTGTTGTTGTTGCTGCTGCTCTTCTGCTCACTGGGGTCCTCCGCCACCAGGCAGTGGTAAAATGGGTGGTCACCGAATCCGTCCTCGAGCAGATCTGTTATTACAACCGTTATAAACGCCATATAAGCTCTGTATGCAGTCAATCACAGGGTAAACAAGACATACATGGTTTTAGTTCCATTCACTCACCTTTCTCAGTCAGTATCACTTGATCTTCCATTTCTTCATATTTAGCTAGTTCCTAAACAGAAGCAGAAACATTTGTCAGATTCAAAACCAAGAGCAAGTAAAATGGGGAACGTTTATCATTGACTGAGATAAGTGACCGTCAACAGACAGAGAACAACGTTTAACTTTATGAACATCATCAAACGGAGGAAACCGGGCTCGTTGCCAACGTAAACACAATGAACAAACTACAGAGCCAACTGTGATACCGACGGATATCCAGCGGAAATCGTCGGTATTTATGTCACCTTCAGACACAAGTTTGCGGAGTTTCTTTGAACGGTTTCGTCTAGGCTAAACCAAGGCTACAAAATAACAACAACAAATGAAGGGTCAAGTTCAGGGCGAGGGCCGATGGGTGTGTAGGGCATGCTAAGCATATACTTCACTATACTTTCCAACAACTTTCGCAAAACAAAAATGTAGTAAATCTAAGCAAAACAATAGACAGTGCATTTATTTATTCTCCTTGTCAACGTTTTTGTTTTGTTTACGGCCTACCTTTATGAGTCGCAGTATGTCAGGCACATCTTTGGGTTCCGCTTTCCGCAATTTAAAACGGTCCATTTTCTTCTTTTACTCTTTTTTCCTTTTCTCACTAAACCTCTGTATGTGAAGTGAAGCAGGAGAAGTTTCTTCATTCGCGTCCCAGGAGTTTAAACCTCCGCAGTCAGTCTGGGATCCTGACGCCTATGTCGGGAGAGTTTACATGCAGCAGGAACCTATCTGGGTCGGATCAGCTGGACTGGATCGTTCTTTGTCTCGCACCACGGTTTTATACGGGCCCGTGGGGGTTGGGGAGGTTAACCGGAACTCCGCAGTTTCTGGCCAATTGGAACGAAAGATCTACGACACGTCGCGAGTTTCTCTGTTGTTTCCTCCGGTCACGAGATAACTTGCCTGACGACTCACCCTGAATTTAATGGCCTTATTTCACAAGTGAAGTAGGGCCATTCTGCTGCTCGCTACGTCAGTTGGCCATGTGATGTGGATGGGTAGCCAGGCAACGAGAGAACAGATTCAAATGATAGTTTTTGCACTGCATCTAGCCTACTCTGTATTTTAGCACTTTTTTCTTTAAATGTCTTTAATTATTTCTACATAGTGGAATTCTACATAATGTATTGAGTGGAATTCTATCTACAGAAATTGGTTTAATAGATTTTGCACATGCCAAGACTACAGTGGAATGACCGATAATACAAGCTCAGTAGGCTATGTAGTTACTGGATTGTAGCCAGTGCATTCACGACCAATTACTTTTATATAAACCCTGGATTGCTGACGCTTCTAGGAGCAGTCCTCCATAGGAATGAATGGAATTCTACAGTACTGTCCCAAAAATATTTCGAGGAAAATATTTTTATATATTTTTTCATTTGTTATTTTTATGTGTAGCTCACATAATTTAAAAGTATGCATTAAAGTGTCTGTAATAGAATAAACGTGTAAAAAACGAACGTTGACATTAATACATGCATTTCTATAGCTTCCAAAATATTAGCTGCGAGGTGGCTTCAATACAGCGCCCCCTGTCAGTTATCCCGGGTTTATACACATCATTGGTCACGACTTTACTCTCAAGTGTTTGCATTTATGTAGCAATTGAGGTGGAATATAGAATGTTAATTATGTGGTGCCATATGACTAGCATTTTATTGCATGACATAAGTATTTGATACATCAGAAAAGCAGAACTTAATATTTCGTACAGAAACCTTTGATTGCAATTACAGAGATCATACGTTTCCTGTAGGTCTTGACCAGGTTTGCACACACTGCAGCAGTGATTTTGGCCCACTCCTCCATACCTTCTCCAGATCCTTCAGGTTTCGGGGCTGTCGCTGGGCAATACGGACTTTCAGCTCCCTCCAAAGATGTTCTATTGGGTTCAGGTCTGGAGACTGGCTAGGCCACTCCAGGACCTTGAGATGCTTCTTACGGAGCCACTCCTTAGTTGCCCTGGCTGTGTGTTTCGGGTCGTTGTCATGCTGGAAGACCCAGCCACGACCCATCTTCAATGCTCTTACTGAGGGAAGGAGGTTGTTGGCCAAGATCTCGCGATACATGGCCCCATCCATCCTCCCCTCAATACGGTGCAGTCGTCCTGTCCCCTTTGCAGAAAAGCATCCCCAAAGAATGATGTTTCCACCTCCATGCTTCACGGTTGGGATGGTGTTCTTGGGGTTGTACTCATCCTTCTTCTTCCTCCAAACACGGCGAGTGGAGTTTAGACCAAAAAGCTCTATTTTTGTCTCATCAGACCACATGACCTTCTCCCATTCCTCCTCTGGATCATCCAGATGGTCATTGGCAAACTTCAGACGGGCCTGGACATGCGCTGGCTTGAGCAGGGGGACCTTGCATGCGCTGCAGGATTTTAATCCATGACGGCGTAGTGTGTTACTAATGGTTTTCTTTGAGACTGTGGTCCCAGCTCTCTTCAGGTCATTGACCAGGTCCTGCCGTGTAGTTCTGGGCTGATCCCTCACCTTCCTCATGATCATTGATGCCCCACGAGGTGAGATCTTGCATGGAGCCCCAGACCGAGGGTGATTGACCGTCATCTTGAACTTCTTCCATTTTCTAATAATTGCGCCAACAGTTGTTGCCTTCTCACCAAGCTGATTGCCTATTGTCCTGTAGCCCATCCCAGCCTTGTGCAGGTCTACAATTTTATCCCTGATGTCCTTACACAGCTCTCTGGTCTTGGCCATTGTGGAGAGGTTGGAGTCTGTTTGATTGAGTGTGTGGACAGGTGTCTTTTATACAGGTAACGAGTTCAAACAGGTGCAGTTAATACAGGTAATGAGTAGAGAACAGGAGGGCTTCTTAAAGAAAAACTAACAGGTCTGTGAGAGCCGGAATTCTTACTGGTTGGTAGGTGATCAAATACTTATGTCATGCAATAAAATGCAAATTAATTACTTAAAAATCATACAATGTGATTTTCTGGATTTTTGTTTAAGATTCCGTCTCTCACAGTTGAAATGTACCTATGATAAAAAATTACAGACCTCTACATGCTTTGTAAGTAGGAAAACCTGCAAAATCGGCAGTGTATCAAATACTTGTTCTCCCCACTGTATATGTTTAAAACCTATGACTTAATGGTTTCATTTCAGAGAGACAAATTATCATGTTTCAACTCTATATCTGACATGGTATAGGTATCTTTTTTTTAAAGCCCATAACAATGTGTGTGAGGTGTATGCTTTTGTTTCAGATAAGATTTGTTTAAGACTACCACGAAACACTCTGCTTGACCCGGATTTAGCCCACTGCAGTAAAAGGTTAAAAACAATTCAACACTGTAACATGAGATCTGTATGTAAAACATTTACATTTGACATTTTAGTCATTTAGCAGATGCTCTTATCCAGAGCGACTTACAGTTAGTGCATTCATCTTAAGATAGCTAGGTGAGACAACCACATATTACAGTCAAATATACAGCATATGAACATTCCATTCCAGCTGAACAATGGATTTATAGCGTTTTGCAAAAAAAAACAAATTTTAATTCACATCTAAAATCTATGAATAAAAAAATCTGAGAATAGTAATATTTTACACACACATGAAGGTACCCATAAACTAAGCAATAATTTCAGATGAAAAAATATCAAATGTGAAACATTTGTGTATATAGCGTTTTGGAAATAAACTCTTCAATTACACTCACATAAAAATATGCTTATACTCTTTGACAATAAATCGATCTTCAAACTTTAATTTAGAGGTGAACTAACTCTTGAATTGTTACAACAACAGCAAGTTTGTCCATCCAATAAGAATTTCCCTGCAAAGCCGTGTCCCACCAGTTACACTGCTCTTATCCATCTACCAGGTCAAAATGTGACAACATTTTAGAATGTGCTGGAGACATGTTATCAGAATACTGTCTAGTAATTGACACCCCCCATCGAAAGCAGTCTATCGACTTTGTTCTCTCTCACCTTGCCCCCCAGGCCCACCCCACTGACCCTCACAGGTGAGAGTGTGGATTGGAATGTGGGTTTTTCCATGTTACAGCCCTGAGTCCAACCCGGAATAGCTCATTGAATGTGGAAAACTACTATTAATGACAAAGGCCTCATCATGACCCGGGCATAATGAGGAGCTATAGATGGTAATAACAAATAAACTATGTGACAGATCCAACAGATGTCTAATGTTCCTCTCAAACTGGGCCCTATCTAAAGGAAAAGAGACAGAGGGGCTTGAATCAGTGGCACTGCAGTTACAGGGCAGCTGTGCCATAAAGTTGCAGACCTCTTGGCGGAGGCCATAATGCACTCACAGGGAGGTTAAGTGGGCAATTTGCAATTGGTACATACATTTTTTGACTTTAAAGTGATATATACGGAATATACCCATTGATTCTAGCAGAATATAACTTAGAAATGCCTCATGAGCTTTAAGTTAAACTGGTACCCCATTACAACCCAAAATATAAAGCTTGTTAATATAATTGTTAACAAACATAGCCTCAATGATTCAAATAAAACACTTTAAAAAATCTCTTTAATGATCAGTCCTTGCATCCATAGCTCTGTCTAAGAATTTGAGAGTGAAATTATGAGCGCTTTTACACCATGCATTATATCCCCAAAATAATTGCGCACTTATTTTTTATAGTACGGTACGTACAGGCAAGGGAAAATGTCCACAGGAAAGCATCTACAATTTCAGTGCTGTCACTCTTGGCAAGATTAGCTTAATCTGTCCCCCCGTTTTGGAGTTGTATTTTGGTATTTAGCAAATTCATCTAACTTCTCAAACATCTTCATATAGCACACGGAAATGCTGTCACCGAGGTGAGTGTGGGAGTGGAGAAGAGCTAGCTAAATCGGTCGATTTGACAGAAATGGTAAAGCTAGTTAGCTAGTGTAGTAACGTTAGCTAGCGAAAGTGCATTTATTTGTAAAAAAGCACCATGAGCTCTAACATGTGAAATTCATAGGAGCACATCAAATTTGGTGTCAAATGAACGCTGAGTATAGTTTTGAGAAATTAAGGCATATATGCATTTTACAACCATTTTTCATTCTAAAAATTTGTAATAAGCAAAGGCTTTGATTTCTGGTCACAGATGGAAAAGGGGTCTTAGAAAACATCTATTAGAAAAGTCAAAAGGTATTAGAAATACATCAAAACACAATAATGTTGAAGTAAAGACCCCTGCCAACTAATATCAACGTTTATATTTTGTTTTGCAGAAATTATTTAAAGGTAATGAACAGTCAAAATCATGTTTTTCGTGAAATTAGATGATATTTGGATGAAACCAGATCAAAGTATGATGACCAAAGTATGAACAATTATTGTTGCTTCTACATTGATAAAGTTTGATCATAAAGTTACTGCTTCCCTCCCTCATGTCAAACACTTGGATTTCCAAGATGGCGTAGCAGTGCGGTCGCTTTTATTCATTGTCCCTGTGTAAATATACCGTTTCTTGTTTTTTTGTCTATTTTGTATATATTTCTCAATTTTTACTTTTCATTCTTTAACTAAATATACTTTCCTGCAACCCGCCTCACCCAACGTGGAAAGGATTCTACTATTTCGTTATAACTTTCATCAAGAACCGTAAGCTGAAAATAGGTAGCTGCAACTGAATGGCTACCTGTTATTAGTCACCGTTAGCGTCTTCACCACTGTCCGTGGCCTACACTATCCACCAGCCAGCTCTAGCTCTAGCCTGGACAATTCGTCGGCCAGTCTGCACAGCGTGCTATCGACCCAGCGTGCTATCG